AATGCAGTAATTTCTCTGTGTTTTAAATGTGCATTGTGAAAAATCTCATTAGAAAAGTTTCATGGAAATGGCAAAATTCAACTCCCTTAATGTAGGTGTGCATTAGAATTGTATTTCTTTCTTTATGTCTGCAGACATAAACATCATTGACATGATAGAACAATTACAATTATTCCTGAAAATCTCTCTCTTTTTAATCCATTCTAATTTGCAATGTCTAATTCTTCTTTGTTTTTTTATAGCCAAGCACAACGTCAACATCTGACATAATCATACTTTTTGAAGCCTGGTTGATTCTCTCATAGAAACAAGCCTAACTCAACTGTTTTCTTTGCAACACATTAAAAGTTTTGGATGAAAGACATTTGGATGAAAAACCTGTGTGACTTTATAGGTCCTTTCCAAAGTATTCATGCGTATTCATGCTGGTCTTTTATGTGAGAGATCAACACAAAGCAGTCTGTGATGTTACAATCATGCACTGATCCGTGTTGGGCTGTCCAAGAAAATCCCAATCAAATCCAGAAAAGTGAGGTTGTAATGTCAGAAAATGTAAAAAAAAAAAAGATGAAGATATTTGAATACTTCTCTAAAGTACTGTGTGTATTCAGTCTTCTGCTGTCTTCTTCTACAGGTTCTTCAGAACATGGTGCACTGCGCGGATCTGAGCAATCCCACCAAACCCCTGGAACTGTACCGCAAGTGGACTGACCGCATTATGGTGGAGTTCTTCACTCAGGGCGACAGGGAGAGAGAGAAAGGAATGGAGATCAGCCCCATGTGTGACAAACACAACGCCTCCATAGAGAAGAACCAGGTAGGGGGAGATGCTCCCGCTAGGTCAGAGCACTCAGCCAAGCAGATCATACTGACAGCATGTATTTTCCAGGTGGGCTTCATTGACTACATCGTCCACCCGCTCTGGGAGACGTGGGCTGACCTGGTGCACCCTGATGCTCAGGAGATCTTGGACACGCTGGAGGACAACAGAGAGTGGTACCAGAGCATGATCACTCGCAGCCCCTCGCCCAGCCCCCACGGACAGGGAGGGAGGGGCTCTCTGGAGGAAGCCTCGGCGCCCAGCGAGGGTCCGGGTTCCATGACGACTGAGAAGTTCCAGTTTGCGCTGACTTTAGAGGAAGAGGGTGAGTCTGACACGGAAGGCTCACCAAGAGAGGAGAAGGGTAGCAGGAGCCTAACCAAACACAGCGGTGCGTTTGATTCTGGATCCATACCGACTCGACGGCTCAACAAGATCCTCACCAGTGACTCAGGCAGGACATTTTCTCTGGACTCTGAGAAGGATATGGCAGAAAACAGAGAAACAGACCCAGAAGGCCCTTCTGTGGTCCCACGTTTCAGACTCGGCACATAGCACCAGCCAAAAGCGTCTCCCCTCAGATCTTTTTTGTTTCACTCAGATTGATATCAGTGCCTTGTCCTCTGTTATTGTTCTTCCTTCACTTCAAACGGATGCCAACCTTCTCCAGGTCTCCCCCACCAGGGTGACAGTGTGAAGTTCCTCAAGTGCAGATATTTGTGTGAAAGATGAGGATGGTTCTTTGCACTGAAAAAAACATTGACAGGTTTGAACACTGTTCCATGAAAGACACAAAACAACTTTCCTACCTGTCTGTTGTCTTCTGTGTTTTCAAATAATGAGGATAAGAAGTTAAAAAAAAAACTCTACCAGTCAGTCAAAAGTCTAAAACTAAAGACTGAGGTGTCTTCTGAGAATTTTTGATGAAACTGAGAAAGTGATGAAGCACTATAAAAAGGTCCTTTCATAGATGTTGCCGTGCAGATTAGAAGGAAAGTGCTATTCTGCCTGATTTTTATCAGGAGGTTGTAGCATACTCTTCTCTTATCTCCATTTATTCTCTATTTGAATAGTCAGTAAAAACAGAACAAAGGAATAAAGTTATTACAGTAAAACGACATGTATGCAGACTATGTGTAATATGAACTAAATGTACTATGTTTTCATCGACTACTTCACTGTTACTATACTGGCACACCAACACTTGTTTTTGCTTGAGTTGCAGCATACTTTCTCTTGTGTTCATCAGACAGGTATAATGTTTTTTGGGTCTCCCCCCTTTTTATAATCCTTAAATAGCATAATCCTTAAATATTCATTCAGAATTAAGAAACAAGGCCTGCATCACTGCTGGGCTGTTCAGGAATTACACCCAAAGACTTTCAGGGAGGGCAGATGCTGCCTTCTACTGTTGAAAAAACAGAAATGATTGTCTGGTTCTGAGGCAGGGTTTTCCATTCAAAATCTATCAGGAGTTTTCTTGTACAGTTCTTATTATTTATGTTCCTACAAAATTGTGCATTCAAGATGTTTGACTCAAAATTAGTTTTATGTGGATTTTATTACACTGGTAAAGCCCTGTTAGTGATTTTAAGGGCTTAAGCCAAAAATGACAAATTGTTTCATGACAAAGAGCGATCAGTGCAGGTATCAAGCAGAAACTGCAAAAAAAATTACCAGCTTTGAATACTTTTAGCACCACATTCACATCCGCTTTAGTCAGACAGCAGTTCGATGACTGTGTTTTTAAACGACTCAACAAATAGGATCAATGTAGCTGTAAAAACCCAGGGGGTAACCAAGGGAGAGTTGCCTATGCCACATTTTTCCTCTTTTTTTTCCCTCTCACAGGTCAATATTTTGCTCTTTGGAGGGAAGCAATCAATGCCACCAAACAAGTGCCAAGCAAGTATGACACAAGTAGTACTGTACTTTCCATTTTGCCACCGGCTACTTTCCATCAGCAGCTGATAAAGCTGGTTGATTGTAGTGCTCTGTGTGCCAGCCGGACCGTGATGTCTGTGGTCACTTTGTTCTAACTCCTATTCAGATCACTGAATCTGATGTTGTCTTAAAACAGTCTTTTTTGTGATAAGGTGATTGGGTTGACTTTTTGTTGTTGTTAAATCAGATGCACTTTGAATGGTACTTTTACAGTTGTGCACTTCCATTTCACTTAAACATGTATAACATGACGGTGTTACTGTTTTTGTCTGTTATAGTTGGTGGTTTAATTGCAAGGGCTGGACCACTATAAGTGTTATGGTGTTGATGGTGTCATAGGGACTTCTTTGAAGAACTGTCGTAAAAAAAGAATTGTGTTAAGTTGAAATGTGCAACTTTGTCTGAAGGATTCAAACCACATGAAGAGTTCATTATAGCTTACTTAAGAATTAGGATTGTGTTACATTTGTTTTATTTTATTACCATTTAAAAGAGTAAGTTATGTTTTAATGTTTAAAAAAGCTACTACAAGTTTCTATTGAAGCCTTATTGTAATTTGATACTTTATTTTTCTGGTTAAATATATTCTCTGTCTACAAATCCTAAGCAACGCCAAACCCTCCAACTCTCAAGGGTGCCTTCAACACTAAGGACTATTTAACATCATTTTAACCAGCACACCAATATGCAATGATTACACCTGTCTTCTTTCTGAGTGATTTTGTATTTTCCTCACAGAGATCCATGTGCAATGTATTTTTTTCTGTGCTATTTGTTAGCACAGTGAAGTGAATGGACAATACCTTTATAAAGGCTTATGTGCATTCAAGTTGAATGAGACAAACTGTGACTATTACTCAAATGTTGTTTTCTCTCATTTCTTTTGAATCTGCTAATAGTACAACTTTCTTTTTGCAAAATCATTGCTTTTTCTGCAGAAGTGAGTGTGTGACGGATTTTCTCCTGTTTTCTGAAGCATCTCTGGCCTGTCTTTCTGTTTGCCCTGAGCTCACCATATGGTTTATGATGACCATGCAGTATTTGTGCTTATTAGAGACCTCAGTTTACCATGAAGATAGAAACATACTGTCTGTGACCTGTGTTTATGCACAGATCATAAATGATATGATGAGATGCTGCAGTTTTGACAATCCAAACTCTGCTGTTTAACTCTGGGTGTGTTACTCCTCCTTCCAACTACAACTTCCCAATAAAGACAAAACCTCTTTAAAGACATGCTCTTTTTTACACTAGCAAAGGTGGTCATAGATAAATATGATATATTTATTTATTATATAAATAAATGTCATATTGTATCAACTGAAGTTATCATAGTTACTTGACTGTGCTATAAAATGGCCTTTGACCCAGTCACCAGTTCACCTCTCTTCCTCAGCCCACAAGAGACTAGTCGAGTTGTTTTATTTCTTTGCATTTACAATACCCAGTTTTCTCTGGCACAAACATTTTCAAAAAAAAGAAAAAATAGACTTTGTGCGAGAGTGGCTAACATGAGTAATAGTTTAGTCAAAAGCATTTTCTGCTAAAGTAAAATCTTTACTGTATGTCAGATACACAATGCATATTGATCTGTTTAGCTGACATAAGACTGTGTAGCAGACAGGCGTCAAGGTGTAGAATTAATATCAGTACTGCCATTATGCTGTACTTAGCTAAAAGGTATTCTTGATGGAGGGGTTTATTATTGGTTTTCTTTTTTTCAGATAGAAAAAAAGAAAATCAATAATACTTACACCAGCAAACACTCCTTTGTTCTTATTGACCCTATGAACGTTGAGCTGCTCATCCAGTCGTGCACAAGCTTTGATCCAAGCAAGGCTTTCTTGCTTCTGATTTTGGAAATCTGTGAATTTTACTGCCATAAATACTATCAGGATACCTGACATCACCAGTTCAGAAACCCCACTGACAATAGAGAACCGTTCTGTTTCAATTGTTGATGCGAAAACCGTCTGCAGGCTGCAATGTAGCCTGGCGCTACGTTAACATGTGTTTATTAATGCACGTACTTTAGCTTGTGTTTGTGAGACTGCCACGCACGTGGTAGCCGCGCTACTACGTAAATGGGCATCAGCCAATGAAACGCGGCCACTGTGGTACGGTCCATACTGGAGACTCCTGCATAAACGGGGCGGGGTTTGTAGAGGAGAGTCATCCAAGTCTTTGTTCTGATTGGTCAGCTGTCCTGCCAATAACTCTTACATTCTGTTCGTGCAGGTGCAACGCTGGTTTCTGAAATAGTCGCTGCAGAAAAGCTAAAGAGAAAATCACCCATTTCATGGTAAACCCTTCGCTTATCTTGAGTAGCGGAGCTGTGTTCATTACAACAGCGGAAACATAAAGAACGGAGCTTATCCATTACGAGGTCAGTGATTTAGGTAGTTGTTAATAAACAGGAGTAACCTTCATTTGACATAGCTGGGATGCTTAGCTAGCTCCTGCTGTCACATTTAACTATAGCTGGACTCAATTAGCCATTTACCAGCTTTCTGCTTTGTTGTTAATAATTAATGCTGTAATGGTTATTATCGACGCTGAACGGCGGTAACTAACATAGAACAGACCGTCATAAACCGGTGGGCTTGTGTCGAGCTAACTTTGAGAGTACAGCTACATAATTCAAGCTAAGCTCTGTTACTAGATGGTTGTGGGATTCAGGCCGTTTTACTTAAAAGCAATAACAGAGATGAATGAAACAATGCTTCAGTCTATGCTTTTGTTTGTTTTTGCAGCATTGTGAGTATGTTACCAGCGACTTGGCCTGTCCGGCTGAGGCTCTTGTCATCCCTGCATGGGAGGCGATAGGACAGTCAGTTTAGTCGATGCTTAGTCTGTTAAGCCCTTCTACTTCCGCCCTCTTATCCTCCATGAGGTGAAGGTGTCTGACTGCTGGGACGCTAAAGTACTCCAGGCTGGGAAAGGGAGGATGGCGGAGGACTGCTGTCAGTGGGAGTCACACACAGAGTGTTTGTTCTTCCTCAAAACATCTGTCACCAATATAGGTGCAGGTTGCCTTGGTTACACTGAGCCTGTTCACGTTTTCCATAGATTGAGTGGCAAGCATTTTATTTTCATGAATCAAATATCTACAGTGTCACCACTTTTCCGAACTTGTGTAACTCTGTGCTTTGCTGGATTTCAGCTTCTGAACTGCGTTCTGACTGATGGTGATCCATTCTTGTCTCCTTGGTGCTTGAAGTTGGATTATCAGATCTTTGAGACCTTTGTTCATTTTGCCTTATGACATGGTGCTCCATCTTGCTGGAGACAGATCAGAAGTTTCTATCTGAGGACAGAGATGATGCCTCTGCTTTCTGCAGAATTTTACTTTGTTTTTATTGTCTTCTTGGACAGAATTGCCAACTTTGGTGCTTCTCATCACACGGCTGTTGTCCAAACTGTCCACCCCTCACCCATAGATGTGCAGATGAACTCACACCCTTCTTCTGCTAATAGTCAGAGTCTGCAGTTGTGGCAACCCCATTCTGTAGTGCACCCTGGGGAATAGATAGCTTGGTGCTAGCTTAGATGCTCATGGAAATCCAAAAGCCTTCTCTTTGAAGCATATTTGTTCGTCCTTTATAACAGTTTTTTGCAGCATCACCTGTTTTGATGATGTGATATCATAACTGTACATATGGAAAAGCGAGTCTTGCTATAAAGTTTAAAATGTAAACTGAGATTCATTCTGAATTAATCTGAAACACAATGATCCAACTATAATATATGTCAGCACAAAAACTGAAGCTGCAAAGTTTGCAGAACAGAGTCTGCAGAACAGAGTCTGCAACAGTAAGGCATGTTCTACCTCAAACTCAGATGGTAAAGTCCCAGAGAAAGTCTGGAGAGAACAAATAGAAACATTGAAAACAGCTGGAGTCAGTGGATCCTCTGTGACATAGCTGGAGCATGAGCTTGTTGTATTCAAGTGTTTTGTGTGGTCTCTGTTTGAATGACGGCTTATTGTTTCCTAAGTATGTAAACTTCGGGTGCTAATTGTTGCCTGTTTGTTCATGTATAGATGGCATCTGCAAATGCGACATACGGACAGAAGGAATCCTCGGACCAGAATTTTGATTACATGTTTAAAATCCTCATCATTGGGAACAGCAGCGTGGGAAAAACCTCTTTCCTCTTCCGCTATGCAGATGACTCATTCACGCCGGCGTTTGTCAGCACGGTGGGAATCGACTTCAAGGTCAAGACCATCTATAGGAACGACAAGAGGATAAAACTACAGATCTGGGTGAGGACTCTAGGTTTGAGGAGCACCGTTCAGAAGTTTGTGGCCATTTTTTTTAACACTTTGATCTGCCTATTTGATACCTTTTTTTGTCAATTTCCCTTTATTTCTCTTATTGCTGGGTGGCAGATGACATAATTCCGATGTCACGTTAATGCAGATGGAGGGCAGAAAGTAAATGCAGCCCGTTTACTTTTGTTGATCCAGCTTCAAATTGCCTAAACTCTGTCGTGTGTGTTACAACCATTCTAATAGAGAGAAAGATAAACGTTATTTTTGTGTTTCAAGGGAGTTAATTTTCAAAAACTTACAGAAAAAAGACATGAAAAGTGAATCAACAATTTACATGTAAAAACAGGAGGTGCAAAAGCTAACAATGCCAGAGTTCTCAGCGCCCACTAACTATCGCATCGTTTAAAATATACTTTCAAATATTTTATTGGACATTCACTTAGACAGACAAGCATTCATATGTAAGATAAGATGTATAATTTTTGCGCTCTAGCTTGGTTGAACCATGTTTTCAATGTGGTTTCTGTTGATCGTTGCGAATAGTTTACCTACATTGTAGAATGCAGTATGACTCAACATTAATATACAACTCCAGCATGAATTTGGATTTACAGAAGCTAAATAAATTATTTACAAGCACAAAGAAATGACATGAGTTAGCTTATTTGCATTAGTGATATCATTGTTATCACTAAAGCTATTATTAGCATTAGTGATAACAAATGCTATCATTAGACAACACTAACTAATGACAGCATTAGTTGTGTTACTTTAAGTAACACAACTCACTACTCACCTGGGCAGAAATGAGTGCAGAGCCATTTAATGCTTCTTTTGATCCTAAATGTTTGACCCAACCTGAAGTAGAATAATTGTATGCTCCAGGCTTTTGAAAACTTTCATCTGATGTGTCGTAGCAGCATCAGATTAGTTATGTCGATTGCCTCAACGTCGGGTAAATCCTCAAGATTATATGGCAAGTCTTTTTTACTGAGTAAATATGGATCATGTTCTAAATATATGCATTTGTTTTTTAGATGCCTCTTCTGTACCAGCCCATTTAGGGCATTAGCTTCTCGAGATCCACCTACTCCCATCTGAATTTTGCATGTCACCTCTGTCATGTGTCTGCAACCCAGACACATGACTCTTTGGAGGGAAGCAATCAATGCCATTTATATAAAAGTTTTTATTTTGTTAACCTTCCAGTTGTGAGAAGTTTTTCATTTCTAACAAGCAGAGGCAACATCATGCTGAACACATATGAAACAGAATTCTACTAATATTTTAAAACAAAGACAAAATGTCTGCAGCTTTGTCTTTGGTCAGTGAACAGTCAGTAAACTTGCGAGTCTGTCAGAAGATGGCATCATCTTCTTGTAATACATGGGCTGACTTTTTCTCCAACTGCTCCTCTGAAACACAGGTTTGGTGTAATCAATGATCTGGAAAAGATTGGATTTTTAGGTTTGATGGGTCACAGATAAACACCAATGAAACTTTAAATAGTTTCATGGCGTTCTAGCTGAGAAGTCAGCGAGATCTGAACTGACTTCTCAGTTTGTATTTAGCTAAGCCTGTAAATAAAAAAAAAGAAGACCTGAGGAAAGGCTGCTAATGGATATACAGGTCTGTTGCCTGTTGTTGACATTAAAGTTGCACTGATTTTTCATGAGATAACAATCTTCCCTGGAAAATGTGTACCAACAACTCATTTTCGCATGCGTTAAAATAAATACTTGAGCTTCCCATAAACACATTGAATATAGACTTGTGCAAGCAGCACAAGTTATTGCTTTAATATCATGAAAGATTTGATTATTATAACAATCTACTTGATAACATAGATGCAACCTGAGATCATCCCACTTCCTCATGCTGGAGGTTTTAGTTTAAAAGTAACAATACATAAAGTTACCTTTAAAATTAATCACACAAGTGACATCTAGACCCAACAGTAGACTTAAACTTCTGGTTGTGCGTGTTGATTTTATCTCTGGCAAACTTTGCTTTAATTCTACGTCTTTTTTCTATCTAATCAAAAGAAATCATAGCCAGACAGAGAGAGTTATGAAACAGGAACAGCAGGTTTCCTCTTTCCACCCTCAAGATGTATAAAAATAGTTGAAACTATTCCTTATTTCAAACCATAATAGTTTTAAAGAATGAAATCTAAACATTTTGAATTGAATAAGTAAAATACTTACATTGATATTGGTTTACTTGTGAGAATGCTTGCAAATAAAACAATTACTGTAACTTTGGAATCAAATAATTAGAATAAATGATTATTCTTGGTTTCTTTTCAGAAAACGTCTGTAATGACTCGCATTAAGATTATAATAAGAGTAACTAATCCCAGCAGATTAATTTCACTCGTTAGATGGAGAGCTGGTAGCACATCTCCCCACTCAGAAGAGGAAGTAGAGAGAGAGAAAGGGGAGACTGTTGCACAACAACAATTGCAGTCCAGTGAGTCCAATTCAGATTTCTACTTATATTTGAACTAAATTATTCCTCAGTGAATAATTATTCACTGAGGAAATTATAAAATTGTTTAGGAAATGGATTCTGTTACAGCAAGTCATATTTTGATATAAGTATGCCTGGTAGAGCTACGTTTTAATAGTGACCCGTTTTTATCTAAGAGAATTACTATTTTCTTTATTAAGATTTTTCAGTAATTGGGCACATGATATTAGGATACGACTGATGATCTGACCGAGCAGTAAGATCATTTAAAAGGACTTTATGCATGGCTCAATGTTCTCATGAATAAATGTTGTTGTTTTTTTCATGGACTTTTCATGCTAGGGGGTTTAAATGTGTATGGTTGATTTATAAATGTGTGTGTATATATTAGACACACAGATCATTTTAGTAACTTAAATCTATCCAGTACTTCATTCTGCTGAACAAATGTAGCTTGATTTCCAACACCACCTCTAACTGTGATCCACACCTGCCATCACTGCTGTCTCGGTATTATCCTGAACAGGTTGGATTCTGGTCTGAACATGTCCTCTGGGTCCCTCGAGTGGTCACAAACAAAACTGAAAATTTAGTTTTGTTCATATATTGTAAGAACTTACTTATTATGATTGTTGGATGACAAGTAAGTTCCCTCTCTCTCATTACCCACTTTCCTGTCTGTCCTCTATCAAAAAATAAAGGATACCAGAGGAAATAAAACCTTAAAAAATAAAAATAATATTAAATGAAATTCACATGTTGATTTTGTACATCCCAGCCTTAAACTGACAGTCTCCAACATCCAGCTCATCACTGATGAGTGAGTTCAGTCACACACAGTCACATGTGTTAGACTGACCCTGTAATGCTCATAAGATGTGGACTGAGTTTAGTGCTCTGTAAAGCTATTGCATTTTACAGTATGCAGAATGTACAGCCTGCACCTGTAACCATTAGTTTTATTAAAAGTTCTATTACTCATTATTTTGTCACTAATTGTAGAATAGTTATCAAAATGTAACATTAACTTGTCAGATACAAACAGTCAGTTTGTGGTTATGCATTAAACTGTTCAAATCAGAGATGTTTCATATTTAATAAACGCAAAAGTGTCTCAAAACATTCCTAAGTTATAACGAGGCTCCAGTTTCATTTTTCAACTTTTAAATTCAGCCGACCTGTAAATCCTACTGATGGTCCACATTAACTGTTAACTGACCTTTCTAAGACTGTGTTTTATGACCATGAGGCAAGCTGTCTGGTTAGGTTTGCTGATAACTTCTAGCTATTAAACATTTGCCTCTTTTTTCAGAAACATTCCTTTGTTAGGAATGATTAATGGCAGAACCCTTGAAGCATGCCCGCTTGTTGCATTAGGGACCAGAACATACTGTTAAAGTCACACTTTGGTCATACTGATAGATGTTTTTTATTATTATTATTATTTATCTTATTTTATAGTCACTAATCTTGATAGCTATGTATGCTTGAAGTAATCTATGGAGCATGTTTTGGTTCTATGTGTGTGCAGGACACTGCTGGTCAGGAGCGCTATAGAACGATCACCACAGCCTACTACAGAGGAGCAATGGGCTTTATCCTCATGTACGACATCACCAACGAGGAGTCCTTTAATGCTGTGCAAGACTGGTAAGAGACAGATGCATGTTCTGCTAAAAAGATTAGCAATATCATGAAAGGGCAAATATTGGAATCTCATAGTGAAACTGACATCATGATAAGCTAATTAACCTGCAAGCAGCAGAAAGTTTACGCAAAAACGCTACACAATCTACTGACTGGACAGACGGCCTGAAGACCGTCATGGACACCGTCCACAAGGAGATGAAGACATAGCAGGTCAATGCTGAAGCAGCTGTTTGTTCAGTGTGTTGCATCCAAGCATATTCATAGAAAGTTGAGTGGAAGGTAAAAGTGGGAAAGGAAAAGGTGCAGCAGCAGAATCCCTTCAAGAATTTTTAGGGAGCTTCACAAAGAGAGACCTGAGTCAGAGAATGTCCAGCAGATAACATTTGTAGGATCCTTCTGAGATACTTAACTTTGGGTTTCATGATCCTTAAGCCATAGTTTCACTCTATGTAAAATGAGTCTATATCATAGACAAGTTTTACGTTCTGAAACGAGAGGAGAAATATTCAACTTTTTCATAATTTCTAACTTCCTGAGATGCACGTCTGTTGGAAAGTAGTGACTATATGTTTCAGTTTTTCATTCAGCACTCTGCTGCTTGGACGACCTTTCATCCCTCAGTTTCTGGAAACAGACATGTTAAGCAGAATACATTAAAGTATACATGAAATGCTAATCCCAATGTCTGTTCCACAGAGAGTCATCAATAAATTTATTGATTATTCCTCATGGAAGAAGCTGTGTTTATCCTTTCCCAGGAAGGTCACTGAAGTCTTTAAGAAAATGAAGGAACCTTGTGTTTGTGTTGACAGGTCAACCCAGATCAAGACGTACTCATGGGACAACGCCCAAGTCCTCCTGGTGGGAAACAAGTGTGATATGGAGGATGAGCGGGTGGTGGCGTCCGACAGGGGGCGCCAGCTCTCAGAGCAACTTGGTAATGTGGCCCCTTTAGCACCTCTCAGTACACAGCACTTTAAAGTATGGCTGCAACTAAGCATTATTTTATGTAGTGATTATTTTGACGATTGATTGCATAAAAAAGTTGACACTGCAGTTTTTTAATTTAACCACTTAAGCCTTTATGCAATGTTAGAAATACATTGAAAATACAAATAATTAAATTCCTTCCTTTAGCTAAGAAAATAAACATTTTATTCCCCAAATTTCAACAACAGCATTCTTTCAGTGAACACTTGATAATCTGGAGCAAAGGAATCATCTGCAGCCAAAAATCCTTCAACATGTGAACAGATCAGGCCTTTTTGCTGGACTCAACATCAATACAGTGTAGGGCTGGTCTGGTGATTCATTTTGAATGAACTCATCAATCAATGGATAGCAAAAGTTGCTTGATAGATTTTTATTTATTTGTTTTTTTTTTCACAGAATTTGAACCAGCTCAAGCTAAAACTATTACTAGGTCACAGGTGTCAAACTCCAGTTCTCAAGGGCCTCAGTCCTGCAGATTTTAGATGTGCCACAGGTACAAAACACTGGAATGAAATGGCTTAATTACCTCCTTCTTGTGTAGAAAAGTTCTCCAGATCGTTGCTAATGTCCTAATTATTCTATTCAGGTGTGGTGCAGCAGAGGCACATCTAAAAGTTGCAGGACACCGGCCCTCAAGGACTGGAGTTTGACACCCCTGTTCTAACATATTTACAGACAAGGGTTGTTTTTCTTAGTTGAAGAATGTATGTATTTCTTGTACAACTTTGGCTTGATTACTGCTCTGAGGAGGTGGTTCTTTCAGCAAATGACATTTTTTAGCCTTTATTCTCTATTAATGATTACCTAGTTACTGAATTAGAGGATTATTTCAATAATCGATTAGATCCAATTGTTTCGGCATGACATCAGCCCTACACATGGAACCAGAGCTACAGTTCAGATCAGTATATAGCATGCATCAAAATGGCCCTGTCAAAGTCCAGCTATATGTCCAATTGAGTTTTTGAACATTTACTTATCTTTAACTTTACAACTATAATTATCTTTGAGTTGGTATGTCACAAAAGATTTCAATGTAATACATAAAAGCATGTGATTGTATTCTGATAAATAGTGAAAAACATCTGTCTATCAATGGATTGTTTAACAGTGACGCTTTGAACGTTGTTCTGGAGCTCACTGCTTGTCTACTGTTAACAGTTTGCAATCCATGTACATTTGACAGGTTTTGAGTACTTTGAAGCAAGTGCTAAAGACAACATCAACGTGAAACAGACGTTCGAGCGACTGGTGGACATCATCTGTGAGAGGATGACAGAGACTCTGGACAACAACGACCCAACAGTCATCGGAGCTAAACAGGGGCCACAGCTCAATGAGCAGCCCCAGAGGTCTCACCAAGATTGCGCTTGCTGAATGCACACATACGTGCACACACACACACTGCTTGTCCTGATTTTTCAAGGTTTTTTTAGTCTGGATTTTGCTGGTTTTGTTTTTTTTAAATGCAGATGCAAAACATCCCTGCACATAAACACTGCCATCCATCCACAGCCCCACACCAGCAGCAGTCTGCCCAGAGATGGGCCTTCCAGGGGCTGTCCTTCTGCTCAGCAACATTCCCTGACTCTTTCACACACTTCTTAAACACACTAAGGTGTATGTTACCAGATGTGCAACAGTTGTAATTATTGTCCCTCTGAAAAGATGTTTGTTGCTGAAGTGGGTTCATGCAGGCGTGTTTTGGAGGATGTGAGATCCTCTTTTTAGTGTTGTGGTGGACTTTTAGGGAGATTTTGAATCTAAGTTCGATGTTCAGGCAGAGTTGTTCTTAAATTAAGAAATTATTGAATTAATTTAAATATTTATCTTCAAGACATATATTTACAATAGATCTGAAAAGTGTCCAAACCTTTGTTTAAAATGTAGGGTTTTGTGACTTAAAAGAAGGCCGTGATAAATTATCTCAAATAATTTTTCTTTATTAATGAGACATACATCCTGTATAATCCAACTGAAAACAAATCTGCTTTAGTAAAAAAAAAAATAGAAAGGTGCAACAACCCAGATGCATACATTTTCACACCCTTAAGCTAATATTTTGCTGAAGCTTCTTGTCGTTGACTTTAACTATTGAGTCTTCTTGGCGCTCTACAGCTTGTTTTAGGCCTTGTCCAAACATAGCCAGATATCTAGGGAAAAAGATACACTTGTTTCAATAACCTGATTAAAAGTAGTTCAACCTATATAGGTGTCTAACCAAATGATACTCCTGGCACCACGTTTCTTCCTAGTAAAAAGCCGTGGTTGTTTTGAAGCAAACTGATTCTGAGAAAGGTTGTAGCAATGCGCTACACTGCCCCCTATGGGTTTGGCATGTTTAAAACCAAAACTCACAGACAGATCTGTTTGGGTTCACATAAATGAAATGTTTTCTGAAACTGATCCCACTGATACAATATTATTTTTTAAAACAATTTGGAGGACATATTTGATTTTATAAAGAAACAGCCGCGTGTTTACAAACTTTAGTAATATTTACCCACTTAGATGTATCAAAGTTCTCCAAATCTATCCACTTGTGAAGACATATGTTTTCCACGGCCCTTCTTGGATTCAGATTTACTTCTTGGCTCTGGTGAAGTTATTCTCCTCAGATTAACAGTGATGCTAAAACATCAAATCCACCTCCAACTTCAACTTTCTAGGAGACATTTTGGCATTTTCTTTGGAGATGTGCATAATCTCACTGACTGACAAAACATCTTCCTCTGAAAATAAGCACACCCAGAGCATAATGCTGCCACCACCATGTTTCTTTGTAGGTATGTTGTTCTTTTATTGAAACTTACTGTTAATGTGGCCCAGAAAATCCAGTTGGGTTTTATCAGATGGTAGTGGAAATTCTGGATGTGTGCAGGAGTCTGAGATCCCAGCTCCTTTTTCTGCTTGTTATCACATCTAGAACACACCCTGCAGCTCTTTCTCTGCAGCTCTTTCCATGTTGCTGTTAGTCTACTAACAACCTCACTGACCCAGTGATAACATTTCATCAGTTCAGCATCATAGCTTCATCAGTTCTGGAGAAATATCCTGTTAACAGAACACGGCCGTTGTCTCTATTTTATTGATATCTGTTTTCATTGTGCTGTGATTTGAATGTAGTGCTGAGGATTTTCATGTACCATCTTCTGACTGGTACCTTTGATTTTTTTCTACAGAGCTATAGCTAAAGATGTTGGTAACAACATTAGGGGAAAATTTATCTCCAGAACAGCTGAATGTTATTTACATTTAATCAGATTTACTATGATTTATATAGTGATGAAGTTAGGAAGACTAAATTGAAAGTATTAGTTTCAGTGTTTGCACACTCATGAAACTAGATAATTACATATCTATTTTCCATCTTCCCCTCTAACTGATGTTTGTTTCCAGTTGAATTGAACAGGATGCCTGTTGGACTAGATCTGGGGAAAGTGATCATTTGATCACAGTTTTCTTTATTTTGCACAAACCTAGCATCTTAACAAAGGCGTTTTTACTTCTGAGAGCAAAAGCATATAGTAATCTCTATGAAAAATTAAAGTCAACATTCTGATTGGACCTGGATAAGGAACATCATAACCTGGATGTTTGATGCTTTTAAAAACTCATTGGCTCTAAGTCATACATCACAGTAGGAGAATATCAAATGTCTCTGGCCATTCAAGATTTTATAAATATAAATGTCAATAAATATGCATTCTAAAATGCAGATATTTATAGTATCCATGTAAACTGATTGGGAAGCGGTGGTTGCTGTAGTCAGAGCTGCATGTTTTTGATGTTTTGACGCTTCTTCTGACTGGTTTATTTGTATGTGCTGCTGATTTTACTTGCTTTACTCCCATCTTTCTCACTCCCTCTACTACTTTAAAATGCCATATGGGTGTGAAAGTTTGATGTTTAACTCTCGACACCCCAAAGCTTTTATTCAGTGCATATAGTGGGTGTTGGTCATTCCTCCCTTCGCTATTCCACTCTTCTGCAGTTTTAGTTGTTTCCTTCCCTGCATCAGAACATTTTGTACCAATCATGCATCAATCTGTTCTCAGCCAAGGGTACGTCTTGTACCCACTTTAACAACCAGTAATAGGAACTTTTTATGTCCTGCTGTAGGGAATAATTCTATTTAACTCAATTTAAAAAAACAACTTATTTATCCTAAAAGGAAATGAAATGTCTTCACTCATCATCCAAGTATCTTCAAAGAGTTGTTGTTGAAGGTGATGCTGCAGGCACAAAGGATCTCCAGTTGCTGTCAGTATTGCAACAAATCTGAAGAAGCGTCTACCTGAATCTTGTTGGCTGTATAACATTATCATGGCTGTCATGAGATCCTAACCAGAATCCAGGCAGCAGAGACAAAATTCCCCAGTAACATGTCCTGGATTACTCTATCAGTTGTTGGGAAGCTCTCCTAATCCATCTCATTTGCTGTTGCCACATCTTTTTTTTAGATGTATAGTTAGAAACCGAGAAAGAGAGACATGGTGTCTGGGATACGAGTTCTGTAAATCATTTTTTAAAGAATAATTTCATAAGAACCAAGTGGTCCAAATGGTTGGAAACATTCTAATCTATGAGAGTTGGGTTCCATTGAAAATATTACAGAAATGGTACTGAATTAAATTAGACTACATGTATGATCAGAGCTATATTTTTTTTAATCTTCCTTCCATTATTCTTCTAAACACTTATTTATCAAGAGATATAAAATTATGCACATTGGTCAAGTGGAAACTAAATGGTTGGTTTGTTTCCAAAAATGGAAGTAGGTGGGAAGAAGATGAGGTTCTGATGAAGAGGTGAAGGGACACATTGACCCAGAGACTAATTGGACTATCAGAACCCTAATTGGTCTGTTTGCTTTCTGCAGAACATGTTGGAATTTTTGAGGCTGTCTGGTTTAGTTTATGCCAATGCGGTGAAGGACGTGTCTGCGCTTGTTTTCACTACTAACCAACTGATGCAGTCATAAAATCGCTGAGGCATGCGCCAAGTGTTTCACATGAATTATTTATTTTCTTATTTATGATCGAACTTTTTTGTAGTATTTAAGATTATGCAATACATTCTGCACGTTTTGAGATGTTTGCTCATATTCAGTAGCCTGATGTTTTCTAGCACTTCTGCTTGTATGAGTGTTAGCAGAGCCGCATGGAGGATGATTCCTTTTGGGGGGAGAGTAGAGCATTAAAACATTCCAGAGTGAGAACTTATCATGCTCAAGTAGCTTTATTGAGGAGTATGTTTGTCATTTTGTAACTGCTATGATTGCTATTTTTTTTCTCACACTCAGTTATTAAGAATGTACAACTTAGATTTGCAACACAAGGCGTGTGAGTAAAAGCAACTGAATAAAGAGCATTTTCAAGATTTGTTTTCTCTTTTTAAGTGTTCTGAATAAATGTAGGGTCCAAGTTCCCTGACTGTTGGTTAGAAATGTTCTGTTGAGCCTGTCTGCTGTCAGAAAGGGAAATCACTGCTGCAGGTTACCTGAATACTCGACTTCTTCATCAAAAAGTGATTTTGACTATTTTTGTTCACGTTTGACTTGTTTACTGATTTTTTTAAAATTATTATTATTATATTTATTTATTGTGTTTTGCTACAGTTTTAACTTTGCTGAAGATTAAAAAACATATCAGTCCTGTTCTCATTCAATCCTCCATGGCAGAATTCCTAACTGTAAATAGGAATATCCTTCCTGTCAGATAATAATTGTGTGAACTGTGCTGTAATTCTGTAATACCAGGTTTACTGAAATAAGGAACCAATAAACCGTAATAAAAGCAGGAGGTTTGTGTTGGTTCTGTTGTTGTTCACAAGATGTATTTTTTTTTCATGGAGATTTTGCTGATTTGGGGAAAAAGAACACAAATAAAACTTTAAATTATTATAATCAGAAGGTGTTAATTTGAGTAGAACATGCTGGCATTCCAAAGCTAGGGTTTCTGCAAGTTCACATTGTAATCTAATAAATAATAAATCCTAAAAGAGTTAAATATTCTCTGGCTTTGCATGTTGAGTCTTAAGAAACCTCTATGTCTTAAAATGTGTTAGTTCATTCAGTGTAACTACCATCACTTTTTTTCTTACTGAGAACAGCAGCAGTCTTTTTCCTGTTTTTCTTGTGCATTGCAGTAAAAGTTGAGAAATTTGGGTAAGAGATAAAACTACTAGTTTTAAGATTGACTTGGAACAAACAGCCTTTCAAAATGGATTGTGTAACATTCAGATTTCCTTGCAGATTTGCATGAGAATAAATTCTGGCTCATTTGATGTTTATCCAATAAAAGTGGCATGTTCCTGTTTATCAATTACCTGCTTTTTTATCATTGGAGAGTGTAGATAAATTGAATCACACGATCATACAATAATCTCAAATACTAGACCTAAAGGGATTCTTTGTTTTTTTTTTTTTTCTTACAGTGATAATGAAAAAAATCATTTATTTTTTATTATTTTTCATCAGCTAAAAAGCTGCTTTCTTTTGCAGCTTTTTAATTAACACCTGAAATTTTTGGACAATCATTTGTGTCCAAAATGATTGATATTTAAAACTATTGGCAATTTAATGAATCTTAAAAAAAATAGTTCATTTCAAGTCCTGCTCAAACCACCACCATGTTCTTTAGGTTACTTCCAATGTTAATTGTGTTGGTTTTGTGGCCTAAAATGTCCAGCTTTGTTTCTTCAGACATAATGCCTGAAGGTTTGGAAGATTCTGCTCAGACATGCACAATACAAATAACTTGTCACATGTAGAACACAGCTTATCTGTAAGTTTAATAAGTGGTCCTATTTTCCTTCAGTTATTGTTTCCTGCTGCTATCAGAGATTTAAATGCACCACATCCTTGTTGCATTTCCATGTCTCCAACTTTCTTTCTTGGAATTGAGGCTTCAGTTATTTTTTTCCCCATTCTGAAACTGGAAATGTTGAGTTAGAAGAAAAAACTGCATGTGTGCCAAAATACTTTTTTCGTTTTGTTTTTAAGACAAAAGAAAATCACAAAGGTCAAGTCTTGATGCATTCTTATTCTTTAAAATGTTTGTCAGTTCATATTTTAGCCAGCAGAGGGCAGATGTTTTGCAGACTGAAATTTACTTTAACGTGACCAGGTTTGGGGTCAAAGTTAAATTCGGACACATTTTCTATAGACGACACTTTTTGAAATTTGTACTGGTTAACCATTTAGATTATCTTATTAGCATCAAAGTTGTTCAGTACAACACATTTTTTGTCTCTCAGCAGTTCTCTTGTGTTTTTATAGAAAGTAGGACAGTAGCACCTTTCATAAAAAGACGAGATCCTTTTATGTTACGGATTTATAATGGTTTATAAATTCCTTTAAACAAATGTCCGACTACATTACTGCACTAAAAATGTTGAATATTTAAATTTACATAATTATTTTGCCTCAGTGACCTGCGGCCAGGGGAGGCAAGTGAGGCAGAGTCTCACTTATCATAATGGAAAAATATAATCATCAAATAATTTATATTGCTATTTTTCACCTTGCGGTCTGTACTGTAAAGTATTTTTTTATTGTTATTTACATGAACCAATTTTGATTATTTTTTCTTTAAAATTTTCGCATTTTCCCATTCAGAGCCTCGGAAGTGATCAGGTGAGGCAGCAGCGAGCCTCACCTGGGATCGATCAACCTCTGGCTGCCACAGCATGATGCTCCTGTCTGTACGTCACTAATAAAATTGTAAAAAAAAAAAAAATTAATATATGAACTTATTTCCCATATTTTACCTTATGTATAATGTTTTTATTTATTTATTTATTTTTTGTCACCAACTGTGAGTAACGTGAGCGATCAGAAACGGCGGAGAACAGATTGGAGGTGAGGCAGGCAGTTCTCGTGCCTCACGGCAGGGGGCGCTCATGATCCCAGACATTGTGACTCCACAGCTGCAGAGTAAGAGACAGTAACAGCGAGCTAGCCATACAGTAAAGTGCAGCGATATATTTAGTTTTCTCCTCTTACCACAGCTATCGGTTATTAATCGCAAAATAAACATGAAGTCTAAAACCATACTACTGCAACAGGCTGAATGTTCTGCTCTTTATGTGGGAAATATATTCTGTTTTTTTAGGGACGTTGTTGTCCGTTGCTATGGGAACAATGTAGCCTGGCCAATGCAGAGCGAGAAAAACGTGGGTTTGAGTTGGACTTTGAGTTGGACTGAATCGGTTTTTCCCTTTGCTGTGGAGCACGACGTGAACATTACCTTCATTTCCAAGTTTGATCATTATTGTACCGCAGCAGCGCTGCATGGATGGGATGGAAAGCAATTCTTTTTGGCCTCCATCGTTGTCCACATGTAAACAATAACATGCAGGTGATCTACATTTGTATATCTGATAATGATTAAGTTTTAGCTTTGCACCTCGCCGCATGTCACTCTTCTGCATTTATAAACGGAAAATATATGTATATTTTGTGGCCTAAATGTACTTTATACAGCAAAAGCAAGAAGTGATTCATCTTAACTGTAAACATCTCTCCCCTCACTGACTCACACGATGCTTGAGGTTAAATAATGTAGTGAATTTAATAGATGTCAGACGGACGCTGGTCCAGTACACATGTATACAGACGTTCTCAGTTCATACACATTCATACATTCATAAAAGTATGGCGACTTTAGAGCTGAGCAGCAAACCCTGCAGTGAGCAAAACAATGATGACTGACAACATATTCAACAATGACAGGGCTTCTGCTTACCGAATAAAGAAGATGGAAATAAGACTAAATGTTTCAGTACATAAAATATAGTTATCATTATTAAGTGTTTGTAAACAGGTAAGATATTCTATGACATTGTATTGAGAGCACTTGGTGAGACCCTGGCTGGTGGTCTGCTGGTGGTCTGTTGCACGGCTGGCTGAACAGTCGCTTCCTGTTGGATCCAGGCGGTCTGGGATCCACACCTGCTTCGTTTCCAGGTGATAGTTCATGTCGGTCGCCGTGCAAGTTTGGTTTGTCAAGATCTGTGGGCATGCGCAATAACGGCCTCACCTTAAGTCTGTGGTAAGATCCGTAGTTACAGGAAATGAATGTTGGTGATTATAGGAGCGTCAGTACGCCTGCACCTGGTTTGGTAAAAGCTGGCATCCGCTGCTGACATGGCTCATCACCTTCTGCTTCAGCTGGGCCACTTGCTCCCGCAGCACGCTGGCAGTGGAGGCCAGCTCGGTGTTTTGCGTCTTCAGGGTTTTGACCTTCTCCTCCAGCCTGGAGATCCTCTCCAGCTTCCTCTTGCGACACTTCGAAGCGGCTATCCGGTTCCGCAGCTTTTTCCGCTCCGCCTTGATGCGCTCCTGGTTGTCCATGTCGATGGGGGACAGTGGAGGACTGTCCCCGCAGCACTGCATGTCCGGGACGGTCTGCGGCTCGTCCTTCATCGCGCTGACGGACTGCTGGAGCCGCGACAGCGCCGCCGCGGCGGCCGCCTGCTGCTGCGCGCTGGCCGCGTGGGGAGGCGGTGGCGGGAAGGAGATGGTGTCCGTGGAGTAGTTAATGGCGGCGGCGCCCAGCGGAGCCGCGGCGTAGCCGTTCAGGGTGGTGTAGACGGGGAGGTCCGACGGCTGGAGCCCCGTGGATCCGGCGGTGCTGGGGGATCCGAGGAGCTCCAGTCGGTCCACGGACACGCACCCTGCGTCGTTCAGCTGGTTCTGCTTGTGAAGGTCCTCAAGCGCCTTGACAAAGCCTTCCGCGAATTCCTGCTCCTCACTGGCTGACTTCGGGAACATGAACTGAGAGTTTGGGTGAGACTGAATAATGAGACGCTCCAGGTCCGGAGAGGCGAGTTTTAGGAGTCCCAAATCCTGCGAGTTTATAATCCCACCCGTGTCCCGCAGCGGGTTCGGCTTCAGTTCTGAGTTCTGATCCTCCTGGTTCAGGCTGATCTCCTTCTTCATCATCGTGCTCTAGATGCTGTTCACCACGGGGAACGGGTGGAGAGGTGTTTCCATTCTACACCCTCACATGAGGGGCTGCGAGTCGTTTCAATACAGACAGGATTTGGACACTTTCTCCGTGTCCTCTGTGTGCGCAGTCTCTCTGTCAGCCCAGGTCTTCAGGTGCTGCGCCTCAGGGGTTCTGATGTGTCTCCTCTGCGCGCCTATGACATTGTCTTTTCCCGATGGCACGTCGGCTATGCGCAGCGCCAGACCTTCCTTGCGTTCTACCCCCAAAAATTCCATTATGTCACTGCAGAGCGCAGAGATTGGCCCAAAATGATCTTGGTTTCCGGTTCAATTTGAATAAGGGGGCCGAGCCGGTTTTTGTCACCATGGAGACCTTGAGTAAACTACAAACAGTGCAATGCATTGTGGTTTGATGTCATATCATAAAAAAACGCAGGTTGGCCAGAGGAGAACTGGGCGGGGAAGGTGTAAGAGGCAAAGGCCCAGCAGAGACAGAGCAGGCTGCTCTCTCTGCTGGGCTTGCACAATAGAGTAGAATAGAAACAAAATGCTCATCTGTTTTTGTTGTTTTTGTCTTAATGTGCCAGACCGCCTATAGAACCTTGTCTCCTTTCGCTCCCTCTGGAAACACCAAGTACTCACATTCAGCATTCACACAAATGAGTCCAAAGAACAGAATGAAGGTGGTTCTAAAACTTCAAGTGGGTATGAAGCTAAAAAGGGAAGGAAACTGTGACTGTGAGATGAGGAAAGCAGTCAGTGGAAAGGCGACTGCTCTGCCATGAGCCACAAACACCCTGTGATTTCTGTCTGCAGCGTGATGTGTTTCACAATTGTTTAGCAATTTATACATATCTGTAGCTTTATGAAGGAAAACAAAACTGTTTTATTCAACTTTAAAACATCCATATGTCATAAAGAAAAAAAATCAATAAAAGTGATTAAGTGGGTAAATATTGGAAAAAGAAAATCAACTGTTCCATAGATACCAGTAAGGTAAGCATCAGCAACTAAATGCTGCCTGTGGTGGATACTCCTACCACCAGCACATCATGTTAGTATTTATTTTTTCTTTATATTAGTAACATCTTATAATATGCTCAAGTTAGATATTTCATTTAGACATATATTTTCTAATGGTGCTCACTTTAGATAATGTCTGAATGGTTTATTCACACTTGTTCTTTTCTTTGAGGTGCTGCAATACAAACCACCTGGAGGAGGAAACCTGGAGCACACCATTTGTTTTTTTAAAAAACTTGATTTTAATTAGTTAATTTTTGTTTGCTGGTATCGGGATTAGAGCTGCTGGTGACTGACTCATCTGTTGTTAATTGTGGTAGGAGGTAAGACGTTCAGGGACATGTTAAATATATGCATAATGTTTTCTGTTCCAGGGGAAAACTCCAGCAGCAAGTCGCATGAAGTGATGGTTAGCTTGCAATTAATCAGAGTTTCTCTACCATTTGAGCCACTTTCTGCTTGTTCCATGCTTGTGTCCAAAAACTGAATTGAGGTGGACTTTGCAATTACAAAAAAAACATGTTTTTTTAAACAAAATAATTTTGTTTCAAAGGCAAATGTGATAAAATCATGTCAGATAAACATAAAATTCAAAAACCTAGTATTAATAAAATGTGTTCAAGTTGAGATAACGTGATTCAATTTAGTCAGACTGATCTCCCACTGAAGAGGGTCTAGCGAGAAAAGGCAATCACACGAGATGCTCAGGAAATGATGGAAGATCACGCGACATTTTGTGCCTGGGAAAAAGTAAAGCCAGTTTTAGTTACACATTAAACTACAGATATTTGTTTTTCTGTGCAGGGCACTATTGGCACTAAAGAACGGTACTGTAACAAATGGCTGTAAAAACTACTGAATAAAAATACAGTAAGGTGGCTGGTTATTGAAAATACAGCTTTTTACTGTGATCTGTAAAATACAGAGAAAGTAGTTTTGGGTGTTTGAACCTGGAATATAGTACAAATGCTGTGTTTCATGAAAGCATTTTATGAAACACAGGGTGAGAGACCAAAAAAGTTTTGTCTCAATTTTTCACTTCTTTCGCTGAGACAGAGCTTTTTTGGTCTCCGTTCCTCAGCTTTTATGAAACACAGGATTTAGACTTTGCTGTGGTCCTGAGGCCCAAACCGCTTAAGCAAATTAAAAGCACAAATACAAATTCCAAAAATGCGACATTAACAAAACGGAAAGGGTCTGTCCCAGTTGGAGACCTGAGAAATCACTGGATGACAGCGCTTTTGACTCGGAAGTTATTGTCTATTACTTCTGGTTGGCCTGTTGATGCGGTACGCTTTAGCGTCCGCCAAATTGAATGTGCCTCATCTGCCAGGAAGCTAATCCAAGTAAATGGTCTGAATTTCGTGAAGTGCCATTCTGCAAAGTATTTTAAATTAATCAATGTCACTGATACAATCTCTCACACATTATTATTATATAGGAATAATAATAATAATAATTAAAAAACTAAGGATGTTTCAAACTTTTTTATGTGATTATTTAATTGTTTACATTTGATACAGCTGATTTTGATAAATCGTCTTTACTGATGAACACACAAAAACACACCTTTGTATTCATGAACATATTAACAAAATCCCATAATTCAATGTGCATTTGCCAATTTAGTTACAAAGGACCCAAACAACATAAAGACATTATAAACATACAATTAAGAATTAACAAACATTTAACAAACATTCACAAAAAACATAGTGAAAAGTTAATTGAAACTGGTCCGTGCAGCACGTTCTCTCCACTGTATTCATGCCTATTGTCCAATCAGCGATTTCTCAGGTCTCCAATCAATCAATCAAATTTAATCTGTATAGCACATTTCAGCAGCAAGGCAATTCAAAGTGCTTTACAACACAAAAACACAAAGTCATGCAACATAGAATAAACAATCAAAACATGACATTAAGCAAAGTTCCATCATTACATTTATAATTGAATAAATTTCAAAAGCAATTCTAAACAGGTGTGTTTTTGTCTAGATTTAAAGGAAGTCAGTGTTTCAGCTGTTTTACAGTTTTCTGGAAGTTTGTTCTAGATTTGTGGTGCATATATGCTGAAAGCTACTTCTCCTTTGGTTCTGGTTCTGGGGATGCAGAGCAACCAGAACCAGAATCTGAGAGTCTGGAAGGTTGGTACAACAACAGCAGATCTTTAATGTATTGTGATGCTGAGCCGTTCAGTGATTGATAAACTAACAACAGTATTTTAAAATCTATTCTTTGAGCTACTAGTGTTATGTGGTCCAGCTGGGACATACTCTTTCCGTTTTGTTAAAGTTGAAGCGTTTTTGCTTTTGTAATTGTGCTTCATCAATGTTGTTGTGTTTTTGAATTTGCTGAAGTGGTTTGCAATTCAGGGACACAGTACAAAATAATAGGATTTATAATCAACGCATGTATTTAGAACCATCTAGTGGTGTAATGAGTAACTGCATGACGGGGTCTTCAGGCTGTGCGGTTCCTACGCCTATGTTTGGTTGTATAATGTGTACAACCAAACAATATACCACCAATACATATAATATTTGTAACCAAATCCATGATAAATCTATCATCATATGGATTTAATTCTATTTGGAAGCTCCAAGGCAACATAAGGAAAGTTTCAGAGGAAGAATGAAACGTTCTTCTAGTGTTTTATAACTCTTCACTCAGAGAAAGGGCGTTTCCCGAGCAACACGTGAAGGCAGCTCAGTATAAATAGAGCTCATTTCTGTTCCGCCTCACTTTCCTAGCTAACAGCTACATAGAGCCGCGCAGCGAAGAGAAGATGAACGACAACAGCCTGCCCAGAATCCTGGTGATTCTGCTGTCAACGGCGGTTTACGTCGCTGTTCTGGTCATTAACGCCTTGGCTGGAGCGGGCAGAGGTAAATTCAGCTCTCTGTCTAATTTCGGTGCCAGTTTCTCTTTACGTTCATAGAGTTTACCATTTAAATTGTACCGTGTGCGACATTTTAAGAATGGTTTATATTTTCCATGTGCTTCCTCATTGTTACCAAACATATAGAGGGGGGGAGAGGGCAGGAGATGGGGGTGAGGGCAGGAGATGGGGGTGAGGGCAGGAGGTGGGGGTGAGGGCAGGAGGTGGGGGTGAGGGCAGGAGGTGGGGGGAATTCTGCTTCTGTTTCTGGAAGCTTCTGTTTCCTGTTTCCCCAAAAACACCAATCGTTTCCATTTGCCACTGACCGGAAGTTCATGTTAAAACTGTGTAGCGTTTAATACTTTCTAATTCTCCAAACGCATTTAATGACCGGAGCCATTATTTCGAAATATTTTTGGCACTTAAAGCGAAATGATCTTAGAAATGGAAATGAGTCGGTCCTCCCTGTCCTGTTCCCTCTGCTACTCAAAATGGCTAACATTCCATCAGCATCATCAGAGGTGTGGCATAAAATCCAAACATTTGGAAGAAGACTTTCTTTCTCACTTTACTGTGGTGTGAACAAAAACCATCGAGTACGAGAAAGATCAGCAGCATAAGGGATGCTTATGCTGCTTATGTTTTTATTTATTTGTTTTTGTCTCTTTTTTTTTTTAAAGACAAAAACAAAAGACACAGCAGCAGATGTAAAAGTGTGGCTTAGTATTTGGTGTGGGTCAGGATTAGGCCGATAGTCCTTGCAGGCCTATTTGAAGCCTGCTACTAAAAGAAGATGCTGTCATTCCTAAGGCATGACTGAGTTCCTCAGGCCGTTTTCTCAAGATCTTTTGTAAATGTTTTTGCATCTGTTCCTCATCTGTGTGAACCTGGATCCAATAACTCTTCAGACAGTTTCAGTCAGCCTATTTAGACAGATGGAGCCAAATGTTCAGAGACAGAAGGTGGAAAAATACAAAGCTGTTTTGCTGAGTTTAAAGACGAGTAGGGATCTAAAAAAACTGAAAGAAAAGGAGGAGTCTGCCTCCCTTGTTTCTGATTAATTCTGACAGCCGAGTCCTGTACTATCTGGAGCTATTTGTTGGATGTTTTCTTAAGATAACTGAAGAGATTGCTGCAAAAGTTAAGACTTTTTATGAAAAGTATAAAAAGAAAATTAAGAAGAGTCATTTTTCAAACTTTCATTCCTTGCTTTCTGGGGAAATATTTGCATTTTTTATATTTAGCTATGCTGAAATCATCAAATCACACTTAACAACACTGTTATTCCAAATAAACAAATGTTAAATAATTACGTTATGTTAGAATGTTATGTCATATTCAGAAGTATGCTGATGATACCGTCATCACGGGGTGAATCACACAGGAACCTTGTCAGGGACTTTGTTTTTAATCCCAACCCTGATGCCATAGAAACGACCTATAGCTAAACACCCATCCATTCATTCATCCATTTTCTAACACCCTTGACTGAGGAACTCGTGCAATGAAACTTTTCATCTCCTCACTGGAGGTTGGAAGGAGGGGTAACAGGAATACAATAGAAACAGGGGGACTATTGGCTCGGCCTGTGAAGAAAAAAATGATATAAGTATTGATATATTGTTTTTATATGTTTGTGCTCTGTGGGAGCCTGAACTACAATTTCTCTGAGGGTAAATCCCAAAGGGATGCATAAAGTTTTATCTCTCCATCATCCATCTATCTCTTTAGAATGATGGGATTATGACACCCTGAAGGCTTGACAGGTTACCGATGGTGCTTGTCCAACATTGATACATGTTTGTGTCTTTCTCAAATGTATATTTCTCTTTCTCATAAGCAAAGAAGACACAGTGCTGCATCAGAGGGGGAACACTGATCACCCTGATGCTTCCTTTTGCTTCTCTATAAAGCAAAATGACTTAAAATGTTTAAGCAGTTTTGAAACTTATGTTTTCTTCCCTCAAAGATATAATTGCACGATACCTACTTACAGGTGACATTTTTTAAAGTTATGATCAAACTGGCTTCTGTTATTGGCTGTGAATAGAACTGTTGTCTGGAGTGAACCAGATTGAAGATAAGGGCTTAAAATGGGCTTGTTAGTTTTGATATTTCTTTTTGTGATTTGGCACTTTATAAATTAAACTTTGGATGTTAATATTGATGGTTGTTTGTGTTCAGGGCCCTTTCACGTCAGTACAGGCAATGTGTCGGCCCGCTATGACACTGACATCACTCCAGCTGGTTGGACCTTCTCCATCTGGGGAGTTATCTACACATGGCTCACCCTGATGGTCATTTACATCACTTCATATGTTTTCAGAGGGTAGGTAATATTGTGAGAGTTTTACTGAACATTTAAACAGAACATAACTGAACCTTATCTTTCTTTGTACAGGTCTTGGGCTCAGTCTCTGCTACCCTATGCCTTTTATTTCTCCTGGCTGTCCAATATGCTGCTGAATATGACGTGGCTCATTCTGTGGGACAAAGAGTATGTCTTCTATTTATTACAGCAGCAATGCATAGAGCTCACATTCTCAAAATGTTCTAAAACTTTATGCATACTTCTAAAATACACTAGTTGTAGTTTATCAGATATTTCTTTCCAGAGTAACAAACGTCGTCGATGTGAAAGTTTGATTACATTTTGTATTAGCCACTCTCAATAAATCTGTCAAAAGCAACTTTTAAAATCTGTTTATAAAAGCAGCGCATCTCTATCATAGCTGTACCCAGAACCTGGGTCTGAGGAGGTCCAGAACTACGCAGACCTACAGTTCTTATGTATGATGGATGTTTTCGGTTATTACTCCTTTAAAAAAAAAAAAAAAAAAATTCATCCTTAGAAAACAGCTGTCCGTTATCACTGTGACCACTAAAGTGAAGTGGAAACCTGGTAGTGGAAGGACTGATAGATTGACATCAGAGAACGATACATTTGGGTGTTTATTTCTGTTCACTTGAATGGTGCATTACAAAGCACACACAATGTAGTTTCTAAAAAATTAATGTTACTTTATTTAAAAACATTGCAACTATAACATGACCCTAAAGGCCATCTAAGGTTTTAGCTAAAACAGTAGTTTAGAGGTTGCTAATCTAATCACATGTTCATTTTCTTCTTGTCTTGCAGGTTAATGCTTGCAGCTTTGGTTGTGTTGATCCTGATAGCCTTTACCAACTACAGTGCCTTGTTCTTCGTTTGCTTTGCTACAGATTACTATGGACTGTGGTTACAGTCATACCATAGAAAGGATTTGGCCTGCCTCAGAATCCTGGTAGGTAGTGAATGCTCCATACCTCTGTATCCAAAGATTTTGAGGTAGCTGTGTGTGATCTGAATTCATATGTTTTTGTATCTGTTCAGGTCCAGAACGGCTTGGCTGTCTACACCACATGGAGTTCTATTGCCTCTCTGCTCAATTTCTCTGTGGTTCTCCAACTGTGGGGTGTAGACAAGAGCACAGCAGCAACCATCTCTTTGTGCATTCTTTTTGCAGAGTTGTTGGGATGGTAAGAGTCTCTATTCACAGCTGTTTATAGTTTGGAGTATTATTACTTGTAATTAGAAAGGTGGGGTTCCAGTTTCATCTTCCTTCCCTGATGTTAATGTGCCCTTAATTCTAAGCCTCCTTGAGTACAGCTGGGTGAATGTAGTAACTAAGTTCAGTCAATCTACCAATTACGTCTGACTTTCCCAGAAGCTCAGTTTACCTTGATAAGTTTCTTAACAGATTCTTTTAGTCCTCAGAAGAATAAGATTAGATTTAAGAAAGTACAGTAAGCTTTGCTAAGCTTTAAGGTTTGATCATCTTCTACTCATTTATTTCTGTGCAGGTTTGTCCTGGAGAACTGGGTGCTGGACCGCTGGGTGCGCTACATTCTGACAGTGTATCCTGTAGTTATCGTGGCTCTGGTTGGAATCATCTACAGGCATTTTAACCCGGCTGACCCCACTCCAAACACTGTTTTTATGGGTGAGTTTTGTTTATGTTTTTGTAATAAACCAAACCCTGTGACTCTCAAATAATAAGATAAACTAATCAATAAGTGTGAAATAATTAGCACTAATCTTTTGAGAACAGGAGTTGGTTTAATGGGTTTAATGGTTTTAGAGACAACTCTGAGATTTGTGCGTTTGCAGGGTTTCCCACCAGGCTAAGCATTAATTGTTTTTAGTCTTAGGAAACTAATAAAACAAAAAACATAAAATCACTTTTTTTTTTCTTTTTTTTTTAAGCCAAATTCCAAGTGTCTGTATTCTGAGCATTTCAATGGCGGAGCAGATTTATTCCTAAAAGATGGGTTGATAGAAATTATGTTTGTAGTTGATGCATTTAAAACTGGGAGAGTGAACCAGCTTTAAATGTATCAGTTGGTTCCTCTTTAGGCTCAGAACCCTAATGAGCACCTGGAACACAGTTTATGCTCTAATTTCTCTCAGTTAATGAGAAACAGCAGGGCAACAGGCAGCTCCACGTGCCACTTACTGGTGAAACACTCTTACTACACCCATTGTCATTAACTCCTGTTAACAGCAAATAAAGTAGCTTCTTATCATAACCCATAAACATTTAAAGACACCAGTGGGTATCACATCTTTATGATGAACCAGTTAACAAGCTGCTTTTGGTGGTTATACAGGCTTTTGACATGACATCTTGAAACAGTGATGTTGAAACTAGTCTGCTGTCGTTTATTTAGTTTTCACACCATGACTCCATTATTTGTGGATATGTTTTTCTGAGATGGACTTGCTTTTCTCAGTGAAAGAAATCTGTAGGCTTTTTCCCCAGCCAGCAGTGGTACAGTTCCTAGATGCAGAAGGTGTAGTGCTGTGACCTTGAGGAAAATCTTGGGGGTTTTGAAAACGACTTTTTAAACTTGTTTATACCTTGATAGTGAAGCCTGAATCATGCCTAATTTATATTGATCATAAAATCTTATCCTGGATAAAAGCGATACCCTGATGTTGATGTAATTTTAACATTTTTTGTTTTGCTTTGTTAGTGGTGCAGCTGGTGGTGGCCTGCATCCTGTTTGTTTCCAGAGTCTGCTCAGTCATCTGGAGGAACAAGTGGAGGCCTCTACACTCATCAGGTTCAGCCCGACTAATTATGTCCCCACTTGATGGCCACAAGTTTGGGATCTTTAACTAAGAAAATTATTTTTCAATCTACTTCACTTGTTTACACATGACCATGTCTTCATTGGGGATAAAATGGTCTTTTGCTTGACTTATTTTTTTTTAATAAACAGCTCTCCTTTTGCTCCTAATAAACATGAAACTACCTTTCTCAGTAGAAATGTCTGAAATCTTAATTATTACTATAACATTTTACTACATGTACCACTTTATAATAGTTTTGAAAGCATTATATAATTTGATCCAAATTATTTTACTGCTTTATGTATTGCACTTCCAATGTTTTTATGTTTGTTTATTTGTTATGTTCACTATAATGGAATGGTATATGAAGTATTCAAGCTTTTTAAAACAATAAAAATCATATGTTTTGTATGGATTTTAAGGTTGATTTCTATTGTACAGCACTTTTGATTTTGTCTATGAAAAGCACTTTATGCATAAACTTTACCAACTTCCTTTTCAGTTCTTTTTGATGTGCCTATTTAGTCATTTTGTTAACACATTTTGCTATAAAGTTGAACATTTAAAGCTAACGCCACAAGCTTTATAATAAAGGTTAAAAACTTTTCCCTACTTCTGATATGAGACACTTCATATACGACATAGTAGTCAAACTAAACTTGCTGCAAACATGGACCTGGCAATTTCTGAATTTTAGAAATTCTCTCTACTGTAAGAAATACTTTCTTTCTTGCAAGCACTGCAGTAAAAGCAAATTATACTGACCAATTGGAAATGTAGAGTCACCATCTGCAAGAGGAAAGATTGTAGAGCTGGTTTGTTACCACAAGTCTGAAATGATTTTGTACACTGAGAGGGAGATTAGCTAAAAATCAAATCAAATTTTATTTGGATAGCACATTTCAGCAGCAAGGCATTTCAAAGTGCTTTACATCAAAAACACAAAGTCAAGCAACATAGAATAAACAATACATTGTCACATATTACATTTCAAATACAATTCTAAACAGGTGTGTTTTTACTTGAGATTTAAAGGAAGTCAGGGTTTCTGCTGTTTTACAGTTTTCTGGAAGTTTGTTCCAAATCTTTGGTGCATAGATGCTGAAAGCTGCTTCTTGGTTCTGGTTCTGGGGATGCAGAGCAGACCAGAACCAGAAGACCTGAGAGTCTGGAAGGTTGATGCAACAACAGCAGATCTTTGATGTATTGTGGTTGTACAGTGATTTGTAAACTAACAACAGTATTTTAAAATCTATTATTTGAGCTACGGGAGCCAGTGGAGGGACTTTAAAACTGGTGTTATGTCTCTATCTTCCTGGTTCTAGTGAGAACGCGAGCAGCAAGTAAATATGGTTATTTATGGTGTTTCAGATTTAAATAAAATTGTTTAACAATAAAAAACTGGATTATTCCTGGCACATGCCCAGTACTTGCATTTCCAAACTTGTCCCAACCCATTGTGTCCTTCCAGTGCGCGTTGAGGTTTGAGTGGGTAGCATAGACATTTTAAAGGTCCAGTCCCAACACTTGTACTGCCATTTTACCTGTACAGTGTATATATTTTTGTTTTCAATACTGGAGATATTTTACTTGTTGAATACAGAGCAAACTTCAACTTCATCACATATGTTCAGCAGAGAGAAACAAAAACCCCCATCTTTGGGGGGTTGGTGGGATCTCATCTGTATTTATAATAATAATAATAATGACATTGTTAATAATTTTTTTTTTCTTTAAGAACAAGCATTTTTATAGTATATGAAGCATCTGATTCATACTGGAAGGTGGCAGTAATGCGCCTAAAGATGTTTTCCAATCACCATAAAAGTAGAAGAAGAAGAAGAAGAAGAAGAAGGCGGAAGTGTTGTGATGAGGAAGTAGTGTTTTGGACACCAGAAACTGTGGATCCTCTTTGGCCAGAAAGGGTGTTTTTTTGCTTCCCTAGCATTATATTTGCGCTGCTGTCTCTGTTTCATCCAGAATGTCTAAGAACACCGTTTCTGACCGCTTCAGGAAAGTAGATGTAGATGAATATGACGAAAACAAGTTTGTGGACGAGGAGGACGGCGGTGAGAACCAAGGAGGTCCGGACGAAGCAGAAGTGGACTCCCTTCTGAGACAATATCCTTCTCGGTGATTTATGACGTTAACTGGGTTTACTGGGTGGAAGACGTCTGGTCGGGTTTCCTGGGTTTCCTCCAGCATGTCTCGGCGTTCAGTGGGTGAGACTCGAGTTTCCGGCTGGAGGAACAGGAGGGTGTGGTCCTTCATTCCTTTACTATTTTCTTCTGGTTGTTTCCGTTTGGTTCAACATTCTCTGTAAAGTTGATCAACTTTAGATCCAGAAAATAATTAAACAAGGTGAACCTGTTCCTGCTCGGAATATAACTAGCTTTCAAGCATACATATATATACACAAACCTTTCAGATATTTTAGTCACTTTAAACAAAACGTGACGGAATTATTCAGGTGAATAAACATTTCTCATTCTGAGCTTATTGAACTTTGTTTATTGCAGCTTCGTGACTTTCAAGAATAAGCTGTGATGATCTTTACCATATAAGGTGATCATCCTGTTCTGTGTTCCTCTCTTGCTCCTGATGCCGTTTCTTGTCTCTGTGATTCTTGACTAATCCTTGCAAAGGGAACATGACTGGAGCTCTCCATGCTGTACTGAAGAACCCTCCAATCAACACCAAGAATCAGAATGCTAAGGTATGAACATCTGACATGCCTCCTGCTGCCCTTCTGTGATCACTAGTGAACATGATCAAACACGGAGCACCGTAGCTCTGGTTAGGTCTTTGCTCTGCAAGATGACGACACGTCAGAAGATTTTCACAAACTGAGCTCATGTAGCAGCTGCTCATAAATCAGAGGTGGTATTTGTGATACTGTGTACTCTGCTGTCTGCCAGAGCAGTGATAAATTTCAAAAGACTCTGAGCTTCATTCTTGTTCAAACAGAACATCCATGCATGACCTTAACTCTGGGTGCCATCAGTGTCGAGACATCTATGAACAACTGGTACTGATGACTTGAGAAAAACTTTATTCTTATATCCTGGCATGGAATGATAGTCATGCATGCAAGTTTTAATCAAAACAGTACATTTTTAATCAATTATTTTTTTGTGAATTTTTTATTGAACCCCTCCCCCCTTTGGAGTTGAATTTGGAATTCCAACTTCAAATGACCTTTAGTGTAAATATTTCAACTTAAGTAGTTTTCACCGCATGTGAGCTCAAAATCCAACATGGCTGCTGTGCATATCAAACTTGATAGATGCTGTAAAAACACAGTTTTTAACTCTGTTATGTAATCTTTTTTTCTGCCTGGCTGGTAATGCCTGCCTGCCCCCCCCCCCGGCTGTGTGGCAGGACCGAGCGGAGCTGCTGGTGGTCAAAGTTCTTAGCAGTTTTAAGAGTAGTGACATAGAAAAAGCTGTGGGCGCCCTGGACAAAGCAGGAGTAGACCTGCTGATGAAATACATCTACAGAGGCTTTGAGAAACCATCTGACAACAGCAGCGCTATCCTGCTGCAGTGGCATGAAAAGGTAAGGTGTGTGTGTGTGTGTACATATAGCTCAACACAGACTAGTATGGAAACTTGTAGATTGATTACACAGAAGTCTATGGAATTCTGGAAGCCCAGGCAAACAGTGGCTTGTGAAAGTTTTCAGCTTCCTTGAACTTTTGCCGCCTTTCAGGCTCCAAACATAAAGATCTAAAATGTTTATTATTTTTGAAAAATCAACAAGTGGTACACAATTGTGAGGTGGAACAAAATTTATTAGATATTTAAATCTTTTTTATAAAGCTGTAATTGCAGCAAGAGGTGGTGCTACAAAGTATTAAATCAATAATAATAATAATAATAATAATATTGCACGGCCAACACAAGTGGTTCTCTAAAGTCGCTTGGTTTCGTTTCTATTAGTTTTGCACATTGAGAGACTGAAATTCTTCCTTGCATAACAGCTGGAGCTCAGTGAGGTTGGATGGACAGCGCTTGTGAACAGCAGTTTTCAGCTCTGAATTGGATTCAGGTCTGGACTTTGACTGGACCATTCTAACATCAGGATCTATTTGTGAACCTTTCTATTGTAGATTTTGTGGTATGTTTGGGGTCATTGTCTTGTTGGAAGGTAAATCTCCGTCCCAGTCTCAGGTCTTCTGCAGACTCCAACAGGTTTTCTTCCATTAAGGTTCTGTATTTGGCTCCATCCATCTTAACATCAATTTAAGATGGAGGGAGCTGAAAAAACCAGGCTCAAACCATGATGCTGCCAGCACCATGTTTGACAATGGATAATGAGCTGTGTTGATTTTACACTATATAGTTTTGCTTTGCGGCCAAAAAGTTGGATTTTAGCACCTTCTTCCACACGTTTGGTGTGTCTCTCATTTGTCTTGTGGCAAACTTTAAACAAGACTTTGTATGAATATCTTTGGGAAATGGCTTTCTTCTTGCCACTCTTCCATAAAGGCCAGATTTGTGCAGTGAATGACTGATAGCTGTCCTGTGGACAGACTCTCTCACCTCAGCTGTAGATCTCTACTGTTCATCCAGAGTGATCATGGGCCTCTTGGCTGCATCTCTGATCAGTTTTCTTCTTGTTCCAGATGGAAGTTTAGAGGGATGACCAGGTCTTGGTAGATCTTGCAGTGGTCTGATGACCACTGCAAGATCTACCTTCCATTTCAATATGATTGCTTGCTCATTTCAATATGATTGCTTGCTCAGTGCTCCTTGAGATGTAAAGCTTGGGAAATCTTTTTGTATCCAAATTCTGCTTCAAACTTCTCCATAACACTATCTGGGACCTGCCTGGTGTGTTCCTTGGTCTTCATGATGCTCTTTGCGCTTTAAACACAACCTGAGAACAACACAGAGCAGGTGCATTTACAGGGGACTTCATTACACACAGGTGGATTCTATTCATCACCATCAGTTACTTAGGACAACATTGGCTCATTCAGAGATCCTCACTGAACTTCTGGAGTGAGTTTGCTGCACTGAAAGTAAAGTGGCTGAATGATATTGCACTTTTCTGTTCTTTTATTTGTTAAAAAAGTTTAAAATATCCACGATTGTGTCCCACTTGTTGATTCTTCACAAAATAATGCAAATTTTAGATATTTATGTTTGAAGCCTGAAAAGTGGCAAAAGTTTGAATAGTTCAAGGGGGTTGAATACTTTTGCAAGGCCCCATAGGGGCCCCAGCTTCCTGGTGTTTTAATCACTTCGGGATTGTTTTGATTTTTAGACAGCTTTGTTTCTCAGCTGTTCTATATGCTACACTTCACCATTTGGACTTTAGCTCATTTTTTGTTAGTATCAGTTATCTTTACATTTAGCTTCAAATTTCAACCACCATGAAAAGAGAAGAAGAAAAACATCTTATGCTTTTTGTTTCAACAGATGCTTAGTTATCTGTTGAAAGATATAAACGCTTACATAAAATATGGGTGGGTGATATGAACTTAAATTTATGGAAATATTTTGTGGTTCTATTGGAACCATAGTCGCTGTATGTTTTTTCCCACTATAGAGGAAAAGTTACATATATACATATAAGGTGTGGAATCGCAATATTGCCTAATATTACTTAGACCGAATGAAAATATAATGTGATTGAATGTCGATTATGATCACAATTTTTCACCATAATTTTGAGTCATAATCTCCCAAAATTAAATAGAGCCCGTTTTATCAACAGCTCTGACATTTCCTGGTATTTCTTTGTCATTTAGAAGTAGAATAAAAAAAAAACAACTTTGTCCCTTTGGTCAGTGCTCCCAGCAGATACTGTTAAACGAACACTATGTATCTTGAGTTGGCCTGGCAGACACCAAACCAGCAGTGTTTTGTTGTTGTGTTGAGAACATGATTAGTGATGCATGCCCCAACACGTCATGTCATCTTGTGCCCAAGTTTCTGTCATCTGGGCTAGAATTTAATTGCCATCAAATCAATTTGTATTTGTCTTATAAGCTATGAATGGTAGTTTCAACATCACAAGCCCAAGTTCATTGGTGAGTCGCCATCTTGGCCTCATTCAGGACACCAACATAACATCATTTTTAGGAAACTTGTGGTTCCAGTGAAAACTGATTAAAACTGTGTGGTTATTTGTGCCTATGACAGAATGCTGACTTGGTTCTCTTCTCGTTTTGATCGTTTCCTCAGGCTCTGGCAGTGGGCGGAGTCGGCTCCATCGTCCGAGTCCTGACTGCAAGGAAGACTGTCTGATCCCCACAATCTGCAGTGTTTGTCGAGGTCATCAAGGCTGGTGTCCTTTTAAGAAACTGGAGCTTCTGATGCATCACTTTGTTTTTTTCTGTTTTCACTCCTCTGGGATTCAGAAGGTGCTGGCACCTCAAACTGTACTCTGCCAGCAGTACAGAATCCACTTTTCTTCTTGAACACAAAACGGCACCTTGCTCTGTCATCTGCTCAGCTCCATCACTGAAACACTCTTAACTCACCTCCAGCTTTCCCTCTGCTCTTCTGTGGGTCTGACTCCTGACGATGAGGGGAATGGAAAAGGTGGATGGATTCTCATTGACACATTTCCCCTGCCTGTGCCCCAGTGCATGCTGGGACTGAGCTTCATTTAACCTCAAATTAGAATGTTTGAGGTAAACTTCGAACTTTCAATCCTTTTTTTCTACTTCTGTCTTCACAAAAGCCACATCCATGTGGCACTTTGTGTGAATGCTTTTTATATTTGGAATAAACAAAATAAAGAGCTAAACTTTAATACTGATTGGTTATTTATCGGTCATTAATGCTAATGGTTTTGAGGATGGAGCTTTGAGTTTTGACACAAATGAGAAAAGAAATAGAACCTTCCCTTCTTTGAATCTGTCACAAGTAAACCAAAACAAGACAGTTGTGCAGAGGATATTCATCATATTTGTCATCCTGCGTTTTATGTTGGACAGATGGATAGTTTCCTGAACAATGAAAGCATTCCTAAGGTCTATTAGTATAGGATTCACAAAACTTCACCCAAAATGAAACATTTTTAATGGACTCAAAAGTAGGCCTGGCGGAACAGTTCCCCGTAATGTTAGACAGGCCAAACTGTTCATCCTAGAGACATGAAATTAGGTTTGTTGTTAGACCCTCTTATGGCCCCAAATTAAGAAGAAATTGTGATCTAAAATGGGACATTTACACACCTCAAAATCCTTCCCGTCCCAATGCAGTTCAGAGATGGAGATTTAAATCCTGAGTTCTGGGGCTTAACACGCCAAAGCAAACAAATCACTATAACTTTCACACAGGAAGACTGAAATGTGACAAACATAGCAAGAGTTATCCATGTTGGATGCCTGATTACACTTTGATATGCTGATGCTGACCCATCAGAGCTGGAAGTCACTTATTTTTCTTGATCTGAATTTTTTAAAATGTAGGTAGTTAAAGGTTTATTTGTGCTTTTAAGCACAAATAATTTGGAGCTGCAGTGATGCTGGTACAGTCACAAGACCAATTGGTGACATCACCTTTAAACAGGAAGTCCAGTTTTGATGCTGGGAGTCTTTGATTCATCCAGATTTAAATCTGCCTGATGACAAACAATATGATGTTAAATCCTACTCTCAACACAACTAGTGCCTGCAATAGAAACCCAAATTCTATGCTGTATGCTGTTTGCATGTGGTTGGTTTAATTTGGAAGATGCATCTGTTATTGAGCCAAACTGGATATACAGCACATAATCTTTTACTTCTAAAGCTTTCAATACTGGAATTTGACTCCAGGACGCTGGAGAAGAGTGAATATGATTTAATTTAATTCAAAAATACTTAACAGTCTTAAAGGGAAATTAAATGTTGTAGCTCATTAATTCAGATTCTTCAAAGCTCTCTTGTATCATGTCATTGTAGTTTAACTCCACCCTATACATCAAGCCTCTGACTGAAGATACTGTTTTCTCAAGACAGTCTCATGAAAAAGGTGGTGAGGGTTGTCCATAACTTTTTTGATTTTATGAAAAATTAGACACAATGTATGCCACGCCCACTCAAGATTATTACGCAACTCCTCCCTGTAAACAATCCCCAAAGTGGGTCCTTGAGAGCCTAGATCCTGCATGTTTTAATTCTCTCCCTGATTTAACACACCTGGATCAAATGATGGCTTGTCAGAAGGCCTCAGAAGAACGTTGACCTGCTGGAAAGGTTGTTGGTACCAGGGAGAAAACTGAAACATGCAGGATGCCGGCCCTCCAGGACTGACTTTGGAGACCCCTGATTAAGCCTTACATCGTCTCCACATCCAATAACCGCACATGACGCGAGACTAAAGGAACTCCTCACCAATTCTCTCACCAGATAGTGAACAAAACTCCATTCCATAACTCATCCCACTCCAGTACACAATGATGTGGAAGCTGCTTTAATGTCTTCATCTAATTCTACACAAAACACACTTTCCCCCTTGAGGTCAAGGTATCAGACTACTGTTTTTCATTAGCACAGAATTTTTTTCCTGATCATTTCCAAGCTATATCCCATTGTAATCCTCAGACTAACCAGAAATATTTTAAATTTAAATAATTGTTTATTTAAATTTTTTTAATCCACTATCTAATAAATTAGACAGTATTTAAAACTAGATTGTTAACAATCTAAAAATATTAAGATTACCTGGTCGCAATAGATGCTTCCATAGAGAACCATGACAGAGGAGACCCACTTTCACTCTTCTGTCATTCACTCAGAAGAATGGATGGCAGAAATTCTCCCAAGCTCTAAAAGTTACACAGCAGCAACTTGGATGAATGAAATAAGCAGAAATGCTGCAAGGCTGTTGAAACTTTAAACTGGTATTGAATCAAACATTCAATACCAATACATTCACTTTCTGGTGAGATAATTGGTGAGGACTTCCTTTAATCTCATGTCATGTGTGGTTATTGGATGAACCACAGCCTTAATCAGAAAAAGTGTCAACATGTGGAAGATCTCAGATTTGTATCCATCTACCAGTCCCTGCTTTCTCTTAGACAGTAAGCATTAAGTTTTATGTTAAACATACAGATGAGATTTTATTGTCCAACCAGAAAAGAACCAGTACAGATGCACACACAGACACACTGGTACCAAATCTAACAAGAATGAAGCACATTTTCTCTTTCATAAAGCACTACAGACATTTTCATGAGGGCGGTAACCCTCACGGGTTCACAGTTGGCACAATAATGGATGAAAATAAAATCTCCACAGTAAGGATCCACTTCCAAGTAGTTTTTTCAGCAGAGAAAAAAAAATCTTCCTTTTTAGTCTTCAGTCTGAAAGCTCAAAAACAGAATATTACATACTTTCTGTTCTGCAAATATATTTCTGATATCTGTTCTGATATCAGAAACTCCCAGTTGCATCACACTTTGCGTGCCTTAACAGTCCAGCACTCACAAATATCAGGGGAGATATTCATAAATATCTCCCAATAATTGTGAAAAGGAAAAGTCACTCAGATACATTTTTTGCAAGAAAAATGTATCTGGGTGATACAACCCGAAAACCAGAAAACGTTCTGGTTTTAAAATTCTACAGTGAAGGGAATGTTGGGTTCTGTACAAAATTCAGGTGTCCTTTAATGTGAAAGGTATAGCAAAGAGGGCTTCTCAAAAATAAAAAGTTCTATGCTCATAAATGTTGCTTAAAAAAAAGATTGACAAGTCAAAATTAGTAATAAAAATACAATCTAGCAACATCTTGCTGCTTTACTTATGAAACTGCATTGTTTTAAGTGTATAACTGTGACTTGAAATGGATGTGCCTTCATTGTGCTCAGATAATTTTAGCATCAGCGCTGAGATTCTTCAAAATTACCTTCCAATGAGCTGAAAAAGTGTTTCCCCAAAACTGCAGCTGATGGTTCTGGAAGGAATTGGTCAATTTGCCATTTCACTAATTTGTTCCTTCATTTAAGTTCCTTCACTTGCATTTCATGAACCTTTGTACCCAGGCATTATTGTAACCAATAAGTTCCATGAATTATGGTACAATCATTGAAATGATCAACTCTCAACTTGACAGACATTTTGAAAACATTGTGGCGCACCCTGTTGCAATTGATTGCGGTTCAGATTCCTATTTGGTTCAGATTCCTAGTCGTCCCCCTGCTGGATCTTATTTATTGAAGTCATAACCAGATTTCCTTCTTTGAGTAAATAAAGAAAATAACTTTAGATCGTTCTTAGACAAGTGAAGAATTTCCCGTCCTTTGCTTTCTGACAAACTAGAATTCTTCTAGATTCTCTTTTTCAAGGACTTCCTCGTAAAAGGAAATCCTTTATTTCACACAGAATGCTGCTCTCTGAAAACGTTCTGTGTCACTGTTGAACAAACAACAAAAGTTGTGGAAATTTCTGTGGACAATGAATACTGTAGTGGTCTAACAAAAACACGCCCCAAACCATCCCACCCCTTGAATAATACACACAGCTTCCTTTCTGTGTTACAAAACATTTATAAAAAGGATGAAACACCACAAAATTTAAAAGACAGTTTGTTTCTATGGCAACAGATCAGGACAACAGAAAGGAGGATACTCAAACAAAACAAGTCGGTCTTTCCAGATGACAAATATCAAGTCAGACCTCACACTTTTGGATTTTCTTCAACTTTACAGTAACATGTGACAAAAGAGGCAACCAAGTCATTGCTTCAGCAGACCTTGTTTGATTTTTTTTTTTTTTGTGGAAAACATGTAATTTAAATTTTCCTCAAGAAAAGTCAAACTCACGCAAAAATCAAATCCTAAATTTCACGTCCCAGTTATTAAAATTGAGGTACGACTTGTTTTCATGGGTTCTAACTAATCCCATTTCAGACACTGAATTTCACTCTGAACATTAACTAAAGGTTTGGAATAATCCCCACAGATTCTCCCTAAGAATCTTTTGAAATTTAGACCAAATGTCAAGCAGCTCTTTAAGAAGGGAATTCAAATAGCATATATTCAGAATTCTTTTTCCAAAGAAAAATAAAAATACAGACACTGCAGAAGTAATGCCTGTACTTATTTTCAAAGTACAGACATTAAATACAGCTAACATGCATCTTGCATGCACACATACAGTTTGGAAACGGAGGACTTGGATAATGGAGCAGAATTTGTGTCTTCATTGGGTTTTCTTCTTCATTTCCCAGGCACGAATCTTAACAGTAGTTTCATAATGAAATATACTCTATAGACAAATATGGAAAGATTACAAACATTGCCATGTGTGTCACTGAAAACAAAGCTCACAATATAAGGAGGAAAGATTTGCAGTAATTTTTTCCCTTTAACATTTAAGTCTCCCAATTCAACCAATGCACAAAAACCGTTTTTGGAAAAGCTCTACACTTGCTGTTTGAGGTGTGATCTGCTGTACTGATCTGCTGCTGTCTAACAGGAGACAAAGATTCACGAAATATAAAACAACAATGTTTTTTTTCTATTCATAGGAGTCCATTTGAAGTTTTCCCCAAACCCCTGGTCTCTGTCAGACACACATTCTCCTGCTTGTGTCCAGCTGTTTCCATGTCCATCTGTTCACCTCCAAGTGTGTATGTTTATGCAAAAATGAATGGAGTTAGGTATTCTTATGCATGTTTACTTGTGTTCTTTAGTGGGGGCAAAGTAGAGCTCCATGGGTTTGTTGACCTTCCAGTACTTTTCACTGACCAGCTCCAGGGAGAAGGAACCATTCAGAACCTATGAACAGTTGAACAGTTAAACAGACATATGTTGCACCATGTGAGACCCTGAACTATACCACATGTCCAATCATGGTGCAACAGTTTCTGAAGAAAGAGCAACCTGGAACTAGTCCTTGTTGCAGAGAACAAAACATTTTTCTAGACTCAAAACAATCCAATCCAAACACACTGAGCAAAATTTGGACAGATTACTTTTCATGAAAATGTTGCTATCTTATTACTTTTATTACAGAGGTGGATTTGGTAAGATCACAGGCTTCATGTTCACTGGATACAAACGAATAAGACCAGGACTGACCTGATGCAAGATCAGTTGAAAGATCCTAACAGAACGGGTTGTTCTGTCAGGTTGACCATTTTTGTGGTTGATCAAAAATGACACAACACAGACACGCATGTTGTTGTAAAGGGAACATGCATTTCTGTGTTTTGGTCTTTATGCAGAATATTGTTGTGTGCCATGTATGCCCAACCTAAACCTATAATTCTGTGTTAGGACAACCAAAGAATATAGCAATATTTAGAATTTGATCTTAAGAGGTTTTAAACTGTTTTGTTAGAGATGATCCTGAGCATAAGAGTACTCACAGTAAACTGGTTTCCAGCAGTAGGTATGTAGATAGTGTACTGTTTCTCTGATGCTGCTTCAACATTAACAGGACTGGCCTCAGCATTTCTTCTCAGTTCCTCAAGAGCCAGTCGGACTGCCAGGTATTTAGAAAGGTGATCCACAGTGGCGTTACCAGAGGTCTTAATGTAGCGAGGAACAAACTCCACACTGCAAAGACAGTCAGATCACAATTACCAGTCAAATGTGTGCTGAACACCAACTTCAGAATCTTCAAGCTTCTGTTTTGTAGTGAACACACCTGTTATGACCATCATCCTTCTCCATCAGGGTGGGGTGTGGCCTGAACACCAGCTCTATTTCACTGGCTCCTCCATCAATCACAGAGTCTCCTCCCCCGTTCTCAGCAGCATTGTCCATGTCCAAACCACTGTCATCACTAGTCTTGGTGCGCTTGATGCTCGGTCCTGCCTCCTGGGAACCAATACACAAAACACAACATGTGACTGGAGAACATACTGCAACCATTACACCACGACACATGCCGTACATTTAATTCATACGCATTTATTGCTGTACACCAAGACGTACCTGATTACTGTGGACAGACGCATTGCTACAGTGAGAGGAGTCTCCGTTGTCCTCAGCTCCGCTACCGTTTTCCACTGTGTGTCTCTTGCCACGCTGTAGCCTGACAATGAGACAAACACCTAGTAGCCACCATGTAGCATCTCTGTGCTGTTTGTCTCAGGGATTGTGTTTACCTGGTCATTGCCTGTATCTTCAGTCCCTCTTCTATGCTGTGGGACAAAGCCTGCTGATTGTTGTGTTTGCTAATACGAGCCAAAACCCTCTCCTGGTGAGCTTCATATTCATCTCGGCTGGGATAAATCTTACCTAAAATTAAACAAGAACCTGTTTAATGTGCCACACTGGGGTGTAGCACCTGTGGAGTTCTGTACAGATACTCAGCTCCTGGTGTAACTACAACTCTAAAAAGTCTTTGATAATGTGGCAAGTATATTAAGGTATTAGAATATTATATTTTTTTATGAAGTCAGGATTTTAAATAGAAGTTTTAATGGTCATTAATCAAGTTGCTGCACTTTGATTGGGCTCTTTTGTTAGTTTACTTTCAACTTTTTAAAAGTACAAGAACCTTTGAAGGGTTGATTTACTGAGATTTACTGGCACAATGCAAGTTTACAGAACTTGCCCTGTGAATTCAACTTGCAGAATTAGAGAAAAACAAAGTTCTCCATTTTGAATGGATAAAAGATGTATATCGCAGGCATAATAAATCAATGCATTAAATATAAAATAAATATAAAAAGACAGGCTGTTCAGAAAGAACAAAAATCTAAAAGGAATGTCAGAAAATAAATGTTTAAATCATTTTATAAACACCTTTAGTTCTACTCTAGATGTGTTATTCAAACAGAATTAAACATACAAAGTTGTTTTTCTGTGTGGTTACTTACTAATCAGAGCATCAAAATTGGGGTCAGGACGGAGTGACCTCTTAGAAACAAGCTTCTTACGGCAGGTAGGGCACTCCTTATTCCTGCAAGGACGTAAGGCCAGGACAGCAGTTAACAAGAAATAAATGTAAAAGACAACAAAACAGCTCAACAGCTGACATATTTAAAGGAGGGGATAAGAAGCAACCAGGTGCATATCAGCCCTTTTGAAACTTATATGCACTTTCATATCAGCATGAACAGACCTGCTGTGGTAGGCCTATCATACAGACCTATCACACCACCAGGCGCATAGGCTGACATGTTTTAAGGTGTTTTTCCACTGGCAAATCACGCACCAACCAGTTAATGTGCAGTTTGGTTCTACCCGAGGTAGAGAGCTTTTCCATTAAATGCTTTTTTCCTCTCTATTGTGGGTGGGACATGAGCAGCAGCCATTGCTCAACTCTCATGATGTGTGCAGCAACATTCAGCAATGGAGAGCATCAAGGATCCGGTTCTGTTGGACTAAAATAACCCCAAATATTTCATTTTGTCTTTGCCGACCCAAACATAATGATAAAAATAAGATTCAGATCAGCTGATATTATATTATCATTCTTATTAATATTATGTAGTTCTGGTGTTTCACATGGTCAACATAAAACTGCAGCTCCATCAGAAAGCTGATAACAGCTGCACCGTCACTCTTTTCTTTAGTACAATTTGTATTCCAGAGCGATGAGTTGCTAGCAGTGCTGCTAATTCAAGGTCATTCTGCTACACGTGTTCCTGGTGTTGCTCCTGATTGGTCATAATTAAACTCGGTCCTCGCAGCTCTCTGATAGCAGCTTGTTCAAGGTCCACAGCTAATATTAAATGCTGAACACTAAATAGAGATATCATAGAGCTGGGCGATGTATCGAGTATACTAAATGTATCGCGATATTTTCAATTCACGATGGTTAAAATGGCTATATCGCAATCACTGAGTATAAATTGTCATTCAAATAATAAAGTTTCGCCATCAAATTCCCTTCTATGGTTTATCTGACACCTTATGAATGAATCACTAGTTTCTTCCACTCCCAACCTCAAATATTTCTATTGATCCCGCTGAGCGGAGAAAACAAACAACATGGGGACAGCAAGAGTTTGAGGTGAGCGGCTGAATGAGACTGTAACTGAAGAAGAATCAGATAAACTTGTTTAATTCTGAAGAGAAATAGCACTGAATCAATAATTTGGCAGTGATTTGTGTATTTTATATGGAGATTTCAAACAAAATGCTGTAATTTGTAAAACATGTTATAAAACTATTGCGACAAAACGTCATCACAAATTTATTTCACTGCCTAATCAGACTATTCATTTACATACCGTTCATAGCCGCGTTGCTGTGGCAGAACTATTTTGTTAGAGTGAAACCTGGAAATGTAGGAATGATTCGTTTAGTGACATGCTTTGGAACATGAGTGATATGCTCTGGACGTAGGGATATCAGTGCCATCTTGTGAGGCCATAAACATAACCGACAAAACGACTGTCTCACAGATATTTTTAATTTTTGAATCTAAGTTACTTAAAATTAAGTAGCAATGGTTCGAACTTGCTGCTTTATTGGGTGTAATGTCTGATCACACGTTGCTGCCAGTTTCTAGAGCCGGATGTTTGGAACTGAATGCACTGGAGAAGTCACAAAACATAAATCTCACAGCGTGCGCCTGCTGATCCAGGTGAGTGTATGACGTCCTCAATTCCAAGTCTGGGTTGGTAAGCAAACTGCAAGTGTGGTTGGAACACAGGTTGGAGCAGCTGGAGCACAAGTTTCTCCAGGGTCTTCATGATGTGGGAGGTTAGTGCCACAGGCCTGTATCCCCTGTATTCTGCATTGCTGGCACTTAACAAAGCAGGATACTTTCCACATCACAGGGACCCTTTGAATGTGGAGGTTCATATTGAAGATATTCTGGAGGATTCCACAGATATGGATGGCACATGCTTTGAGCATTCTCTGCTCACACCATCAGGGCCTGCAGTCTTGCCAGGACAGCTATTTTCTAACATCTTTGGCTGTGATGTTTACCGTCGTGGTGACCACCTGAGGGGTGGGAAAATGGTCACTGAGTAGAAGAGGAGGGAAGAAGATGTGAAGGTGAAACTCACATGGGGATGAAGGACTGAGGAGTGAGTGGACAGCAGGAGTGATAGGTGTAGGGGCTGCAGTGTCAAATTTGTTAAAAAACAAATTGAGTTAATTGATTCTGTCAACTTTGCCCTCAACCGCACTACTGCCTGCTGACCTGAACCCAGTCATTACTCTCCAGGCCTCTCTGGTGTTTTTCTGTTGGAGGTTCCTCTCCAGCCTCCTCTTATATTCCTCTTTAGCTCTTCTGATCTTCACCTTCAAGCACTTCTGAATTACTCTAACATCATCCCTGTTGCCATCTCAGAAAGCCCTTTGCGCTTCATTCAAGATGGTTTTTACCCTTTGTTATGCAGAGCTTGTTCTTTGGTTAATAATAACAGTCTCAGCAGGGATGATGGAGTCAACACAGTTCATGTAGTGTGTTATGCACTCAGTGAGCTCATCGATGTCCTGTGAATGTAAACAGTCACCATGATAACATGGGAAGATGGGCAAGTAAAGCAGCTGAAGACCAACCACCAACAGTTTAACGCCCAAGCAACAGATTCACTCCTTGACCGTTATATGAACAGCGGTTGTTTACTAAAATGGCAAGGCCCCCTCTTTTCCTTTTACTGCTCTTGGTGCAATTCGATCTAATGTTGCTTATGGTAGGGGAGAAACAACTTATTACTCCAATTTTTGCATAAACCTTTGTTGTTTCTTCCTTATTGCTCTCCTCCACAGTTTGTTTCCTCCTCTGTCTTGCAGAGGAGGAAACAACTGTTCTCTAATGAAAGTTCAGATCTCTTTGGGAATTTCTGTGGATCTGGACACCATGCCAGCCAGTTTGAAAGTAATCAGTGCTCAGCAGAGTAAAAAGAGTATTTCTACAGCATAGAAAAAGATTATGATTCTCTTAGTCAACATTGTTGAAAATGAACTTCTAGTAAAGTGCAAAAGGAATTAATGTTGTAAAATAATCAATCGAAAAAATAAAAAGGCAAAAAGACAAGCAGGAGTAGTCTGCATACATATGTGTGCAGGCTCAGATAAGTACTACTGTATCTAAATTTCAACAGTAGAAATATAGATAGAGTAGTATAAACCAGCTCATGAATGTAGCCACCCAAAAAAAAAAACTTACCCAGATCTCAAAGCTGTGATGATACAATCAGCGCAGAAGCGGTGCAGACATTCTTTGGTTGTCATCGTGTTTTTCAGCATGTCCAGACAGATAGGACACATAAGTTCACTGTGCAAGGATCTGGGTGACACAGCTATTTCCAGTCCGTCTGTTATTGCCTCCTGAGACAGACAAACATTCAGAGGTAGGTTAGAGCACACTAATGTTCTCTGAGTACATACATTTTCTCAGGACACAATATCTTCCTTGCACTGTTCAAAAACAGGAATGTAACTTGAATTGGTTCCTTTAAAGTGATCTGTAGATTTTTGTGTTTTGTATTTTATACATTGTCATTGTTATTTTTTACCTTATGTTGCCAAAAGGCTACAAAAAGAAGTATATTTGCTTGTGGTAAGTTCAGGACATAGGAGTATGTGTGTGTGATTGCATAGTTTATTCTGTATACATGATGGCCTGGCAACCTGTCCAGGTGTATCCTACCTTTCACCCACTAACTTAGGTTTGTTGAGACCACATCTAGTACTTAGAAGAAATATATTTTACAGACGACAACAGTAAACACCTTATCACTTATTTATGTTACCAATAAATCAATAGACAAAAACAAGATATAATCTGTGTTTCTGTCTCATATTCGTGTTATTAAAAGGATCTGGAACTTTTCCTTTTCCACCGAAAGCACTTTTTGCTCAGTAAATGCCCTTTGGGTGAAATTTTATAGATGATACTCTGATGTCCCATCCTCCAGAAGGCAGCACAGAGCTGCACCACCAGAAACTCAAACTTTGAAGAGAAGAGTTCTGATTGATATAGTTGCAGTTTTATCCGTGATTCAATGTTGCAGAGCACTGTCTTTTGCAAATAGTTCGAAGTTAAACTGGCATTGTTGTGCATGTTTTATCTGGTCATTTTGTGCAATATTTAACAACCAACACAGAAAATGGCTCAGAACTAGAAATTTTTTTTTTTCACTTTGGCTATTGATAGGCCTACCGATTTTAAGTTGAATGTTCATTGCATTTTTCGTGGATGCCTGTAAAAATAATTTACAGGTGAATAATAAAAATTATTCACATGACAAAAGTCATGTGAATAACAAAAGTCTATTCACATAAAATTATTTTTGATGATAACTATAGAAATAACCAAAAAGGGTTAAAACATTTTAACCTAAACATCAACAATAGTGATAGTAATATTAATAATAAAATAATATTCAGTGCAAAGTGGCCTACGTCTTCTTTGATAAGGGACAGTGAGGGACCTGGATAATGAATAGGGGGGACTTGCCCAAAAAAGGTTGAAAAACACTGCACCAACTGCTAGAGATGGGCACCAGTGTCCATAACTGAGTGGACAGACTCACTCAGTTATAATAAAATGAAATTACCTGGTGCCTGAAACTTGTGTGCGCCACTTTCCATGTAAAGATTCTGATTCATAAAAAACAAACTTGACGTGAAAATGTGTGGTCCCTTATGCCAACCTAACATATGCAGAACATACAAGCTTGTTACTGAAATAGGACAAAAATGGCGACAGATTGTGAGGTCGGGAACTGAAGCCCAACTGCATCATAATTCCTTCAGATCTTCAACTACATATCAAGCTATAACCATAGACCAACTTTATCATAAGCATTTAAAAATACAGTGTGGTATATGCTTGCACTGGTGAGTCACCGCTATAAATGAGGACCTTCAAATGAACAGAAAAGGTCTATATAGCAGCCTCAGCCTAAATCCTAAACCAATGCCTGCACAACATTTAAACATTTCATTTAACATCTTACTATCACAATCCTCTCCCTGATGATCACCACTATGAGAGGTACCATAATTTATTTATTTATTTTTATCACTGATTAAGCATAAATTATGACAAGATGTGAAGCATTCAAAGTGATTCTTCAAAATGTCTAAATGCCGCTGAGACACCTGTGTGTAAAGCATCGGTGCTGATGGAAGAACCAGGAGGGAACTTGTTCAGGGTTCATCGAGCTCTTCTGGCTCATAGTGACTGGCTAATAAGCCTATTTATATTCCATTAAGCTTTGCTCTTGCATATCTGTGCTGAACTGGGTCCAGTATTGAAGAGATCGACACACCAGAACCACGCCATTCCTGTACAATTACAGGTGATGTGGGGTTCCTGGCAATCGGCTCCTACCTGCACAAATTAGCAGGAAGGTATATGTTTGATTTAGGCATGGGTGGTATGAATTTATGACGGTATGATAACCTTAGACAAAAATATCACAGTTTTGTCATTACAGCTCTAAAATGAGTTATTTTGTATTTTTTTTAGCGTGCCTTTATATGAAGGCATAGTCACTTTGCTCCTTAAGTGATAATCCTTTATAAGCAAAGTCATGATATATCACCCTCCTTAACTGGGGTAGCATAAGATTGCAGTGCTTTTTGCATTTATGATAGTTTCAATAAAAAAAAAAAAAAAAAAAAAAAAAAAAAAACCTGATGGATATATGCAAAGAGGTCCTGGTGAGAGTTTACCTGTGGTGTTCTCTGTAGTTCATAAAGACTTAGTTCCCAAGTCTTACTGAGGGACTGGACCCCATTCGTCTGCACTGTCTGAGTCATGGCTGCAACACTGAAACACAAAAACAAATGCAGACTAAAATAGAGGAGGCTAAACCAACTTCTGTTCATCTTACAGGAGCATATTACTCTGATGCCTCATCCCAGGAAAATTAGACCTTCTAATGAGAAAACTGCTCTCCAAGTTCTCCCTCAGCTAACTTTTTCAGCCACCTAATTTTTGAGCAAATGAACGACAGAGTGGCTAACCTCGTCATGTAACGTTGTACAATCTTGATAGCAGTGGCGTGATCTGAAGCTGGTGTGGACAAGACGAGCCAGGTTTGGTCTTTCTCAAAGAATGGATCCTAGTTTACTTAGAAATGGAAGAATAAAATGTCCCAGACTGGATTCCAAACACAAGCATGTCAGATCTTCCTCATCAATATTATGTGGTTTTTGAGGTTTTCAGAAATAAAGAAAGGCTGATAACCCAATTGAAGGTCTCTAGACATTAGAGTAGAAATCAATAACATGTTGAGGAAGAACTGTAGGTTCTACCTAAAAACAGTCTTCAGCACTGAGACACATTAATGGAGACAGTTAATGACTGGGTCACATGCAGGCGCTGTCAGGAAACTTGGGCCCCATGACAAAAAATTAAACTGGGGCCCCTGCTGTTACAATTTCTTGAATCTATTTGACCCATAAAAACCAGCACATTTTTTAAGGCATGTAACTGCTTTTCTTTCTTGTCATGACTGTTATGAGACAGATAATCTGTGAAAAAATGAATCTCGTCCAGCTTACCTACTATTGACAGCTAAGGATTGTGATTTATGGCGCTACCTCCTGCCTCTGATTGGTTGTTTCTAGAGAGCACTGGTAGACAGCAGAGAAATTAAATTTTTCTAAGATAATCTCTCAACATATTGAGAGTTAACAAATATGTGCTTTTTGTTAATAAAAGTTACTGCAGCTTTAATGTCACTTATGAGGGGACAGGTCAGAAGGGAGGTGGCAACAGATATCTGTAGATTAAATGCAAGCTAAGGCAGGACTATCTGGACTGACAAGAGGCTGTTTTTTCTTATAATTTTATAAAGATTGTTTAAATATCTGTCACAAACATATTTTTTTATTGTGTAATTGTAAAAAGAGCAATGAGACACATTAAAAATCTACATAGATTCCCTGAAATTGGCCAATAAGTATTTCCCCATATTATAAATCATATAGAATATTATAAACATCACTGTCAGAGATGCAATAAGTTTACATTGGTGTGTGAATGATCTGATAATCAGACTGTTGATTGCATCCAGTCCACATTATAAGCAGCAATAGAGGGCCCCAAAACCAAATTTTTCTTAGGGCCTCATGGAGGCTTGGGCTGGCCCCGATGTAAATTTTATAAATCTCTAACATATTTGTTCAAACTGTCACCATGGCATGAGATTTTTATGAGACAGTCAATCTGTGAAAGGATCAATCTCCTCCACCTGAGCTACTATTGCCATCTGAAGAAATTCACCACTCCCAACCAAAAACAACCAATCAGAGCCAGGAGGAGGGGCTTAATGCTACCAGTCATCCTCATGCACTAACTGCTCAATGTGCTAAGGGCTGAGAAACAACAGTGGCCATGCTAAGAAGTATGAGCATTTGCAACAGTAGGGGTTCCCCCAGAGTATTTTAAGCCAGGCAGGCCACCTAGCTTTACTTGGGCCCCAAACAGGCTAAGGATCGCTTATTTATTTGAGTTTTTAAAAAGTTTGAGATGTTATAGTCGGAATTCAAGCATTAATCTTCCAATTACACATAATTATCACATGATATTTTCTAATTTTCTGTCAAATTTAAAGCACTGGGAAAAGGCAGAGGAGCTAAATTTTTTCCCAGATTGACTGTCCCATAACATACTGTTATGACAAAGACCGTTTTAACAAATATGTAAAAAATATATAGATATTTTCATAAAAGTTACAATGCAGCTTTGATCAGCTCACAATGTTTGGAAAAGTTTTGTTAGCCTGCTGTAATTACTCTATTGCATTCTGCTTAGACAGGTTAATACCCATTTAATACAGTGATAAGGCAGATAACCAACATTTACAGAAGGCATACATACTGTATATACACACGCATTTTTATTCCTACACTTTAGATGCAATGTAAATGTGATCACAATAGCTTCATTGCTTCTCTGCTTCAGTTACACCACATAATCCTGTGCTGCATCACTATCACTGTGATATGAGTGAACCAGCCAATGCTGCTATATTGTGCATCCTTAATAATTGTTATGGATAAAATGATTCTGTCTTTCCTCTGTTTCTTTTATCCGCTTACATGCACATTGCTGGATACTTACAAAACCATATCACATAATACTGCAGACAGTCACACTTAAAAAATGAAACTGATTAACACTCCCTTCAGAGAGGGCGGAGAATGCAGAAAAGATAAAAGCAGAACTCCCTCTCCAATTTTTGCTTTGCTTGCTGTCATCCTTAAGCTGTGCTGAATGGAGCCCAGCACTGATCAGCGAATGCCACTCTGTATCTGTTCCATTTGTATGACTTGTAACATTTGATCATTTTCCACATTAAAGAATGTCTTATACTTAATCAAATCTCATTATTTCTCAGAGTAATGACAATGAGGGGTTTTGGTCTGTCCCAAACATGGTAAACAGTCCTGGGTGCTGCACAGAGGGAAAAATGCACTCAATATATTAAATACCCATTGTGACACATAAAATTTTATGTTTGACAATGATACAATTGATGCAGACTGTTATTTATTGTAAATCAATTGGTGCAAATTAAGAGACATTTCTGAAATATTTAAGAGTTTTTTAAAGTTGAAATTGTTGTCAGTTGTGGGAGAGTGGAGAGTTAGGGTTGTTGTTTGTTTGCATAGGGAGCCAAACCTGCTTACGACTAAATGCTTCCCATCAATTTATTCTTATTTAATTATGAATTTATCAACTTTGAAAATAACTAACCTAAGATCCACTAAAAGGAGCGATTTCATATCGTTTATCGGACGCCATACACAAACCTGAATGTAGGTGAATAAGATCTGTGCAGAAACGTGGAGATGTGTGACCATGCTGCCACACAAGTGACAGACTGAAGAACTAAGTCTTGGTAGTAGCTTTCAACATCCCACGAATCTGACAGATTTGTAAGTTAGACAAAAGGAGAGATATAAATGATGCTCTTTCTCTCTCATTTTATCTGTCGATGTCAACAATTGAAACCCAGTGAGCTCTGATCGCTGGTTGCAATAGAGAGACGTCAGCCTGTTGATGTCTTAATCCAAAAACAACATAAATCCAGTTTCTGATTTTTTTTTAAACAGATCGTCCAAACGCACAAATTTCAGGAGGCTTCAGAGTTCGGCTAAAGCTAACTAGCATCCAGCTCCAGATGATGCTGTGGCTGCTCTTCGGAATGTTAAAACTGAATGGGGACAAAACAAGCCTGAGACGGGACAAGGCCCAAACGTTCTGCTTTAACTCCGTCTAAAGAGCGCAAGAAGATGCACATTGAATTGCGGTCCTTGGTGCAAGAAAGAAGTGGTGGATGTAATGTGTCGCTGACAGAAAGAAAACAACAGAGAAAAGAGGCTCTCGGTGTTACCCCGCATGTCTGCACTGCGAGCTCCAAACGTGCTTTTAGAGTTTTATACGGATAAGAACTCGGTCCAGAAGCCTGGGTTATCTACGAATTCGGACACTAAATAAAAATTGCTTCAAAACTGTATAAAATATCATTGTTCATGTACTTACATGTTCAGTTGTAAGCACGGCCTGATGTAGCCAAGCGCGTTAAGGTGAAAGCAATATGGCCGAAAGGCTCCAAGCGATGCAGTCTGGGAAATGAAGGCCATGAATACATAAATAGCACAGCTAAAATTATATATATATATATATATATATATATATATATATATATATATATATATATATATATATATATATATATATATATATATATATATATATATATATATATATATATAACACAAAAGCAGTTACACATCCTCAAATAACACATCCTAGGTCTGAATGAATGAAATAAATATGAAAATAATTTCCACATGTTGTCTACTCCATTTGCACAACAGCAGGTGATATTGATTGTCAATCAGTGTTGCTTTCTAAGTGGACAGTTTGATTTCACAGAAGTTTGATTTACTTGGAGTTATATTGTGTTGTTTGAGTGTTCACTTTATTTTTTGAGCAGTATATATATATACTACGTCATGTCATGCATAGCCGCGCTGCCGTAGAATAATTCCATTAACTCAATCAAACTTGGACATGTAGATATTATTCATTTCGTGCTGTGCTCCACAACAACAAATGGAGAAACAGTTAAAGTACAACTCAAAACCATTTCTTTCTCGCTCTCTGTATCAGTTAGTTGCCATAGCAACTGACACCAACGCCACAAAATGAAACCAAATTAAGTATTTTCCACATAAAGAGCAGAACATTCAGTCTGTTGCAGTAGTATGGTTTTAGACTTAATGTTTATTTTGCAATTATTAAGTGATTTCTGTCTTAAGAGGAGAAAACTGTAAATATATCGCTGCACTTTACTGTATGGCTAGCTCGCTGTTACTGTCTCTTACTCTGCAGCTGTGGAGTCACAATGTCTGGGATCATGAGCGCCCCCTGCCGTGAGGCACGAGAACTGCCTGCCTCACCTCAAGTCTGTTTTTGAGGTGAGGGAAGAACAGGCTTGAATATTTGAAACAAGCCGGTTCCAAATATTTTGAAAATATTTTGAATATTTTCAAAATATTCACTTTTGAAAATCTTTCTAAAAACATTAATGACGTTGCAGATGAAAGAAGGTGTGTTGTCTCCAAACCTCAGTCATTGATAGTTATTTCAAATAACTATCAATTATTTTTTTTGCAGAAAACCATTGCATGAAAACTTTCCACATAATTATTAAATTAATATTTTTTTTGTGGCAGGGGACTAGAAAGCTATTTGGTTTTCATTTTCTTTTTGAGATATTTCTCATTGCTGGAGAAATATCTCCAGCAATGACTTTGGACAGCAAAATCTTCTATCAATCATTTAAAATATATATTTTTTGTTTTTTGTCATTTAAACAGCACAAATGCCTGAACAGGGGCATGCTGACCAGGCCTAGATCTCTGAGGTTCTAATATCAAAAAATGATGTAGTTAAACCCTGTGAGCTTTTTGATCTTTAGAGCAGTCTGCAGTCAAGTTGCTCTGAAGGTTAAACAGTCAGATATTATCAGGGTTTATACATATGGGTACATTTGCAAATTTACTTAAATTTGCTTATTTCATAATATATTTTCTAACCAGTGAGCTTCTCTGTTTAAAAACTACAGTCTCAGATCATACTGTCCTGCAGCACTATCAGCAGCAGAAACCCTTGAACAGCAGCATTGTACATTATGACGATGCCGTCTGATCCAATTAAACATCAGATTTTTGATTAATATGGGTTGTTGCTATGTTGTATAATTTTTTAAGATCTTGTTCATTGTGCTCCTTTTTAGCCTCTGTCCCTCCAAAGGTCTCTGCACAACCCTGGTCTTTAGCCCAATGTCACTTGTTCTTTAAATGTTTTGTCATTTTTTTAAAGAAAGCGGCCAGAATTTCTCCTGTGGGCACCGCACAGCGATAGTGTGGACCATGTATGGAAAGGTCAGTTCTCGACGTGGCTGATGAGACATCTGAAGCCAGGCTTCGAGGGGTGTTCTGAGTAAAAAGGTGGCATGGGGTGTCAGATGAAGTCCCGCTTCGACACTTGTGTGGTCTTGCTGACAACCACGTGACTGGCAACAAATGCTCCTTCACATTCCATGGATCACGTGACTGCTTATTTTTGCTTGTCGGTTTCAAAATAAAAGCGGAACGAGCCCTGCTGCTTCATGGGTTATTGCAGGGGAGGGTAACTCCAGGCCTTGAGGTTCGCTGTCCTGCAACCTTTAGATGTTTCTCTACTTCAACACAAGGGAGTCAAATAATGAGGTCGTTAGCAGGACTCTGAAGAACTTGACTGCACTTAGGAGATGATTCAGATATTTGATGGAAGTGTGATGGCCCAGGGAGACATAAGAGTTGCAGGACACTGGCAAGGACCTGGATTGCCCACTTTTGGATTACTGCTTTTGGTCCTGCATCGGAGGAAAGTATCTGTCTTCAGCAGTGGCTGAAATAAACATATTTGATGTGCATTAATTATTTTGATGATTTCACTCATCAAAATGTAATGTTTGATACTGGTTTTCTCAATTGTTGATTATGGTCTATTTTAGGACTATATTTTTGTCTTTTTAGAACTTTATTGCTGAAATGTTCTACACAAATAAATCTCTGACATCTGGGAATAATTTGAAATGATCATGCACAAGATTTTTAAATGAAATAATTAACCCCTTCACCTCCAAAATTCTCACCTTCTGGAAATGTCCATTATTTCTTTCAACAAAGCTATATCAGTCTTGCACAGCAGAAACAGACTTAAAGCTGTTGGAAGAGTAAAATTCTGTCCTGGTGACTAAAAATGTAAGGGATCAGATCAGAGACCCAACTAGAAATCCAAGAAAAAGAGACACTGTGAAGAATTTCAGTTTTTCAGGAGGCAAATCAAAACTAAGAATACTGAACGGCCCAACAAGCATTGCACTCCCAATAAAACAAATGTCTTTATTGTCAAATCTGTCTGTGACATGAAAGAAAACAGCCACCAACGGCCAACATATACCAGGATTAGTTTGGCTACAAATCATTTTAATAACTAAACAATATTACAGTTAAATACTGCATTTACTAATGTTTTGAAGTTTGTCTATCTGAGTGACAAGGCTGCCACAGTTTCAGCAGCAGATGTCACTAGTGAGTCATGAACCTTTGGGCAAAGCAAAGGGCTGGGAAGCTTCATTGCTTCATGAGGCTTCATTTGGCCATCACTACCTTTGACTTTTGCCTTCTTTCAGCAGGTCAGATATTTAAAAAGCCATCTGTAATTATCAATACACACATTTTAATCTTGTAACAGTTTATTCAGCATGTGTCTATCTAGTTTACAGTTAACAACACTGAGCAACCAGATGTATGCAACAGTAGTATACATCAATATCATCTAGCAGTTCTCCATAGAAAGCCTTGAATGTAGTCTAAGATCAAGTGTGGTTTAAATGTGTCACTTAGAGAAAAGTTATATGTACTACACAACTACATGAAATAGACACTGCATGTGGACACACAACAGCAGAAGAGTGTGTAAATGTACTGACATGTTAACATCACAACAGTTTAGCCTTTTAAAACGTCTCAGTGTGGAAGAACATGGAGAGAACATGAGCTAGCTCCATTGGGACATTCAACAATAGAATCACAGTTCTCATAAAACATGAAGGCAGAAAACAACAGGTAGTAAGTATAGATTTCTTTATACTCAGGCTATTTACGTTTGAATTCAACTTAATTTGTTCAAATTATTTTCCTAAAATACACCAGAAATTAGACAAAAAGTACAGCTTCCATACCAGATTAGAAGACTTAAGATAATTCTAGATCCTTTATTAGCAGATAGTAGCCAGTTCCACAGTGTTTAGTCACAAACAGCTGACCTGATCTGATGGAGGTCTCAGGTCAGAACCATCACGGTCCAATGAAACATCCTGAACATATAGCAAAAGTAAGAATTCAGGAGTAAACAACATTCATTGAAGTTAGGAACACAAGGAACACTGTTCCTTTTTAGGAACAAGTCCAGGTCCTAAAACGGAAGAGCTACTGCTAGGTACAGCTAGGAACACTGTTCCTTTCTAGGAAGAAGTCCAGGTCCTAAAACAGAAGAGCTACTGCTAGGTACAGCTAGGTACAGCTAGGTATAGCTAGGTACAGCTAGGTACAGCTAGGTATAGCTAGGTACAGCTAGGTACAGCTAGGTACAGCTAGGTATAGCTAGGTACAGCTAGGTACAGCTAGAAACACTGTTCCTTTCTAGGAACAAGTCCAGGTCCTAAAACGGAAGAGCTACTGCTAGGTACAGCTAGGTACAGCTAGGTATAGCTAGGTACAGCTAGGTACAGCTAGGTATAGCTAGGTACAGCTAGGTACAGCTAGGAACACTGTTTCTTTCTAGGAACAAGTCCAGGTCCTAAAACGGAAGAGCTACTGCTAGGTACAGCTAAGTATAGCTTAGAACACTGTTCCTTTTGAGGAACATGTACAGGTCCTCAAAAGGAACCAAAATGGTTCCTTTTTGTTGGGTCCTGAGTCCTCATTAAATTAAGCCTAGTAATAATCAGCTGGTCTAGTGTGTGTTGGTCTGAACTGTATGTGTACAACACAGCCCTGGTGCTTTCCAGTATTATCTCTGTCCAAATTTTTATTAATGTGTCAACCAGTGAAAACTTTTTAAAATGTTGAGATCAGCTGGATCAAAATGGCATTTTGTTGATTCCTTAAACAGGGCCATAGAGAGAGAAAAAGGGCTTTAACCTAAAATGCTTTGATATAATAACCTGGTTACCTAACAATACTTGTTCTGGAAAACTTAACCGACAATGTCATTGATCCTTGGATTCTTTAGGGATACTACAAGAACGTTTTGTGATGACAGAAAATGAGTCAGAGGAGGGGAGTGGCTCACAGCTTCATGGGATCTCTACAGATCATGGAGCACCTCCAGCACAGTAGCCAGAGACCAGGCCTGAGTCTCACAGCTGAAGGGGCAATACTGGCCATTCTCATTGGTCAGCTCGGGTAAGCCTTTCCAAGGAGACCTAAGGCGGCAAAGGATGAGACAACTAATAATGTAAACCACATACAATATGATGAAGGGTGAATGATATTGGACTAGAATAAAAACCTGAAGATGGGAATTGAAAACTTTTACCTCTCCAAATGGGTGTAATGTCGAGACAGAACATTTTTCACTAGGATGACGGTCTTGGAGTAGGTCTCCTCCCCTAACTTCTTAGCAAAGTAGAGCTTTGCACGGAGAAAATAGCCAACAGGCCACAGCCACTCCTGTTAACAAAGATCCAGTTCTAAGTGCTGCTACTGTTGGACTGCTTTTGTCTGTCTTCTCCTTAAATACTCTCCATCTACCTTTAAATATTTCATGTGAAATAAATAAAAAAAGAAACACTCTATAGCAACAAAATAAGCAACATTTTCAATTCAAAAACACTTTCTACTGCTAAACTATTGAATAAATTGACAAATGAGCTCAACAACAAATATATTTGTTATTTTTAATGTTATGTAGGTTATTCAACCCTCAGATTGACACAAAGTGTGTTTATACCCATTTAGCTATCTTTATAAAAACCACATGTAAGTATCGACCGATCACAGTTCTCCCAAAATTGATAAATCGGCTGGCTGATAAATTCTGCATAGAACCTTTGTACTATTTTTGTGTGAATGCAACTAATTGCGTTAAAATTTTCAACACGTTAAAATCAATATAATTTATTAATGAAAATGAATGTGTTAAAATCCCGGTCTGAGATATTATATTGATTTGCTTGGATAACAGTGGAATTTTTTTGTGGTATCACAAAAAAATAACTAGATTTGATTTGATCTTTTTCTTTTGTCTCTCTTACCTGCATCAGCCCAATGGATAAACATTTTAAAATTTCAAAATAAAGATTTCTTCAATTTGGCGACATAAATTGATATTTCTATTTTCAATTGACTTAACATAATGTAGATTGGTCTATTGTCACATTATTACAGTAATTCATGCAAGTATTACAGAGTGTATTTACACATTGGCGTATTTTTCAGTAAGGTTCCTAAATTCAAATCCTATTGCTCTCAAGTAATGTTCTTCATTTGTCAGAAAACTACTCGTTGTTGATGATTTGTAAGTTAGATTCTCCAAAATGAACTGAAAGAAACAAGGTAATTTTGTTTCTTCCTGTCGGTTTATTGAAACTTTTCAATGTGTGATCACTAACACTGCAGCAGAGGGTTTGCTCACTTACAGGTCCTTGGTGGTAGTTAAAGCCCTTGGCCAGGTTGTAGTTGTCGTTGTCCAGTGCATTGTCGTAAACACCACAATATACCATGTCACTATGGAAACACAGACACTGTCAAAGGCCATACCCAACAGAATCAGACAAAAAAAGAAGTAAATTTTATGCCAGCTTCTATAACTTAATCTAAAAATGAACATGAATCCAGTAGCTATATAATGAAATGAATGTTTGTGGTCTTTGAATAGAAAAATAAGCTTACTCTGGGTCAAGCGTTTTCATTCCCAGTGGTCCCAGGAGTTTCTTCTCAGCTATTTCCAAAGCCTTCCATGCTCTTTCTAATGTGAACAGCTCTGGAGCCTGTCACACAAACACAGAGGGTCTTCACTGACTGATGAAATACTTTTACAAACCAAAAAGTGGAAGATGAACACTGCTTCTGGCATACCACCACCATTGCAATAGTGAAGTTGGGCCTCAGCTGGTAGTCACACCAGGGACTGGAAGCTCCACAACTATCTTTATAAATTCCCTTTTTATGCACCAAATCAGGGTGCTTCTCATTGGGGTCCTGTGGGTCCCCAGAAACCCAGAATTCAACTTCAAAGGACTGCTGAAGTTGGTTATTCCACTCAGTGTACAAGATGAACAGGTCCGTTCCTGTGACAGAACAAAGAATTTAACCTAGATGGTTAGTAGGAACAAGCACAGCATTTGATATGTGAAGACATTATTTCCTTACCATCTCTGTGCACCTTAACTCCATCATAGGGGAACAGTTCTTTAGAGCGCAGTTCCACAAGCCAACGAACTGCTGATTTACTCAGACCAACTATCTCCACCGCCGCGCCGTCTCTGCAAAGACAATAAAACACACAAAGTCTACAAGGGAGCAAGTATCCTGGTTTTTATTCTTGAGTACAATTATGATTAATTACAAAACTGTTCGTTTTGTTTCAATCTATTCAATAAGCTTATAACTGGCTGTTAAATTGATCATTTAAAAAAATGCACCAATATTACCAAACCACCGAGGAAAATAAATTTACTGCATTCTAAAAGAAATGTTTTACAGTCAAATTGTATTGTATTAAAATTGTATTGGTTTATGAAAAATGAATTACTAAATGGTCTTGGTTATGAATTTGTTGTTTATTAATTGAACCTCAGAAATGTTCTAAAACAAGTCAAGGTCACCAGATGAGCTCTGTGGATGGATGAGTATAAAATAGGTTTCCTCACTGCTAGTTCAATGTAAACAACAAGAAAGGGCAGGAGAATCTGCAAAAATCAATGCATAATTGTGAGCAGGTTTAACTTAAAAATAAAAAACTAGAAAATTAGCTTACAGTTCCCACAACTCTGAACAAGAAGTGACCCACACAGTTATAGTAGGCAAGCGCATGAGCAATGTTTTACAGACACATGACTTCGAGAGTAACAAAAAGAAAATACGTGGACATTCTTGACCAATGTGCAAGGGAAAGATTCAAAGACCTTTACTGTCATACCAGCTCACATTTACTTGTTTGTGGTACAAAATTTGAACTCAGGAACCAGATTCCAGAAGTGGGTGCAAATAAATATGAAATAAATTTAAATAAATAAATAAAAAGTAAGATGTAGCTGAATTAAGTGCGGCTTGAATTCAGCAATCTGATGGCTGAAGGGAAAAAACTTTCTCAGCCTGATGGTCTTGCTCTGGATGCTCCTCAGCCTGAGGGAAGGGTCTGGAACAGACTGTGCAGGATGGGTGGAAGCGCCCTCCTCCTGCATGATGATAGTCAGAGGTCTGAGGTGGTAGAAGGCTGCTACACACAGTCCTCTTTGCAGCCTTCACCACTTTCTGCAGTGCCATCCTCTCAACAGCAGTGCAACTGCCGTGCCACATGGTGGTGCAGGTGCAGAGAAAGCTCTCCACCACACAGTAATAGAACTCTATTGCTGAGTTCTCAAATCAGGGCTCAGGGCCGAGTTCTCAAGTTTCCACAGCTCTTCTGCACTTCTGACCTGTGGAGCACTTGGGGACCTGGAGTATAATGGCAGTCTTTAAGAAGGTGGGGACAGAAGCCAGCATTGAACCAGCATCTCAAGCAACTAAAGTGCACAGTCCTTCAGTATCCACCTTTTGATGATGTGGGGCCGCAGTCTTAAGAGAGTTAATTTCCTGGAAGGTCTTCCTCAAATCTGCTGTGGCCATACAGAGGGGTGTGTCACCAGGTGGTGGTATTAGTCTGGTGCTGACGGGGTGTTAGGATCCTCAAAGTGGGTACAGAACTCATTTAGTGCATCTGGCTAACATGCTAGGAAAACTGGGCACCATCCATCAGTTTCACGCCATTAAGTCCCCTGCAACCACGTCAAACACCTCCGACTGCTTTATCTGCAATGAGCTATGGTGTCATACAGCTTCTTCCATGCTTCATTAGTATAAGCACCCAGTGGGAAGTAAACAATTTGTGATGAGCACTGCAGTAAACTCCTATGGCAGACAGCACGGCTGAGATTTCACTGTCATAAGTCGTCTTGCGATCGGAAGGTTGTTGGTTAGATTGCAGCTTCCTCCTGCCACATGTCAATGTGCCTCTGGGCAAGGCACTTAACCCCAAATTGCCTACCGGTCTGCGTACCGGTGTATAAATGTGAGTGCGAATGGGTGAATGTGACTGCAGTGTAAAGCGCTTTGAGTGGTCAAAATGGCTATATGAGTTCAGTCCATTTACCATTTATCAGCATGTAAGCCAAGTTTCCATTAGGGTTAGTTAAATAAGACAAACTATAGCTCGTCTACTCTACATAACAGGAAGCTGGAAGAAAAATGTAAAAATAACAATGCAAGAGAGGTTTGGACTGGGATGAGAGAGATCACAGGACTGAAGAGAAAAGCTAATGGCCCTGCTGGGGGAGGATCTCAAATGGGCAAAGGAGTTGAACCAGTTTTTTTTAACTGGTTTGTCTCTCCTAATCCCTCTTCCCATACATAGTCTGATTGTAGTTTTATGATTACTGGTGACCAAATGAAAAGAGAGCTGGAAATTCCCTGGTCCAGGCAATATCAGCCTGAAGGTTTCAAAGACATGTTCTGGTCAATTAAGTAGAGTCCTGCAGTACCTCTTTAACTTGAGCCTGAAGCTCCATAGTGTACCAGAACAATGGAAAACATCGAGCTTGGTCCCAATACCAAAAAAGATATTTCCAAAAACACTGAACGACTATATACCCATAGCTCTGACCTCTCGCATTATAAAGATCATGGAGAGGCTGGTTCGGGTACACCTGAGGTCACAGGTGGATACAGTGCAAGACCCTCTCCAGTTTGCATATCAAAAATGATGCGCAAACTGCTCCACAGGGCCTATTCCTCCCTTGACAGACCTAACACCATTGTCCACACCCTTTTCTTTGCCTTTCAGCCTTCAACACCATCCAGGCACGATTACTATGCAAGAAGCTGGCTAAAATGGACATAGAAGCATCACTCATCACCTGGAACATCAACTATCTGACAGCCAGATCTCAGTATGTGAGATTACAGAGATGCAAGTCAGACCGTCTGATATGTAACATTAGAGGAGGGAACTGTGCTGTCTCCCTTTCTATTCACCACCTACACTGCAGACTTTACGTACTGTTCCAAACTGGACCATCTGCAAAAGTATTTAGATGACACAGCTATTGTTAAGTGTGTGGAAGGGAGACAGGAGGTGGAGCACAGGACATTGGTGGACAATTTTGTGACATGGTGTAGAGAGAATCAACGCCTGCTTAATGTAAACAAGACCAAGGAAATGGTTGTCAATTTCTACAGTAATAAATCACATTTGCTCCCAATTTCCATCTCAGGGGCAGACGTGGAGCGGGCTCAATCTTACAAGTACTTTGGTGTTACCTTAGACTGGAAGATACAGTGGACGACAAACAATGATGTACAAAAAGGCCATGATCAGACTCTATTTACTATGGAATCTCAGGTTTTTTTAACATCTGCAGGATGCTCTTCATGTTCAATCAGTCAACAGTGGGCGGTTCCATCTTCAATGCAGTTGTAGACTCAACAAACTAATAAGAAAGGCTGAGCCAGTTGTGGAGATCAAGCTGGCTCCACTGGAAGAGGTGATGAATGCAGAATGCAGAAGAAAATCACAGCTGTGAAGATTAATGGCTTTCATCTCCTCTACAGCATGGTGGACAGCCAAAGGAGCAGACATAGCCAAAGACCACTGGGCTGCCAAAGAATGCTGTTCCAAAGAATGTTACAGCAAGTCTTTTCTGCACGAGGCTATCAGACTTTATAATACATAGTCTTGAGAGCTGTATGTTATCAATGTTGAATATATATTTAGTAAGGCACTGATCAATATGTGTGTGTCCTTAGGACTATCATGGCTCATTGCTATTTATTATTGTTGTATGTTTATTCTTATTACTTTATTTATTTTAATTTGTATTGTGTATGACAGACTGGTGACCTGTCCAGGGTGACCCCACCTCTCGTCCCAAACATTCGCTGGAGATGGACACCAACACCCCTCCTGACCCCACTAGGGACAAGGGTGTACAGAAGATGGACGGATGGATTGTGTGCTATGATGGAACAAACAAAATTTCCCGTTTCATTAAAGCATTGTTACTTATATTATTATTATTCTTACATGGTGTCAGAAGTAACTCAGACTACAGCTACATCACCTTGTGAAAAGTAGCAACAGTATGGCGAAGTTTAACCTGCCATACTGGTTAAAACTAAAAGATTTTCTTTTAGTTTTAATGAAGATCAGCTTAGTGTGTAACAGCTTTTTTTTCCTTTGAAAAGCTGGCAAAATAAACTGATTGGAAACGGAGGTTTGAACGCTACAGAATAGCCATGAAACTGGATGAAGATGATGGGCCAGTGCATTTGAGCTGCCTGATTTATGCTATGGGCAACAGAGCAGAGAAGATTTATCACTCTTTCACTTCGCTCAAGAGGAGGACAATAGGAAAAAAGGATGATTTTCCTATTGTTATGGGAAAGTTTAATAAATATTTCTTCCCTTGGAGAAATATGATCTATGAGAGCATCTGTTTTCAGGAGAACATCCAAGACTCATTGTTGTTGGGACACAGGATAAAGAACTCTCCTGCCAGCAGCAGCTGATGGCGAGTCTATCTTTGGCTCAAACAATATAGACTGTCAGACATTGTAAAGCGGTAGCTGCTCATGTGAGCCAACTGGGGGTCACGGTGAGATCAGTGGAGGAGGTCCACCATAAGAATAGATACATGCATTGGAAACCACAACACAACAAGAAGCAAGGAGATTAAAAAAGAGGAAATGAAAACAAATGTGCAATTCTGGAAAACTCTAGCACTGTAGAAATATGTGCCCTGCAAAGGAAACTGTGCCACAACTGCCATAAAATGAGACACTGGACCAAGTTATGTCGGAACAGAAAATCAGTAAAGGAGGTAACAGAGACTAAAGACAACACAGGTGAACACTGTTATTTGAATCACCATTTTTGAGTTGATAATTCCAAAGCCTCTTAGGTTCAAAATCTGCCATCAAATGGAAGCTCTGCCATCAAATGAAGTACCTTGGAGTTGCAGGCATCCCCTTGTTCCTCGCTCTGTCACTCTCCCCCATCTTATCCATCCAAGTGCCACAGTTGAAGCGGTTTCCTCCGGTAACAAAACCTGTTGCTGGGTCCACTTTAGCAACCACGTTGAACCCTTAAAAGGACAGAAAGCTGCACTTCATTTCTGTCAAATTACAACAGATCTTCAACAGATTTCAAGACACTCAAACAGTCCAATTCATACGCAGGTTATTACAATCTAACTTCTAACCAATCCATTTATGTAAGCATACATGTGAAAGTTGATAGTAAGTATAATCCATAAAAATCACATACATAGTGTTAGTTAATAAGTTTGCAGTGGTGGGAAAACTTCTGCAAATGTGTTAGTGCACAAATATTGAAGCTAATTATTTTGTTTACCAAAACTTGTCATTTTATTGAATAACTTAATAATGGAGGTTACAGTGGCGATTGATAGCAGCCATCAATCATTATGACTGGCAATCCTCAGTGCAATCATGGATTTGCAACAAACACTTTTTACAAGGTAACAAGATTAATGTTCATATCCTTTATAGGTAAATGTGATTAGAAAAATATGAAATATTGCATTACGGAGAAAGTATGCGTCTAACCATTACTAACCATGAATACAATTCTGCACCATCATGTAGCCGAACATGTATGGAAAAAAAAATAGTTTGTATCTCGTCTTTGTACGTTTTAATGCTTTTCCTGTGAAAGGGGAAACACTGTTTATGATATTGTGAAATAAATCATGTGGTGTGAATTCAGGTAAGCTCAGCAATTTCATCAACACATCAGGAGTCAGAGGTATGGTTTGGTTTCAAATCTTTGTAAATCCCACTATCTTTGAGCCCCAACCAGGCATGTTACATTCACAAACAAATTAGCTCAACTCGAACAAATAGATGGCAGTTTGCCATGGCTAAACTGGCAAAAACAATTTGGGAATACAATTTCAGTCGCTCTGTTCAATACTCCTGTCCCTCACTTGTTCATCATGGTGCCTCGAATGATTAAATAAAGTAGTTGGAAAGGGTCAATTCTCTCTGTCGCTCTCTTTTTTTTAACTTTATTGAACAAGAGTTAAGTATATAGCAAACAAATGAATGAGGTACACATTACCATGCAGCCTTATTTATTCTGTGAATAAGTTGTGATCACATTTCAAGTATACCATGTTATGCAACAGTGATGTCAAATGAACTGTCCACAACAGTCATTTACTGATACTTTATGCAAATATACAAAACTGCTTTAATGTAGAAAATGATCTTTTTAGTCTTACTGCTCTTTCATTACCTTCATCTCTCATGTTCCTGTCTATCTTGGGTCCAGCATTCCTCTCTCTGAAGGAAATACCCTCCAGATGGCGCTGCAGTGCCTCCTGGATGACATCATACAACGGCTGCTCCTGCACAGGCCCAAACTCAAATACATGATTCTTCATACTTGAATCTAAACATCATGTGTGACTGCAATGTATGAAACCACTGGGGGAGGTGAAACAGTGACAGCCATCAAGAAGACCAGAATTAAAACAAAGATTTTTTTTCTGTGTGTACGTACCACCTCCCCTGGTTTGCAGGGCTCACAGTCATCTGTGGGGTACATGCGGGTGACGGGGCAACGCAGAATTTCATGTCCCTCAGGAACGAGATTGGTATAGTCCTTCAGAGAAAAACAGACAGTTAACTAAAAAAAAACCCCACTGTTCATTCACTTTATTAACATTCAAATCAAAGTTATTTACCACATTTACTCACAACGTATAGAAACCCTATGAAAGTGTGTTTAGGAGTTTTTTGTTTCAGTACTTAATGACAAAAAACCTTCTATTATAAATGACATCTGAAGCAGTTGTTTCACAGCATCATCACTTTTTTACTTCTTCCTACTGCTTATTGTACTACAAAAATATGTCTCTTGCATTTCTTGTTCATGTCTGTTATTTTATACTGCTATCATGTTCCAAATAAATAAATAAATCACCTTTGTTTCTTGGTTTATAAAGACAGAACTACAGTCCTTTGAGCAATTCGGATTAAAAATGCTTGAGAGGTTCAGTAAGTTGGATCGTCACATCTCATGTACCTGAATGCACTGCAGCCACCACCACACAGCATCCCTGCAGTTGTATCTGGCATTGCGACCCTCTCCCAGCAAGTTGGGGATCAAACCGTGACGCAGGGTTCCAGCAAAAGCCAGGATGATGTTGCTACGGATACCAAGACAGAATAGTTTACAACAAAGTTCAGCTGAATGACTCCTATATAAATTAGGTGTTAGTCCAGATCACACACATACCGTGCCTCAGTGTGTCTCCCTGTTATAAGCATGAGTCCTCTGAGAGCGATGAAAGTATCTCTACCCCAACAACGGAAAATCCCAGCAGAAAAATGAGGAAGACCTAAAGACATACCAAGTATGTTAAACTGAAAAAAACATAGCATTATTTTATTGTTTTAATTGTACACTCCGACTATAAAATTGGAAAACAGTCAAAATAAAGACAAAATAATTCCTTCTGATCATAAGTATGCATTTTATTCAGCCCTGGTTCCTGGCTAGGTCTGCCCTGACATTTATTTAGCAAATTGGCTTCCTGTAAATAAACAATGCCACTTTGCAAAGTGGTATTGGTTAGTGCCTTATCATTGTCAGAATACATAAACAGAACTCAGCAAAGGAGGCATCCAACATGTCCGCATTATTGGAGAATGGAATTAAACGCGCCATTTCAACCAAAGGTATGGAAAGCGCGTCTGGTTATTCTCATTTACTTAAATGAGAAATCCCTATTTCCATAAAGGGAATAGGGAAGAGAAAAAAAGGGGGGAGTGTGATGAACACAAAATAACAAAGCACCAATAATAGAACAGAAAAAAAGAAAAGAAAAAAATAGCCTCAAAAGGAGACATTTCTCACAGTGAATCTCCTCACTATTCAAATCAAAGCTGATGTTGGTTTCCAAAGGCAGCTTTTGATTTGGAAAATGGCTAAAGGGTGATTCCACCTAATTTTTCACTCCCTTCAAACTCTTTAATTTATTCTAATAAAAAAAGCCTGCAACATCTAGACTCTTCAAACCTGGATTGGATTATTCTGATCTAATAGCAGACTATTTAAAATCATCTTGGTGATTTATGATATCTCTATGTGATTTGGGAAACTTCAGCAAAGGGTGATTTCAGCCCTTTTTTTGTATCTGGACCACACTAGAATTGCTCCAATTCAAAAACAACAACACCAAACTTTAAAATTATGTTTGTGATTTGTGAAACCTTTATCTGATTTGCAAAACTTCAACAAAAGTGATTTCAGCCCTTTTTTTGTTTCTGGACCACAGTAGAACTGCTTGAGTTACAAAACTACAACAGCTCAAGCAACTTTGGGATGTGGTGGAACTGGAGACTCGCTTTATGGATGTGCAATCTCTGAGGAATGTTTCCAGTTCCTTGTTGAATCTGTGCCACAAAGGTTTAAGGCAGTTCTACAGGCAAAAGGGGGTCCAATCCGGTACTAGCAAGGTGTGCCTAATAAAGTGGCCGGTGAATGTAAGCAAACTTTATGCAACCTTTCAAATAAAGTAACTATGTTTATTAATACAAATAAACAATCAGGATGTAAACAGTGACATGTATAAAATGTTGAGGAGTTATGCTCAAATTTACATATATTTTAGTTCATACGATGCAGAAATCTAAGGTCTCTGTCTTTAAATACAAAGTCATTCAAGTAAGAATAGCAATAACTACTCAAGTATAAGAAAAAGGTATGGTGCAGTAAAACTACTTATAAGTACTTTTGTCCCAAACAACTTACTCAGTAAAAACTACCCACTATTGAACATAGAAAACAACATTATTAGCCTAATTTAAGGCTAATAATAATATATTAGCAATAGATGGTAAGCTTATCATTAGTAAGCAGCATTACTCAACTCACTCAATCAGTTTGGGGCAAAAAGTTCTTTGCGTTTTGCTGGTTTCCTGCCATGATTCTAAAACACACCTGTGCACCCCGGAGCAGCATGAGCATCTTAGCGCTCATATTGCAGTAACAGGTGGCTCAGAAATATATGTTGTGACATGTTAACAATGGATTAAGCAGTTGTAAAGGCTGAACAAAGTGTGGGAAACAGACGGCACAGAAAAGCAAAGTGGGGGAGCCCCTACTGTATCAAATCAAGATAGGAATAATAGAAAGCTGCTCACTGAGGTAAAAACGAAAGAAATAGCTTCCAGTTGAGGGGGGCATGGCTGACTCTGGCAATGTCCCCAAATGCCCACCCATGTTGCCAGGCCTGCTTTTATCTATGAATAAAGTGCTATGATACCTGCTGCCAGTGAGACACAGCACTGCTCCTTTTCCTGAGTGATGGGGCTGATGCGGTATGGGACATCCTGCACTTTTGTTGAAATGGGAGGCAGAGCCGGGAAACGTCCAACTCCACACATCTGAACCGAGCCGAGAGCCAGGTGACGGACAAATGTGGAACCTCTCTCAATGAAGCTGTTTAAATACAACGTGTTCACTTAAAGTATCACTTTGTAGCTTAAGATTCTGTCATTTATCGACAGCCCCATCCATAGAAACTTTAAAACACTATAGTACAGGTCCTCAAAATCCGAACTTGAGGGTTACTGTCCTGCAAATTTTAAATGTGTCCTGATTCAACATGCTTCAACTCATCTAAAACATATAGGACACTGGCCCTCAAAGACTGGATTTAAGGATTCCTGCAAAATAGATAGAACACTAAGAGATTTTACCTTGACATGAGTTTGAATGTGGCATCCAGAGCTGTGGTGTAGGTTGACACCAAGATGGCGTCAAAGTAACAAGGGATGAGGTATCGAGGAAAGTGCCTGAGGTAGTCAAACATGGCACCCAACCACTGACCCACCTGCAGAAACAATGATGCAGAGAGTAATCTGCTACAGGTGCTTATACTTTATTGATAACATTTAGTAAAGCTACATACTATTATATCTCAACAAATTTGAAAATTGAATAAACGTATCTACTGAAAGTGAAAACGGTTATTTTATTAAAATACATTACACATAAAACCAAATATTTAAGTTTTTATGATTTTAATAATTCAGTAGTTTGAGAAAATTTGAGTACCACATTAGACCAATCAAAAGCATATGTTTAAAGCACAAACATTAGAAAGAGTTTGAACATTTCTTTGCATTCAATACTTGTTTGGGCATCCCTTAAAGCAGGGGTGCCCAAACATTACACATAAATCACATCAATCGCGATCTACCGGTCGATCGCGATTTACCGATCGATCGCGATCAACCGGTCGATCGCAGGCAGGTTTTGAGTTGATCTCTGCAGAATGCTGAGAGCAGCACTTCCTCTTCTGACAGACTTTTCAAAATATTCACTAAAATCCAAAACGTTTGTAGCTTCATTGAAAAATAATAAAGCCTGAAACCTGATATCGTAACGGACTGAACGTTTTTAACGTAATCTTTGCTCGGCTTGCGGGGCACAGGCGGTTGCCACGGCAACGGGTGTGCTTAATGATAAAGAGAGAGAGAGTGAAACGGTGCGAGTGGTTCTGAGTTGTTCGGGTTATTCTACCTTTGTTTTCCTTCGCTGTGGTTCATCACAGCCACTGGAGTTTCTGAACGTTCAATAAACGACAGACTTGGACTAATGACCTCGTTCGTTTGCAGTAAACGTCACAACCAACATCAAATAGGACACATGTAATTTGACACAATTATTGTGGTAGAAGCCATTTGTTTGTTAAAACTTAATAAATATGTGTCAAATTACATTAATTATATCCCAAATTCAGAAGATTTGCCTGTACCTTTGCAGAGCTCTTTGGTTCCTTCTATCAGTCTGCAGTTTTGCATATTGACGTCATCAAACCAAATTTCAGATATACCATAACTGACTGACACCTGCTGGCCTCAGGTTTGCAACCAGCTTCTGACTGAGAAACCAGTAACCTGCTCCCAGTGTCAGAATCTCACTGAGCAAGAAACTGCACTAGGTTTTCTATCACTTTATCATTTCTGATATAACTGATGTATATTTGCATAGAAAATTGGTCAATAGGGTTTCATTTATAATTTGTATGTCTTCATGTCATGAGGTAGATCTCAGCCGGCTGGTGAGAGAAACTGTAGATCTTGGTCTCAAAAAGTTTGAGCACCCCTGCCTTAAAGGAATGCACTGTGGCATAGAGGCAGTCAGCCTGCACCACTGCGTAGGTGCAATGGGAGCTCAGATTGCTTTGATAGCTGTTTTCAGGTCATCTGCCTGATGGAGTCTGGAGTTTCTAATTCACCTCTCGACAACAATTTAATTCAATTTATTTATATAGCGCCAATTCACAACAGATGTTGTCTCAGGGAATTAAAAAAAAATTTAATCAATCACACACACATTCCAATCAATTCTAGTTATCAAACAGTAAGCCCAATACATTTTTCAGAGCAGTTAAAAAATGTTTATTTCTAAGGAAAGAAACTTCCCATAGGAATGAGATACTTTCAGTATTCACTCCTGCTGCACAAACACAGTGACATGTAACAATCACTTGCATTGTTACATTAAAAGTAAAAAGGGTGTCTCCCTCATAGACTAAACTGGGAACTGGTTCCATGGGAAAGGAGGCTGACAGCTAAAGGGTCTTTCTTCCATTCTACTTTTAGAAATTCTAAAAACTACCAGCAGATCTGCAGTCTGAGAGCGAAGTGCTTCATTAGGAACATTTTAAAGTGGAAATACATACTGCATTCAACCAAAAGAGTGCCCTTCGATAATCATTAAGATTTAGATAGAGAAGACAGGCATATGCAATGTTCACTCCTAACTTAAGCCCAGTTCACATTACATCACCAACTAAGACTGTTGCATATCGATCATCCTGTAGTGCATAATGACTGATCGGATCGAGTGGATAGAACGTATTTGACTGCAGACTCTGACCTGAATCTTCAGAGCCACATTAAGACAGTTGTAAAGTAGGCTTTCTATCACCTGAAGAACATTTCCAGAATTAGAAGACTAATGCCTATGCAAGATCTAGAGAAACTCATCCAGTGCTTTACAATACATTCACTCATTCACACACTGATGGTGGTGAGCTACTGGATAATAGCCACAGCTGTGTGGACACCCTTATAGAGGCGATGCTGTCATGCACCAGTGCCACCAGGCCCTCTGATCCCCCCAGCAGCTTTTTAAAGAATTCCCATGGGTTAAATACTTTAAATAATTATTTGAGAAAACTGTAATATTTGATAAAAAAATTATTTTTTGTAAAGTGCCTTGAGATGACATTTGTTGTTAATTGGTGCTATATAAGTAGGATTGAACTGAAATAGATCTGGAAGAGCGACAGATATCCCCTATGCACTGTTCAGGACAGTTTTTAGTTTTCAATTAGTCATACATTCTGCAGATCAGACATCTACAGAAGTGTGGAAAGAATAAACCCATTGCAAACATATAATACAAATTGAACTTTTGTGTAAAGAGAGGTCTACTGTAGTGCTCATAGAATGATGAACTCCTCATTCAAAGCTGGTGAACCTCACCTGTGCCAGAGGTCCATCTCTGTGCTTCAGCCTGTTGGAGACAAAGTCTATGAGCCAGTCTCCTTCTCTGAGGTTAGCACACAGAGGATGGCCAAGGTCATTAGTGGGACGGATATCTGCCAAAACAGACATCAGACCTGCAAGAGACATAACACTCATGGTACAATGTTTTTGGAACATTGTATACACCTGTTGAACTTGACTCAGTAAAAAAAGAATGGTATCTGTTTAACATGAACCTTGTAGTCCTGAATACTTCAGGCCTTCCCAGCCTGGGATGCTATAACAGCCTCCACCGTCCTCTTGTTCTTCTGCTTCGCAGCGAAACAGCAAGATGTTCATGTCGGCTAGTGTCAGCTTAGACATTAACCTGGGAAACACAACTTTTGCATCAAATAGCCCATATGTGCAGCTTTACATAACTGTAATATACTTAACACCATATCTGTCACAAGATGACAAGGAAGACTTGGATCCTGTATTATTAATTATGGAAATATACTAAAGTGATGAAAAGACATGAAGAAATCTATACTGCAACTCTATCGGAGCCAAAGAAATTATTTTTTTCCATATTAAGACTTTCTGACACAAACCACTGTGATGTCATGTGCAGCAAGCTGTCAGTCACAGGCTCACAGATTTTCTGTTGTAGGCTATTCCATTGTATTTTTGCTTTGCTTCAGTGGTCAAGATTTTGTATCTCTATTATGTTTTTAAGTTTTCAGCCAATGAGCTGTTAAGCTAAACACCAGGTCACTCCATCATATACAACCAAGTAAAACAAACTTTTTTTTATTAGTCCCCACAAAAATTGGATAAGTAAGGTTGTGTTTTGTTTTAGATTCAGGACTTAATGGACTACCAAGTATAAATTCCCTTCTCACCCACCGCGGGTGGTTCTTATCCTCTGAGCTCGGGTCCTCTACCAGAGGCCTGGGAGCTTGAGGGTCCTGCAGTATCTTGGCTGTGCCTAGGACGGCACATTTCTGGAATGAGATGTCTGATGTTGTTCCTGGGATCTGTTGTAGCCACTGCTCCAGTTTGGGGGTTACTGCCCCGAGGGCCCTGATGACCACAGACACCACTGTGGTCTTCACCTTCCAGGCCCTCTCCAGTTCCTCCCTAAAGCCTATCAGGACGCTTTTAGAATTCTCCTCAGAATTTTACGTTGCAAGTCATGAATAAAGTACCAACTTCTCATGCCTTGTTGAGGAATTTCATGTATAACCATGTAAATGTATAATCCAAAGTGCTACTTCGATTTATCAATCAACTCTGCAGTTGTCAGACCTCTGACAACTTCAACACATAGAGATTGTAGTTTTTTGCAGTTGATCTCAACTGCAAAATTCTTGTCTTTTTAAAACACATATTTCATAAAAAATAGCCCACCTCCTCTCTTCATATATTTATACATATAATTTTTTTTACTTGATTCACTTTATTTTTATTCTTTTATATATGATATTGACTACTTTTTTTCTGTAATAAAGATATACTATTAATTCAGTTTATTTATATACAATAATGAATATGAGAAAGAGGAAATCCTCACTGCGTAAGGGGTTTCTGCAGCACCTCTGGTGGGTTCTCATCAGGTACACTGCCCCTCCTATACTTTGGACTGAACTGAGACAGATAAAACCTCAACACGCCCACCAGCTTCTGTGCTTTGGGATCCAAACTGACTCTGTACAGAGTATAAAAAGTCCATTATTAGCAATAACTAATAAAGGTTGCATTGACAAGCAGTAATAATACACAGATAATTGAAGGAGTTCAGAAACTGTGGGAGATGTACCTGAAGGCAATGATGCTACCAGGGGTCAATTTCTGGAACTGAATTTCTTGCACAAACTCTGAGCGGCCTTTAGAGGTCACCCCAGCAGGTTTCACCACTGCACTCTCCTCCATCTGTACACATAGCAGAATTCTTTTACTATGAAACATGTGTCTGTCTCCCAGGCCTATTAGAATAGTGATGGTTGCTCGCTATATTCAATCAAGACATGTCTACAGCAATAAAATTAATCAATATATTTTTAAAACAACTGAATACCACAGATGAGAAAATAAAAACATGTTGAAGATTGTTTTTCTTCCACATTTGTTCTCTGTGTATCTTCAGCCAAGGCATCAGACTAGAGCACAGGTGTCAACATCCAGTCCTCGAGGGCCGGTGTCCTGCAACTGGTAGATGTGCCTCTGCTGCACCACCTGAATAGAATAATTAGGTCATTAGAAAGGCTCTGGAGAACAAGGAGGAGGTAATGAAGCCATTTCATCCCAGTGTTTTGTACCTGTGGCACATGTAAAGACTGTAGAACAGCAGCCCTTGAGGACTGGAGTTTGACACCCCTGGGCTAGAGGCAGAAAAGGAAAATATCTAGGAAATCATCAGCAGGGGGCGACGATGACCTTTGTCCACGATGCGGCTGTCACAGGCCCTGCGCTGGGTCCTTTGACCTTTGCCGCATGCTCTCCCCCTCTCTTAATCCACTTTCCTATCTGTCTTAAATAAAGGCTACTACAGCTGGGAAAAAAACCCTTAAAAACAACAGCAAAAAAATAAAACATCTTCAGTGTACACAACAGTTTTTACCGGTATATGCTCTTTTATTTCCACTGTGTATTCTGGCATGCCGTTGATGTATTTCTCATCTTTCTTGTAACTCCCAGCCTCTCTCTCCACTGTCCTTGCCTCCAGTACAATTTCCTCAATCTTGCCTGAGGAGGGAAGAATAAATAAAACATGCTTCACAAACAAACATTTGTACATAAATTGAACTGGCACAAAAACACCTGTACATACAAATCTGATATCTAACAAACATAATAGGAGTCCTACCAGGTATGAACATAGGTGGGACATTGTTGTTGTACTGATGGGTTTTGGGGTTCTTGAAGGCTGTCCTACTCACTGTTACCACAGACTGATGTGTGCTGGGGCAATGACGAGTAACTGCAACAATATCTGCATCAACCTGGTCCACATACACCTGAAAAATGGAGAAAGTTAGACATGATTCTGGGAACAGGCAGCATGGTGTCACTACAAGCTCAGACCTGTGAAAAGCCCTGGGCAGCCAGCTCCTGGTGCAGCTTGTTCAGAGCCAGTTTCCCAGCAATGATACCACTCTGAAAGCTAACTTCACCAGCAGAGGTGGGAGCTGAAGCAGGATTCCACTTGGGATAAAAACGCTCCTCCTTCACCACAGATATCTGTTCTCACACAGACACAGATATGAAAGCAAATTCTGTTATTAATTCAAGTATATCTCAGTTTTAAAGCTGCGGTAGCGCATTTCACACCTTACAACTTCCTCCCCCCCTCGGTTCCTGCCATAAATGTGAAAATCTGACAATTCTCCGTAACTTTAGATTGTTTCCCCGTTAGCACAGCTGCAGCACACTAACAATACTGAGATGAAACATGCTACATGGAATGTGTAAGCACTGCGTACACAATGCACACTGCTAAAACCTTTTTCTTAGCTCTGATTGGTTGTTTTGAGTGTTTTGAAGATGGCAGTAGGAACACTGGGAGCAGCCATTAGATCTTGATTGAACTTATCTGTCTCATACTGTACTGTTAAGAGATTATGAATTTGTTTTTATGAAAGTAAAAAAAAACAAAACACTTTTATTCTGTATGAACTGGTTCTGCTTACGTATGCCTCTTCTGGGGACAGCCAAACTACAAGACAAAAAGGATGTCTAACCTGATATTATTTATTTGAATAGAACCAATTTTAATCTAAATTTAAACCATTAAATTGACAATTAATAATAAGCTGATTAATTGTTTGCATCCCTAATTGAGACATTCTCACATCAAGCTTTCCAACTACTGAAATAGTTAAATAGCTAAAATAAAAGTAACAATAAGTAAAGTGTAGGTAGTAAAAAGTGCATCTGAGCATGTGATCTAAAATAACCTGATGTGGGACCATCTCATCGTATCCTCTGGTGGAGCCAGTAGCACAGCAGGCCATGGAGACGATAGCAGAACTGGGCAATGAGTCAAAAGCTGACCGCAGCTGGAAACGCAATCACACCAACAAAGTAAAGCTGACATCTGCTTTATGGTCAAAAACTGTCAAATTAAAGCCAGGGGAATTTAAGCCAAGATTCCTGAGGCCCCACAGTAAAAACTTGTATGAAGCAGACAAAAGCACAGACCCACCTGAATGGGACACTCGTTGTCATGGGTCACATCCAAGAACATGGCGTGAGCGATAGCAGGCATGAGAGGACGCAGGCTGGGCTGAACAAAGGCTCCGACCGGCTCTCCACCATAACGGTAGACCAGCCGGCCCTCTTCATGGCTGTCTCCAGCAGACATGGCCTCTGGCAGCAGGACCAGAGAGGATCAGAAGGGTTAGCTAAAACAGGATGCACTATCACAACTCATGCACAAATATTACATCTTTAGAGCTACATCGACAACTTCACCATTAGCAACTATATTTCAAAGTTAAAAGTCATTATAAACTCAAAAACACACATGTTTCTTCTCTAAATCAGTTTTATTTATTTTTATCATTAGGACTTATTTAGTCTGATGGGGTGCATAAATATCTGCCAAAGGTACACATCAAAGGTTTGCCTATACATTATGCCGGATATACTGAGCATGCATAGTACTGTACCTCGTATGAGGGATGTAATCCCGAGTCTGGTAACAAAGATGTTATCCAGCTCCTCGCTGCCAGTGAACAGTTCAGCCACCACATACAGGCTAGGACACTGGCTTCTGGCAACATCCAACATGAACTAGAAACAGCAAGGCAAAGCAAAGCAGCAGGACGAATGCAGAGCCACAGTGTGCAGGAAGTTCAAGTAGAAGGAAATGGGAAAGAGAGCGCGAGGATGTTGTGCAGGTGTTATGGGGGGCAAACAGCCAATTTGATATAACAGATGCCATAAGAGGTAATACATGCAGCAGAATAGTTAATGAAACATGACAATGGAAAAATACCAAGGGCATGGAAAGGTCACATGCAAAAGGATGCAGTGATGAGAAAAAGACAAACATAAGGACAAGTTAATTTATATATGCATGTACCTCTTATGAGGCTGTTGATTCCCAGTCGGTTAACAAACAGATTGTCTATGAGTTCACTGCCTGTAAAGAGCTCAGCTATTACATACAGGTTGGGTCTGACCTCTCTGGCTGCATCTAACATGAACTAAATGAGACAACAAGACAGCATCACAGAGAGACAGAACGACAGGCTGCTGAATCATCTGGATGAAAATCAAGTTGGATTAAATACATCAGAAAATCCACACAACATGATTGTTTCCAATCTAAACAGGATTTTCTTCTATTTTTCACCCTCGGCTATATTTTGTCAAAAAAATCTTAAAACTTTGAGTTCTGATTTTCTGGAACCTGTGGTGTGCCATGCTGTATAGATGTGTACATTTATATCTAACCAATTTGTAATCTGCTTGAATACTCCCGTTTTTGAGGAGCTGTGTTTTTTGTTGTTTTTTTTTTCTTTCTCTTTCTTAAGAAAGAAAGTTAGAGTTAGAAAACTTCAGCCTGAGTCAGTCCCACCATTTTGCATCAGAATCAGATATCCAGAATCAGTCCCGTCCCGCAACGTGACAACAACAACAACAACAAAAAAGGGATCTGTTTCTTTGCTCTTCACTTTTTAAATGTATTTTTGAAGTATCAGATTGGCACTCGGCTGATGCCTAAAATTAAAATATTCTGACATGGGACATCACTAGTTACAATATTTTCTAACTCAACTGTAAAACAGTATAAGTTTAAGGTGAAGTATTTCTGTAATAATATGATCAACAGTTGACAGTACCTCAGCAACATGCAAGGGCGTAGAGTGGCAGTTGTCCAATCGGACTCCATGGAAATATTTGGCAGTGATTTCAGTGTATTTCTGCATGTGATCCCAGAGGTAGGGGCAATCCTCAGGTCCTTTCCCATAGCGGAGTTTGACACTGTCTCCCCAGCAGATCAGTTCCCGACGCAGGTACACATTGGATCCTGCACAGAAAATCCAAAAATCAACAGCCCTAGAATACAACTCACTATCTCACCAAAAACAACCTCTATTTTCTAGTTTGTTGTTTGTGACTGCTACCTGGTTCAGCGAAGTTGCGCAGAGGATCATCACCCATCACCCAGCCGTTGTGAGCCAAGAAGTGGCACATCTTATCTGGTTGGTTTAAAAACTCCATCTCCTGCTCCAAAGTCATTTCCTCAAAGGGGAAGGTGAAATACCTGAAACAGAGATATGATGACCCACATGTCCTGGTTACATAAAGCTTTTACCAGTCACTGACATGCGGTCAGGTGAGGCAGGATACGGCAGTGCTTCACCTGTAATACTGTTAAGTAAAATTAAGCACATGAGAAGTAAAATAATGCTAACAATAATGAAAGAAAATCAATTTGTCCACTTGAATTTTCTATAAATTGCTTTTTTTTATTTCAAAATGTATATGGTCAAAATTGCAAAATTTAAGCATTGCCTATTGAAATACATGAATGAAAAGCAGGGTGAGGCAGTGCATTTTCCCATCTCTGTGACACCACTGTATCACACAAGTGAATGAATCAGGTTTTCATTCACTTGCTGCCTGTCTTTATGTCGCCAATGTACTTGTTTTATTACACATTTTCTATTATTTTGACATCCCACAGTCTGTTTGATATATCTATGTGTGTGATCTATTAAGTCTCGCTCATCACTGTGCAGTGAAAATGTATCTGTGCCTCACTAATAAAAGGCACTGCTAAGGCCCATAAGGCCCAATGGCACAACAAGCAACAGGTGCTCTTCTACAGATTAAAAAGACTCAAAACATTTAGGGGAAAAAGGTACAGATGGCGCAGAACTGTTCAAGGTCACTCTGACTGACCGATTTTTGAAAATGAAAGGATCTAGAAACAAATTTTTTTTTTTTTTTTTACAACAGAACGAGAGATATTTGTGGAGAAGGATACTTACATGGACGTTAGACATCATATAAAATAAAGGTAAAATCATACATGATTTTCAATTTAGAAAAGAGAGATCAACCAAAGAAAACCTTCAAATAATGAAAAAAATGTGACCTTATTTAATATTTCTTTTATCTTTCTTGCCATTGTATTGTTAGGCGCTTCAATTAATTATGGTCAAAATTAAAATATAGCTTCTATATTGGACTTTGTATTTGTATATCCAACGCTGCTGGAATCTGTGCCTCACCAGACATTAACCTCACCACACATCACTGTTACCAATACAGTAACACAGTAATGCATACAAGATGATTAGCTTTTAATCTTACAAGTTTTAAAAGAAAAATAGCATTCGTTTCTAGAATAATGATGTACACTTTAAGGGTAAAGCAAAACCGTCTCTAACAGAAAGAAATGTCCATCCTACTTTTCCAGTGCTGTCTGCTTTGCTTACCATGTACTCTGTTCCTTCCCCATCAGTCATTACCTGGTGACAAGAGGATCTTTCCTGGTAACAGGACCCAGTTTAGGACCGTGGTCAGCTAGACGTTCATACACTATGTTCCCCACAACGCAGTTGACTGCCTAGCAAAAGGAACAGATGAAATGAAAGTCATATGAATTCCCAATCATAAGACACAGCAGCGTGTCTAGCATTTTCATTTTGACCATTGAAAAAGCCATAGACCTTTTAGTTGTATATATTATTATTATTGTGTGTTTGTTTATTTAATATTGTATATTTTGACTTTTTGCACGGGAGTTGCAATAGAAATTTCGTTGAATCCTGTTCAATGACAATAAATGCTATTCTATTCTATTCTATTCTATTCTATTCTATTCTATTCTAAGTGTCCATTTCAAACTATACAGTGGGCTAGGCTGGTGCATTGCAATCACACAGACAATCGACCCCATTGAAGGCCACATGTTTCTCATGTTCTTTCATCCAAATATAACCATAACATCCATCTTCCAGCAGCAGAGGCCCCATGCATAAAGCATGTGTCCACACAAAACACGTGCGGCGTGGGATTTATCACTTATGTGATAAATCCCATAAGTTATTAGCCCGACAGCTTAAACAAGCACAGGCCTCTAGACCCATACATCATTTTAAACTTGAAGATGGAACTCTATTCACAGATCCGGATAAAATCAACGACTATTTAGCTGACTTTTACGCTGGTGTTTATCAATCACAGGGACAATTGAACATTGAAAATATGGAAAGATTCTTAGAAAATTTTAATTTGCCAAAGCTACTATCAGATTCAGTTGAAGCTCTGGAAGCCAACATAACTTTACAGGAAATTGAATCTGTTATCTCTACACTTCCCAACAACAAAGCGCCTGGTCCTGACAGCTTCAGTGTTGAGTTCTTCAAAGTATTCAGTCTCAAATTATCACCTCTACTTTTGCGTATGTTAAACCACTCTAAGCAAGCGACAAGACTGCCTCCCACTTTATACAGAGCCAATATTTCGTTCATTGCTAAACCTGGCCGAGATCCAGAAGTTGTTTCATCCTCCCTCCTAATTTTGTTGTTACCTCTAGAAACCAAGATTCTTGGAAAAATTCTAGCCAATAGACTCAAAAGACAAATAGGTTTAATCATCCACCCGGATCAGTCTGGCTTTATGTCATGTAGGCATAGGTTTTCTAATCTGTGTCATCTTTTCAATTAGTACACTCAAATCATTCAAACGAGTCCATTGTTATTTCACTAAGAATGATGTATGTTCTTAAAACATTTTGTTTTGGACCCCTGTTCACTGATTGGATTGAAATAATTAATTCACATCCAACTGCTTCGGTCATTACTAATGGGATTATCTTCTGCCCCTTTACTATTCATCTTGGTACACATCAAGGCTGCCACCTCTCCCCATTTCTCTTCTCTTATTGAACCTCTGGCCGCCATTATTAGGCAAAACCCCTTAACATACTCTATTGAGATGTTTAATTGTAAGCATCATATTTCGCTGTATGCTGACAATATACTTTTGTATGTCTCTAACCCACGGAAATCGCTGTCTCCTCTTTTGACGATGATCAACAATTTCGGCAGTTTCTCTGGTTTTTCTATTAATTGAGACAAAAATGAACTCATACTGCTTACTACAGAGGCTGATTCGGTGTATTTGAGGTTCACATCATTTAAGATAACTTATGATTCCTTTACATACTTGGGCGTGTTGGTAACAAAGAAGCCAGAACATCTTGTAGAAGCCTAAATTAAGTCTCTGGAGACATATTGTGAATTTGCATAACTAATTGGAGTGGAAGAGTTGGGGTGTGGCTAAATGGAGGGAGTTGGGCAGTTGGAGTGGAGCCACACAGTTTTTTGACCTCGCTTTTTCTTTCTCTTTTTTACTTACTTTTTATTAGTGTGGAATGTGAAATTTTGTACTGTTTTTATTTCTGAAGTAAACCGTTCAACTTATCAAGAGGATTCAGTCTGTTTTTCGTTTTGGGTTTTTTTTTTGTCATCGAGTAAGACGAAGGGAAAAGACGGAGAGCGTCAAGCTGATGGCTTCAACAATTAGGAATCAATATTAGTCAAAAAACTTGCTCTACGTGGACCATGGCAACTTGGATTAGCCCAACTAACAAGGAATTACCTCAAGAAAGCGGCACGGAGACTTTGGAAGAGGAGTAAATTGAATAAGGAGCGACGTTGAGCAGAAAAAACATAGCGGACAGCTGCAACTGAAAGACGTGAGTAAAAAAAAAAGGGCAAGCCTTTGTGACTCGGTGGAACTACGAAGTGGAACGGGACTTGCTGTTGGCATTATTCATAAGCCATAGAAGTTTAGCTCGTTATGGAGGAACGAGACAGTGAAAAACGAACAGTAAAAATGACCGAGAAGGCTGCAGAAGATCTTAAGTCTAAGCTAACGCATGCACGCAGGTCCAAGCTAGCCCACGTGACAAGCTTGAAGAAGCAAATTGAACAGTTAATGGAAAGTGACGCCAACGTTGATACTGTAAAAAATAAGCTTCGTGTGGATTTTAGTGGCTTGCAAGAAGAGTTTAAAGAGCTCAATTCTAGTCTGCAGAAAGTTATGGATGATGAAGAATACATGAAAGATCAAAAGAACTGGTTTAAACCAAAGCATGATGCTATGGATGACTTCTTTTGGCGCTGTGAAGGATGGATGAAAGACGTTTTGAATCGAGCTGAGCAAGCTGAGGAGTGCGACAAACAGATAACACCTGCAGACAGTAGATCTATGGCATCTAGGAGGTCAAGCAGTCACAAAAGTAGTTCCTCATCACAATGTGGAAGCTCAGTCTCATCATCTTCATCAGTGAGATTAAAGGCAGAATTAGAGCGGGCTGCTTTAAAGGCAAAGGCTGCTGCTTTACAGGAAAAGCTAGAACTTGAAAAAGAAGAAGCAGAGTGGCATGCAAAACAAAATTTCAGGAAGATTCAAATAGAGGCTGAAGAAAAGCAACGAGAAGCCGAGTTTGAAGCTCAGCAAAAGATTTTTGAAGCTGCTTTAAGAGCAAAGAAAGAAACACATGCAATGCAAACAGCATTGGCTGAATCAAACGCTAAAATGGAGATTTTACAAAAATATGAAAACGTTCAAAACAACGACATTTTTCAAGCTAATCAGAAAGACAGGGAAGAAGATATAAAACCTACATTGCAGCTACCATCACAGAACACATTAAAACCGGCCAGCATTAAACGCACTGCTCCAGCTGCACACGTTCACATGACTAGATCTGCATCAGAAGGCGAACCTAGAGATCAGCATGGGCCAGTACTGGACGGGCTTTGCCAAGCTGTCTCACAACAAGCCCATGTCACAGAGTACTTAGTGAAGAACCATAAGGCATCGCTTCTTCCAGATCTCACCATACCAATATTTAATGGGAACCGTTGGAATATAGATCTTTCATTGGAGCCATCGAACATGGAATCGAGAGTCGTACCGATAACGATCGTGATCGACTTCAGTTTTTGCTGCAATACACAAGTGGACAACCACACGAGTTGGTTAAGAGCTGCATTCATATGGAACCTTCAGCAGGATATACCAAGGCTAAACAGATGTTAAAAGAGTTCTTTGGAGATGACTTCAAGATTTCAGAGGCTTACATTAAAGAGGCTTTGGATTGGCCAGCAATTAACCAGAAGACGGACATGCTCTTCAGTCCTTTGCACTTTTCCTCACTGGCTGCTCCAACACAATGATGGATATTAGCTATTTGGAAGACCTGGACAATACAGCTAATATAAGATCTTTGGCAAATAAACTGCCATACAAGATCAAAGAATCATGGAGAAAATCTGCCTGTGACCTGCAAGAAAGGACCAAGAAAAGAGCTAAATTTAAAGACTTTGTTAACTTTTTGAACCAGCAGGTTAAGTATCTTTTACATCCCCTACGGAAATTTAAAGGACACGACCATAACCATGAAAGAACCCGCTAAACCAAAAGCAAAACAATACACGGAATCATTCAAACCAAAGAAGGTGTTTACCACAACTGTTGTACGACAAAGGACAGAAGATAACAAACAAGACTCTTCAAAAACACCACCTGCAACCACAGAGACAACCATCAAACCTTGTGCTTATTGTGGTGAAGAACATCACAGCCTCACAGTTTGCAAAAAATTCAAGAGCAAGCTACATAAGGACAAAATTGAATTTTTGAGGAGCAAAGGTTTGTGTTTTGCATGTTTGAAGCAAGGACATATGAGTAACAGTTGCAAACAGAAACTTAAGTGTCAAGAATGCTCAAGATGTCATCCCACAGCTTTACATATTACAACCAAGGGTGTTAAGAAGAAACAGTAAGGGAAAGTTGTGATCAACAATCTGTAACAACTGCGTTTGTACAAACAGCTGAAACCTGTGGTGTCACTGGGGCCGGTAGGGACGATTGTGTCTTGTCAATCATTCCAGTGTTTGTTAAGGCACAAAAGGGAACCAAGACTGTGAAAACGTACGCATTTTTAGATCCAGGCAGCTCAGCTTCCTTTGCTACAGAGACACTGATTAAGCAGTTGAACATGAATGGGCGCAACGTAAACATTTCGTTGCGAACTATGGGAAACGAATCAGTTGTGAACACATGCATTGTGACTGGTCTAGAGATCAGCAGCTTGGACAATAACCAATTTGTGGAACTTTCTGAGGTTTATTCACAGAAAGAGATTCCTGTAACTAAGGACAATATTCCCCGTCAAGAGGATATTGATGGGTTGGCCCCACCTAAAGGAGGTGAAAATTCCCACTATCCAAGCAGAGGTTGGATTGCTTATTGGAGCAAATGTTTCCAAAGTTATGGAACCATTGCAAGTGATTAACAGTGTGGACAATGGACCATATGCAGTAAGACAATCTTGGGCTGGACAGTGAATGGACCGCTTAGAGGCAAAATGGACATGATGAGTGAAACATCGTCAGGAATTACTGCAAATCGAATTTCTGTGGCTAAACTAGAAGAACTCTGGCAACTGCAGTTCAAGCAGGACTTTCCCGATGCAGGACAAAAGGAAGCCACAGAGATGTCCAAGAATGATCATCAGTTTATGAGAATGGTGTCTCAATCTGTGAAATTGGAAGATGGTCATTATAGCATTTGCCTCCCTGTGAAGGAGACGTCTGTAAAGATGCCAAACAACAGAGCAGTTGCAGAACAACGTGCACTGAATTTACGCAAGAGGTTTTCAAAGGATATAAAATTTTATGGAGAGTATGTTGGATTTATCAATGATCTGCTCAAGAGAGGTTTTGCAGTGAAACTTGACAGTAATACCTGTGGACCAGAGGGAAGAACATGGTATCTGCCTCATCATGGGGTTAGACATCCAACTAAGCAAAAACTGCGAGTCGTCTTCGACTGTGGAGCAAGCTTTCAAGGAACAGCATTGAACCAACAACTATTGCAGGGGCCAGACCTTACAAGCTCTCTATTGGGGGTTCTTGTGAGATTCCGCCAAGAACCTGTGGCAGTCATGGCGGATGTTGAGGCCATGTTCCATCAAGTTAGAGTCCACAGTGAAGACACAGATTTCCTTAGGTTTCTCTGGTGGCCTGAGGGGAACTATGACCTGGATCTGGTTGAATACAAGATGTTAGTGCACATTTTTGGTGCAACATCATCACCAAGTGTTGCTACCTACGCACTTCAAAGATGTGCAACAGATTTTGCAAATGAGTTTACGGAGGAAACGGTCAAAACAGTTCAGCAAAATTTTTATGTTGATGACTGTCTGAAGTCTGTTTCTGATGAAGACAAAGCCATCACACTGTGTTCTGAATTAAGACACATGTTGGAAAAGGGAGGATTTCGACTGACTAAATGGTCAAGTAACAGCAGAAAGGTGCTCAGTTCAATTCCAGAAGAGGAAAGGGCACAAGGATTTAAGAATCTGGACTTAGATGAAGACCATCTGCCGATGGAAAGGACATTGGGCATCCATTGGTGCACTGAATCCGATAAGTTCAGGTTCAAGATCAACCCCAAAGATCGACCACACCAGGAGAGGTCTGCTTTCCTTGGTCAGCTCCATCTTTGACCCTTTGGGATTTCTTGCTCCAGTAATACTTCCAGCAAAAAGAATTCTACAGGATTTATGTCGGCAGAAGTATAGCTGGGATGAAGATCTACCAGATGACGTTGTAAAAAGTTGGAAAGTTGGATTTCAAGTCTGTCTCTGCTCGAGAAGTTTGGAATCAACCGATGTGTTAAGTCAAAGCAGTTTGGTGTGTCAGTCTTCGCACAGCTTCATCACTTTGCTGATGCAAGCGAAGATGCCTATGGAACAGCAAGTTACTTGCTGCTGCACTCTGAAACTGGCGAAACTCAATGCACATTGATCATGGCCAAGACCAGGGTTGCACCTTTAAAGTCACCAACCATCCCAAGAATGGAATTGACAGCCGCCACAGTTGCAACAAAGATGGATACACTGCTACGAAAGGAGCTGGATCTGGAGCTCGCTAAATCGGTCTTTTGGACTGACAGCACAGCTGTGCTAAAGTACCTCAGGAGTGAAGGCACTAGGTTCAAGACTTTTGTCTCCAATAGGATCTCTGCCATCCTGGAACACTCTGAAACATCACAGTGGAGATACATCAACACTAATCTGAATCCGGCTGATCATGTTTCAAGAGGACAAACTGTGGAAGAATTTATGAAAAACAAAGTTTGGCTATCTGGACCCAGTTTCTTGCATGGCTCACATGACCAATGGCCCAAAAATCCAGACCCTGGAATGCCAGATACTGATGACCCAGAGATCAAAAGAATGACTCAAGTGCACATCATTCAGGTACAAGAAGCAAAGGATGTCCTGGATCCGCTGATGAGCTATTACTCTTCCTGGAAAAAGCTAAAACGTGCTGTAGCTTGGTTCTTAAAACTGAAAGAGTTGCTGAAGGAACTTAAAGAAAAGAGGAAGGAACTAAAGGCTTCAGGAGATGAAAGCAAGATGAATAAGTTCAAGAAGATTTTCAAAGGAAAGAATCTGACATCCGACAACTTGGTTGAAGCAGAAACAGAAATCATTAAATACTGTCAAAAGCAAAATTTTAAGGCAGATTTGGCTATGCTGCAAGAACATCAGAGTGTAAAGAAAAGTAGCTCACTTTTTAAGCTAAATCCAGTGCTAGAAGAGGGAGTTATGAGAGTTGGTGGAAGGTTGCACCGAACAGCAATGCCTTACAACTCCAGACAGCAAATCATTCTACCGAAGAAGTCACACGTCACAGAGCTTGTGCTTAGACACATTCATGACACTACAGCTCATGCAGGACGGAATCACATGTTGGCTCAGCTGCGGCAAAGATTTTGGATCCCAGGAGCCAGCGGAACCATCAGAAGATTTCTATCCAAATGCACAATCTGCAAAAGATTACATGGAACCACTGGCAAACAAATTATGGCAGATCTACCTACCTGCAGGATCCTGCCAGACGATCCTCCATTTACCAGAGTTGGCGTTGATTATTTCGGTCCATTTCTGGTTAAAAGGGTAGAAGTCAAGTAAAGAGATACGGTGTTATCTTCACTTGTCTTGCTATAAGAGCTGTACATCTCGAGATTGCCTCTTCTCTTGACACTGATGCATGTTTGAACGCAATCAGAAGATTTGTTGCCAGAAGAGGACAAGTGAGAGAGATGTATTCGGATAATGGAACCAACTTCAAGTCAGCTGATGCTGAGATGAGAAAATCAATTAAGGCATGGAATACAAGCAAGATTGAAAATCATTTGCAACAGGCTGGTGTTCAGTGGCATTTCAATCCGCCAACAGGTTCACACCACGGAGGAAGCTGGGAGCGTCTAATCCGTTCAGTGAGGAAAATCCTGAACATTACAGTCAAAGAGCAACTTTTGGATGAAGAGGGTCTACACACCTTGCTTTGTGAAGCAGAAGCAATCATAAACAGCCGGCCCATTACAAAGGCTTCATCAGACCTTCACGATCTTGAGGCACTGACCCCTAATCATCTGTTGTTGCTAAAGGTCAAACCCGAGTTACCACCAGGAGTTTTTCAGAAGGACGATCAGTACACAAATCGCCGTTGGAGACAGGTGCAATACCTCGCAGATATCTTCTGGAAACGCTGGTGCAGGGAGTACCTCTCCCAGTTCCAAGAACGTCAGCTGTGGTCTTCCCCTAAAAGAAACTTCTGTGTTGGAGACGTCGTTCTGATTGTGGATGACACCTCTCCCAGAAACTCCTGGCCACTTGGAAGAGTTGTAGAGACATTTCCAGACAGAAATGGCTTTGTTCGACAGGTGAAAGTAAAGACTAAGAGTAACGAGCTTTGTCGCCCAATAACAAAGCTATGTCTTCTGCAGGGCTCAGAAGAGGACGGATAAAGGATCTAAGGTCAAGGCCTCATTCACGAGGTGATGGACTATGGACTTGGTTTTTTTTTTTGTTTTGTTTTGTTTGTTTTTCATAGTTGCAATGTGATTTAGGCTTTTCTTGTTCATGTTTAAACTCTTATGTTTGTAATTGTTTCAAGAACGTTGATAACAATTAGGGGCCGGTAATGTAGAAGCCTAAATTAAGTCTCTGGAGACATATTGTGAATTTGCATAACTAATTGGAGTGGAAGAGTTGGGGTGTGGCTAAATGGAGGGAGTTGGGCAGTTGGAGTGGAGCCACACAGTTTTTTGACCTCGCTTTTTCTTTCTCTTTTTTAACTTACTTTTTATTAGTGTGGAATGTGAAATTTTGTACTGTTTTTATTTCTGAAGTAAACCGTTCAACTTATCAAGAGGATTCAGTCTGTTTTTCGTTTTGGGTTTTTTTTTGTCATCGAGTAAGACGAAGGGAAAAGACGGAGAGCGTCAAGCTGATGGCTTCAACAATTAGGAATCAATACATCTTTTAAGGCTGAACTGGCAGAGTAAAATTCTACAACTCAAACAGAATATCGATTTCTGGAAAACTCTCCTGCTATCTATGGCTGGTAGAATTAACGCCTTTAAAATGGTGGTGTTACCACAATTTATTCACTTATTTCAATCTGTCCCATGTATAGGTGTATCCTACTTCAGACAATTAGATTCTATTATTATTCCCTTTATTCGGGGCTATAAAAGTGTTAGAATTTCTAAAAAAACACTTATGTAAATCAGTAATGGAAGGTGGGTTCTCCTTACCAGATTTCAAGCAATATTACTTACCAGATTTCAAGCAATAAGAGGCTCCTTCTTTAAGAGGAGCCTCTTAAAGAATACTATCTACCACCAGGCACCTGGTGGTAGATATGTCCCTCTACCACCATCTTGGTGTGGTAAAGGGACCTGATGGGTCCTGTCCTTCCTGGTTATCTTTAGAGCATCTGCACTGTTGTAATTCGTCTCTAACTGTAGAAATCCAATCGGTCAGATAAATTCTTCTGTGTAAGCTGTCCAGCCTTTAACCCTACCTGTTCCTGGTGCTGGTGTATGATGTGGTACTGTTCTTCATTCATCTCAGTCAACTTCTGTTTCAGCCAAGCACAGCACTCTTCTACGTGCTGTGGAGAGGAGCTGGAGAGACATGGAACAAGAGGATAGGAATGAAGCAACAATATCAGACAAAAATGTGTACATGTCGATATGGATTGGATTACAAAGAATAATTCTCAAAGTTCCTTAAAACAACCACACCTGCTACACTGCATAGCATTTGTTCTATATTTTTGTAATTATTAAGTCATCTAAGATCTGTGTGACTGTTTGAGGGTGTGGATAGGTGTCTCCTATACTGACAAGTTCAAACAGGTAATGAATGGAGGGCAGAGGAGCCTCTTAAAGAATAAGGTAGAGGTCTGTGAGAGCCAGATGTTTTGCTTATTTGTTATTGGCCAAGTACCTATTTTCCACCATAATTTGCAAATAATTCCTTAAAAAAAAAAATCAAACTGTGATTTTCTAGATATGTTTTCCTATTATCTGCCAAAGCGATGATCGTCGTTTTGGCAGAGAACCAGACGTGATCGTTTGAACGTACAGAATGTTGTTTTTAATTTCCAGAGACTTGATAAGATTGTGCAGCACTTTGAGTTGTTCAGTGTGCAATACATGAGGATATTTTTTTTCTTATTGTTTGAGATACAGAGTGAATGTCGATGCGCTGTTTTGCAACAATCTCTGCTAGTATCACTGCTGCAGTCCTCGAGAGCTACTATCCTGCAACTTCCAGATGCATCTTTACTTCAACAGACCGGGATCAAATGTCTGAATTCCCTCAACAGCATAAATTCAGCTCTGACCTGGCCTGGCATCAAGCCATTCATTTGATTCAGGTGTGCTGGAGCAGGATGCATTTGAAAGTTTCATGAGGATAGCTCTCAAGGACCGGACTTAAGCACACCTGCTCTATTGTTCTTTTTTGTAGGTTTCTGTAAAGTGCAGTGAATGGGAATGTTGTCGTTGATCCTCACTTTTCTTAGGAAGGAGAAATTCACATTTCCTCTAAAGTGTAATTTTTTTATTGTGCTGGTTTTTATTAGCACTCTCTATAAATTTTTAAGATGACAGTTTGTACAATTGAATACATATTGCCAATTTTTTCAATCGGAAAGTGTGTGTAATTGATCCCTCTGTATGCTGGGAGCCTAATATGTTTGCAGTGATGTAGAATGTATAAAGCATGTTATGCCCAAAGTGGACAAGCAGAATAACAAAAGGCATTGATAAGTAACGAGAAAGTGTACTTCATTAGCAATTATAATTGAGCAAAAGTTTAATGCTTTTACATTTAGAAGAACATAGCAAATACATTAGTGCCTCAAAGACACCAACTGAAAAACTTGCAAGTGTGATGTCAGGCTCTCACCTGTGAGGTACAAATGTCTTCAAAGCTGAGTCCATGTTCACTCTGTTGCCATAGCGACAGTACTGGAGGTCTTGAATGATTTCTAAGCCTTTATTTCCTTCAGTCTTGCTGTGATCTGGCTTTGTGCCTAAAAGTTACAGCACATAATTATTGTCTTAATTTGCACAACCTAAGGTCTTGGGCAGTGAAATTGATGAATATTTTATAATGAGTAATGGAAAAAAATTCTAACAATGCTATAAAGTTTATTTCTGTTTTAGACTAGAAAGTATTTTGTTGACAGTTGAAAATTAATGCGATTCTACAATATGTGACTCTTTCACTTAAATAAAAGGCTATTAGATTTCCATTCATTTCAGTCTTCAAAGATATACACACCATTTTGCAGCAGGATTCTGAACTGCTCCACAGCATTTTCCACATTGACCTGGTAGAACTCCCAAAGTTTGATTTGAGGAAAAATGTCCTCCCAAAACACCCTGCGGAGAGCCTAACAGAAGCAGCAAAACAAATATCATTGTAACACTGCTTAATCTTTTCATATTACCGTATTTTCCGGACTATAAGTCGCACCAGCCATGAAATGCATAATAAAGAAGAAAATACATATATAACTTGCACGAGAATATAAGTCACATTTTTGAGGGAAATTTATTTGATAAAATCCAACACCAAGAACAGACATATCATTTTGAAAGGCAATAAAAATAGAATAGAGGCAACAACAGGTTGAATAATTGTACGGCATTCTAACATTACAGGACAAACAACAAACTGATAATGTGCCTGGTATGTTAACATATTAAGAGTTATTCAGATAACTATAGCATAAATAACATGCTAACAAGTTTACCAAACCATCAGTGTCTCTCCAAATCACAAATCGCAATGAAATCTTCCTCCTCAGAGCTTTTAAACAACTGTTAACTCCGAGAGTAGAATAACCGGCCAAGAGCGCCCTCTTGCGGTTTAGTGTGAAAATAACATGTTATATGATATAATGTGTTAATTTTCACACATAGGTTGCTCCAAAGTCTAAGTCGCACCCCCGGAACAAACTATGAAAAAAACTGCAACTTATAGTCTGGAAAATACGTAATTAAAAACCTTCATAAAACATCTCAGAAAGTGTTGATTAGTTTCAGTTCTAAATGAGGAGAGAACTGTAACTTTTGTGAAACTGTGAAGCTTGGACTTCAGTTCAGTTCACATTACCTCCAGCAAAAGGATCTAACAAATAAGCTGTTAGATCAGTTCATGAGCTCTATCTAGTTACCAATGTGGGTTAATCTCTCCACCAAAAATTACTACAATCATCTGATATGATGATAGAAAATCGTTACAGTTTTACGTCTCTGTGTCCTGGGCGGGATTAAGTGTTTCAAAGATTTATCTCTTTTCTATTAAGCTAAGAGGTTCCCGTTTGGTTAAATTGACTAATTATGACTAAGTTTAATAATGTGAGCAAAACGTTTTTATTTAGTCAGTATTTAATACGACATAATTTTTTGTAAATGTAATCATTGAATTCTTTAAAAAAATTAATTCATTTAAAAGATAGTACTTCATGTTACAGATTGAAAAGAAAACCAATTATTAAGAAAATGGCCGCTTAATTGTTAGTTCTTGTTAGGATGGTGCTTTCAAAAAGATGGGTAATTTGTTTATAAGGGAGAATAATGAGAATCTCCACTAAAGAGGAAATATTCTAGGACTACTGGGTTACTATACAAATCATGAGCCATGTATATTTAACATATACAAATCTTTAATTAGGCCCGAGCAGCAAAGCACTGCAAAGAGCTTCTGCGGTGGCGGGCATACGTGTGGCGGTGCCGGAACCCCCGCAGCGGCCAATAGGCAGGAGCAGCGCTTGACTGTAAGCCAGCGGCTTTAATTTAAATTTGAATTTTTTTCTCCACTGAATAAACTGACTTAAATAAAAGTTTGATTTAATTTCTAAATATCCTACTGTGAAATTATGCCACTTGAATGGTAAATTCTGGTTCATTTAAGGATTTTACAAAATTTTATCAGGGTTCCCAGTAAATTTGTCTGTGTATAAATATACAAGGTGTATTCTGCGCTCACATTTAGGTGGCTCTCGTTGGTAATGTCAGAAGGAAGTCCCTTCTCTTTGTAGCGTCCATCTGCTACCCTAGTGGTTAAATGCCAGATAGCTCTGTCCAAGACCCAGGCAGGACGCAGGTGAGGAGAGTTCATCAGGTTATAGCCACACTCTGGATGTTCCTTTATCCACACACTGTTTGCAGCTAAACACAAGCAGATAGGCTTTATTACTTAGGAATTGGTTGATCGCAAAAACAAATGTTCAGATACTAAGATAATTAATTATTAATATTAATGATTTTTATTTTTCAAACTTTGTGTTTGGGGATGGCGATGAAACTATTCAACTAAGATTGCAAAAAGTAAAAAAATAAAATAAAATAAAAGATCACTAGCAAAGAACAAGACATTTTTGAGTGTCTCACTGAATTGTAATTCTTACAGACTTTGTTAAATCCCCAATGGAAATTTGAAAGACAGTAAATCAACCTCTATGTTTAACCTTACAGGCTGTCTCATTTCACATTGAGCTATTCTTGGAGTAAAGGGAAGAAGCAGTGAGAAGGTTGGAGAGTGGTCACAGAAATCACTTGACTCTGACAAAGGTAATAACAAATAAATATTTTATGAAAGTGAACAAATAAAAGTCAAACATTGCTTTTCAAACATGCTTCAATACAATTGCTTAACAAATTCATGAAATAAGCCTGGAAAAAACTTATGCATTTAAATGTAATTTGACTCCACTGCGCTCCTTAGGTTAATCCATCAGCTACATCTCCTCGCTACATCCATCGATCTGCACCAGATTTTTTGTGTCATCGGGGAGCGCCGCCAAATGCATTGATGCGTACTGCCTGGTGGACGGGCACAGAGACTGCGCGAGAGCTTCTGCGGTGGCTGGCGGGCGGCAGTGCTGGAAACTGCGCAACGGCTTCTGTGATGGCATGTGGGCAACGGTGCTAGAAACTGCGCAAGAGCTTCTTTCTCATGTAATCTGCCCTAATTTGCTGTATGTAACCTTTTTCTGTTTGTAACCTCTTCCTATTTTTAACCTTTTCCTGTGTGGAATTTTTGCTCTTTTACCTTCTTTAAGCCTTGTTGTTCTTTTAGTTACTGTTTATGTAACTTGTTGTACATATCATTGCAAATAAATAAATAAAAATAACGTGTCTTATGAAAAACAATGAAAAATTGTTTCATCAGGACAGTTTATTAATTGTTTTAGAGCATAATTTAGAGCATGATTTACTTTTGGTTTGGCAAAGGTGCAAACTAAAAGTTTAGCAACAGGAATAAAAAAAATTCTATAACGACTAGATCTACTCACCAGTGTGATTATACACCACATCAGTGATTGATACCATATTCCATTCCGTCCTCAGTTTTTCCACCAGTCTTCCCACATCTTCCCAGGTGCAACACTTGCCCTCTGGACTGAACTCCGGGTTAAAGGTCAGCTGGTCAGCTAAGGAGTAACAGGACCTAGACTCTCCCAAAGTCTGCAGAGGAGTGAAGTGGATCATGTTGTAACCTGAAGGAAAGACAAAGTACAACATCTCATGTGGCTCCTGCACATACTGTATGTCCAGAGTCTGAAACAGTTACATAAAATAACTGAAAATATTTTCCTGGCATTTTTGTATGAATTTTTATTGAGTGATAGATTCAAGTGTTTATCAACAGGGGTGACAGAAGAAAAATCTATTTAAGAGTTGATGGAGATTCACAATGAAGGAAGTGGTGCATTTCTTCAGATGGCAAAAGTAACTCAAGAAAGAAAGTGGAGGAGTGACAATTTTAACAAATATGCAAAGAACATTTTTGTAAAAGTTACATACTGAAGGAAAGACAAAGTACAAATTGTAAATTTTACTTTAAATTAAAAATTCAAATTTCACTGAAGTCATGTTGATCTAACCAACAATATTATAATGACTGAAACAGTCATAGTTACTTGATTGTGTCATAAAATACATAATGATGACCTTCTCTGTTTCAAGCCAGTTCTGAACCAGAGAAGGCTTCAGAAATTTAATTATAGCTAAGAAGAAGAAAATGGACCGTTGCTTAATGGACAAAAGCCCTCTTTTCAGATAAAAGTAAAGTTTACATTTACTTTGGAAATTAAATTAGAAGTTCCTACAGTGATCTGATACTCCTTATCAGAAGTTCTGATAACACAAATATAACTCTGTCAGTTATTATTTTGTTACTGCACAGACTGGCGACTTGTCCAGGATGTACCCTGCCTCTCGCCCAAAAGGTTCGCAGGAGATGGGCACCAGCACCCCTCCTGACACTAGTAGCTATGAGGGTGTACAGAAAATAGATGGATTATTTTTGCTATCTGCCCTTGAATTGATAGAACAAACCCTACAGCCAGGGATTTTCACACCTCCAGGCGGGTCGCTCCCAAAAAGTTCCACTCTGCCAGTGCCAGAGACTCCAATCACTGGGTGTGATTGGAGTCCAATGACTTGCTGGATCTCTGTGTAATCTGGACTTTAGGTAGATTTGACTTGCAAGCAACATGAATGGCATACATTTAAACACGAAAATAAAAAAAAAAATCATACAAAAATACTAGGAAAATATTTACATAAACTACTACCATAAAAATCAAGGACAAATGCAACACAGAGTTCCACATTTCTGGATTATACTTGATACTATTAAATATTGTATTCGTTTAGGATTTTCATCCAATGAACTGTGATTAGAAACAGAAATAGACACTATTTATTTTTTGGAAGTAAACTGAAATGGCCAAATTGACATGGTTTTAATGGAGATTCTTCTACATTGACAGTCAGAAATGTATTTTATAATAGTTGTGGCTGCAAGGACTGCTGTTTTACTCCACAAAAAGCCGTGACTAAATTTGAATCATTGCAGCTATATTTGTACAAAATGTTGGCCTTTATATTTTAAATATGTCAAGGCAAAAAACGAATGAGCAGTAAAACCTCTGTGGGACGTTTACATGTTTGCCTTTGGGTCTGAAGACCACACCCACCTGACTCCTTGGCTACTCGCAGTCTGTCTGGCCAGTCATCAAAGCGTCCCAGACATTTGGACAAGTACGTCTGGATGGTGACACAGTCCAGCAGGAGGACATGGTTGTCTGCTCCAACACGAAGAATAGGATCAACGACAATGTAGCCTCCTCCTAACCTCTCCACACCTCTGTGAGAACAGCATTACATTCAGCACAAATACTGACATGTCATTCTGAACATGCAGCTTCCATGTCTTATCTTAGAGCAAAGGTCTCCAGTCTGTCAGAGATCCTGGGCCATTTCACATGCAAGAATTCTAAGCTACAAATCATGTTCACCCTACAAAACCGCTGCAACCTCCCAAAGGCAGAAATTTAAATATTTTAATGTTTTTTGGTTGAAGCTATAAACAGTAAATGCATATACATATCACCTGAACATGTTTTTCAGCTAATGTGTAAAACAGATCAGCCATTGAAGATATGGTTTGAGGCCAACCATGCTGGGATTTAACCTAGTTTCAAATGTTACCCTAAATGTGTCAGGAAACCTAACTCTGCACTCTTCCTGCCAGGTCTGGCTCATCATCAATCATCTAGATACTGAATCTGCACCAGACAAAGTAAAATGCTTCCATTAGTATTTCTTGACATTGATTGATTTGAATTGTAGTAGATTTATCAAGAACTAAAACCTGAAGGGTTGTTTTTCTTATAAATCGAGATCAACCAAAGCATAGCAGAGCTCAGACTATATGGCTCTTCAGTCCTCTAAGTCTTTTGAAATGGCACAGCATGTGTTGTACTTTATCCAAGAGACTCCATGAGACATTAGTTGTTTCAATTACAAATGTGCACAAAACTTTGTCCACATTCCATTAGTGTAAAAACAAAAAAAACCCAGTAGTTGTGTTTCTATTAAATAAGAAAAATAATTGAAAAATCACATGTAAATAAGTTTGTTCGCACAATGTGCCAGTAAAAAACATGCTACTACTTCCTGTTTTCTTCATGGTTTGTGCCAGTGGAAACATCTTGTTGTTGATCATGTGATTCATATGATGCAAAAAAAAAAAAGGTGTTTCCAGTGCAGTTTTGCAAAATGGACCAATTTTGATATGGCCAAATTAATGTAAAAATTGATATTTTGATATTGTGTTTTCAAAATATCTGTGTTTTCATTTGGTAAATTTAATTTTGAAATAGCTGCGCAATTATATGGTCAACGGAGATGCAGTTACAGTAACTGTGTTCAGGATTAGTTAGATCTCAAAATTGATTGATTCATTTTTCCCCCCAATTTTTTATCTGCTAACTAAAGAAAGTTTATATACCACAATGTCAATTGTACCACAATTTTCCAATTATGGGCTTTAACAATTGTAATATGAGTCACTCTTACGCATATCCAAAGTAGTACTGGTAGGATCCAGCAATCTTGAGCTCTAGGGAGCAGTACTTATCAGAGTCATCCTCCCTTCCTGTTGGGTAGTTCCAGGCTAAAACACGAAAGTTGTTTCGAATGAACTTCTGTCCATCAAGTGGGTAGTTGGTGTGAACTATAACTCTCCTTCCTTGAAGGCTTGGACCAAGGCGGAACTGGAGCTCAAAACCTGAGGAGACACAACAGCTTTTCATTTATAATGCAGCATTGTGGGAAGCTAAACCTAAAAAAGAACCAGCATAGAGAATTTTTATAGATCTTGTCTTAGTCTTTATCTTTTTGTTTTAACCATGGCATGCAGTTTGGACAAAATGTATTACTATTTAAATCTGCATGAAAAATTCCACGCACTTAGAGCACACAACTTTTCCTGTCAAATTTTGCTTAACTTCTTGCATTAGAACTACAAATAAAAAAAAATTAAAAAAAACAATAAACAAGTACTGCATTACCTCCCTGCAATAGAAGCCTGTTTAATCTCACTCCTGGTATGAAGAGATACAGGAGAATCTCACAGCTCTGAAACAAGCACACTATGATGTCTGGATGCAGACATTTTGGGATAATGTCTGCATCCCAAAATGGCTGCAGACATTATCACAAATGTCTGCAGCCATTTGGCCCTTCACAGTTTAGTCTATATATAGTTGAGATTTACGGCCAGCTCACAAATGCCTACCAGGTTTAGATAGCTGTAAATGTCAAGAGGCACACTTTTTTGGTCTGTTAACTGCAGCCAGCATGCAGCATGTCTTTTCTCACTGAATAAAGACATGCCTTTATTCATATTATGGAATATATACCGTGAATATATTCCATAGATTCAGGATACAACTTGGGTACAGCACACTGCTTCATGAAAGTGGTCTTTTTCCACCTAATAAACTTGGAATTAAAACCATTTTAGGTCCTTTGAATGTTCAGAAAGCATGAAACATTTTATAAACACACAACGAGGGCTGAAATGATTCCTCGAGTGCCTTGATTATTAAAATTCCTTGAGGAAAATGTATCTGCCTCGAAGCTTCCTTAAGTTATAGTTTATTATTCAGTGCTCCATGTTCTGGCCAGGTTATTACTTGCGTTACTCTCACTTCCACCAGAGTTGTGGAAGTTGTGATGAAAGCTAAGTGTTAGCAGCATAACTTCCAGTTTTCAAGTTCGGCCTGGGAGGATTGTAGTGATTCATGATGATGTCCAGGTCTTTGTCATTTTTTGGGGGACCAATAAGCATCCTTAAAATGACTGGCACGACGCCTGAGGTACGTCAGCTTTTCTCCTCTCGGAGCTTGTTGGCTGGTTCAGAGCGAACGGTGAGGAAGAGCACTGCAGGTGTATTTATACAAGTGAGTAGATAGACTGAACACGGCGGGCGGGTTTCAGCATCTATGCACCAAAAATTTGGAACAAACTTCCAAAAACTTGTCAAACAGCGGAAACCCTGACTTCCTTTAAACCCTCAGAGGCTCAAATTATTTGAAAACTGTTTAAGTTGTTGCAAATCTGCAGCCCCTGCCTGGAGAGGGTTAAATCTCAACTAAAACCACATCTGTTTAGAATTGTATTTGAAATGTAGTATGGAACAATGTATTGTTTATTCTATGTTGCATGACTTTGTGTTTTTGTGTTTATGATGTAAAGCACTTTGAAATGCCTTGCTGCTGAAATGTGCTATCCAAATAAAATTTGATTTGATTTGATTTGATACACATTATTTGATTAACGTAAGTGTAGCTTTACAGACGAACCAGAAAATTTATTTCATATCATCCCGGCGGTAGATGTTTCTGTGTGTAATGATCAAAGGTGTCAAATCCTGTCGCTAATATGAACACAAACGCTATAAATGTGTGGGCAAGGTCAGAGTTCATCTATTGAATTGAATGAAGATGAATACATAAAGGAAAAGCTGGAATATTGACAATTTTTTATACAAGTGTATTTGTGAGCCTTTATTATTAAACTGAATATAATTGTAGATGTTTGTAAAACTTTTCTTAGAAAGTGAGCTATTATTGTTACAGGTTAATTTTCTAAAGTACAAAAATGTTATTGTCAGGGAATCTCAAATGTGAAAAATTGGACTGATGCTAATATGCAATAGTACTACTGCTTCTATGTCAGCTTTACCAATGTTTTATATTGTCTTTTTTTTATCCTATTACTCAATAGATAATCAAATTATTGATTATCTATCAATAATTTATAGATTCCTTGATTACTAAAATATTTGTTTACAACAGCCCTACACACAACACCTTTATGCTTCCATTGTCATGGTAAAACATAAAGGAATTACCAAAGGAATGTATGTGTCCACCTGCAACCTCTGCTCCATCAGAAATAGTCTGACATGATAGGAAAGAAAAGCAGTCAAGATATAAGGAAGAGAATTATGGAACTTCACAAGTCTGGTTTATCATTGGGAAAAATTTACTGATGCTTGAAGGTGTCATACTCATTTGATCAAACAATTATATGCAAGCATAAAGATGACGGGAATGTCCAGTCATCATACCACTTAGGTAGGAGATGGTTCTGAGTCCCAAATATGAAAGTGTTTGGTCCAAAATGTGCAGATTGATCCCAGAACAAAAGCCAAAGACCTCATCTTGATGCTGCTGAAGCTGATAAAACAGTCACTGTGTTTTCATTACAAATGTGTGCAAATCTTTGACATTATTCTGCTGTGTCAAAAATACCATTGGGAAGTTTCCTTTAAATAAGAAATGTAATTAAGTCACATGAAAATTATGTTAGCGACGGATGTAAAAACTAACATGAGATACAGTGGCTCACAAAAGTATCCATACTCTTAACTTTTCCATATTTTATCACACTACAATCAAACAAATATATGTTATTAGAATTTAATGTGAAAGACTAACACAAAGTGCTGTACAATTGTTAGGCAGAAGAAAAATGATACATGATTCACAATTATTTTTATGAATAAACTTAAAAGTCTGTGGTGTGCAAAAGTATTGAGCTCATATTTGAGTAAAGGCAATTGAGCAAAATAGTGCATGTGTCAAAGTGTGGAGTTTTGCGAGAGTTTCTCTTTCTGTGTAAACACAAAAAGCAGGTGTATATCAGTTTTAATGGCAGAGAATGTAGGTACAGAATAGCACACATAGGTTAGTCATAACATCCCACATAAAATACTATTCAACATGCAACCTGTAAAATCTCAGTGACACTTTATTTGACGAAAGTGTCACCAAAATCTCTACGTAAAAAATGTTCATAATTTTCAGAGAAATATGAAGCAAGAGAATAATTACCTTGTTCAAGTCTGAACAAAGTTCTCTCTAAATTCTCCTTTTCGTTAAGCATGAAGACTCTGATTTGCTTCAGGTGCTGAGGCAGCATCATGGGTGTTCTCCTGAACTTGGAGGGAACCCTGGTCTCCTGTCAGGTGAGAAAAACTACAAGTTATTTTAGTAATGTACTCACTGGACTCCAACACAGCATACCTCTGAATAAACCATACAGAGATGCTTGCTTTGACATCAGACATGTCCACTGAAGTGGAGAAATTTACTGGCATCGGATTTAATGAAAGGGATAGCACCACACAAGTAGACCTCTCACAATTACAAATTTTGATGAGCGATTGTTTCAAAAATTATTGCAATAAACAATAATATTTGTTCTGAAGAGTTTTTGTGGCGCTAGTGGCTCATATTTTTGACAGTAGGCAGACAGGAAGGAGGGCGAGGGTGGAAGACATGCGGCAAAGGTCGCCGGGACCGGGAGTCGAACCTGCGACGTCCGCGTCGAGGACTGAGGCCACCAAATGTGGGCCGTGCTAACCGCCTGCACCACCACAGCACGCCCGCAAAAGATTTACTTGAATAAAAACTAAACATAAAGCCGAAGTAAAAATAAGAGTGCAGATTATGAAGTCTGCATATTATACTACAGCATATGTGTCAAACTACATCAAATGGTGTATGGAGAAGGTTCCAGTAACAAAATCAATAATCACACGGAAACCTTGGATGACTAAGGAGGTGTATTCTAGACTGGGGAAGAGAAATGCCTCTTTCAAATCTGGTGATATTCACACACTTAGATCAGCAAGAGTCAATTTAAAACATACCATCAAAGAAGCAAAACATGCCTTCAGCCAAAAGATCCAAGGTTTCTTTCATGATGCCAACAACACCAAACAGCTGTGGCAGGGCATCCACAGCTGTTTGGATGCCCTGCATCCAAACTTTTATAGTCAGTCTGTGACTGACTATAAAACCACATCTCCATCCTGCCAATATGAAATTAGCTTCCTTAATGAACTCAATAGCTTCTTTAGAAGATTTGAAGCCTTAAATAAAACCCCTGCAAGGAAAGCTACCCCTCACCCTGATAAACAGGCCCTCAGGCTTGAAACATCTGCTGTGCGAAAATCCCTGGGGAAGGTCAACATACGAAAAGCTGCAGGTCCTGACAACATTCCAGCAAAGCTGATAAAAGAATGTGCAGATCAGCTGGCCAATGTGCTCACGGATATTTCCAATACATCTCTGCACCAGACAATTGTCCCCTCATGTTTTAAGTCAGTTATTATTATTCCAGTATCCAAGAAACCAACCATCACGTCTTAATGACTTTCGAGCAGTTGCATCATGAAGTGCTTCAACAGACTGGTTAAGGATCACATAATCTCAATACTCCCTCCATCATTTGACCCATTCCAGTTTGCATACAAACCTAACCGCTCGACTGAAGAAGCCATCTCCACTGCTCTTTATCTGAGTCTGGAACATCTGGAGAAAACAAACACCCACGTATGGATGCTGTTGTTGGACTTCAGCTCAGCATTTAATACGATCATTCCCTGGATCTGGTTTGCAAACTGCTCTCCCTGGGCTTCCACACTCCTCTGTGCAACTGGCTGCTAGACGTCCTCACCGACAGAACTCAATCTGTCCGTGTGGGTAATAACATGTCCAATGTCATTTCTTTGAATGCCGGGTCCCCCCAGGGATGTGTCTTGAGCCTCCTGTTTACTCTGTTAACCGCCAGGCTCAGAAATAACTGTCTCCCACTGGCCATCTGACTGCTCTACAATCCCATTGCTAAAACTGTGTAAAACTGCCTGAAAATATTAAGTTATATATATTTAGCAACACATTACTATGTGTTTATTATGTAATTAAAAGCACACTTGTGTGTTTCTGTGTGTGCTCTGGTGGCCAAACGATGATATTTCATTGCTAATTTTACTTATGTTTCTTTGAGAAATGACAATAAAGTAAGTCTAAGTCTATATTGCCTTTCAATAATCATTAGATTTAAATAGGAACATCTGACAACCTGATGCAACAGTTCACCCTACATGATTTTTTGCCCCAATTGTCTCCTTGTGATTTCATAACCAATCATCCTGGAGTGTGTGGTGTATTACAGGAGATCATTGTTGCTGCTCCAATCTAAATCAGGTGCTGAATGCAGCCTGTTGAATGTGACAGGTAGCCAATAGGAAAGCGCGGATTCCCCTCTGTACTTTCTGAGGGGAAATCCCAAAAGGGAATCCCAAACAGCAGAGAAAGTGCAACCGAAGACCAGCGGACATTGGAGATAATCAGGGTTGGCCCAAGCCTTCGTGGGGCCCTAAGGTAACCGGACAGAAAACTGCAATTGGTGCAGTCCTACACAAATACTCAATAAATTATGTTTTTTCTTTTTGTCTATAAAATAATGACTTATACATAAATTATCAAATATATTACTGTAAAAACAAATCACTTCATGATAAAATTGTGTATTTTTGTTATTATAATGACAGAAATCATGACTAAAAACAAATAAATAAATAAAAAATCAGTTCTACTGAGGGGGCCCCTTGGTGGCCCTGGGGCCCTAAGCGACTGCTTAGTTTGCTTATGCCTTTGGCCAGCTCTGGAGATGACATATGGAAACAACATTAACGTTTATTCAACATTTTGTGCAAAGAATATAGAAATGACAAGGGGAGTAGTTGAAGCGAATTTGCTACCTCAGTTGATAAACCTGGTAACCTTTCAGCTGTTCTTCGTTAACGTGACAGAAATAGGTTATAATGATATTCTTTCAGTCAGGACTGACACCAGCCACATGCCTTGCAGGTAGATTGTAGTAAAGCATTGATTAATGCCTGGTTTTAAAATGAGTTAATTGGACTTGAAGCCATTATTTTTGTGCCCATTGTTGGACTCCACAAGGCAGGATTGAACCTGATTGAACCTTTATACACAGGATTTCGGTTGGCTAATATGTGGTCTCTCAGGTTTTGAAAATGGGCCGACAATCGGAAGATTGTGTAGTACGTACTGAACTTTACACTAAGGAAATAAGGAAGGGAGGGTCAGTGGAGAGCACCGGAGTTGAGCCTGTTTTCACTCTGTGTCATCAACAGAAAGAGAAAAAGTCCGGAAGAAAAGCCGATAATTAAAATGAGGTCGATAGTTTTAATTTATTGTGCGATTAATTGATTTATCGTTTATCGCGTCGGGCGTGTCTAACTGTGTGAGAGGTAGGTTAAACCCAGGACAGGTTACAAAACTATAACAGGACAAACAATAATGCTCGGCACACACACACACACACACACACACACACACACACACACACACACACATATCTGAGCTCGTTCTCCTGTGGGGTTCTAACCAGACATGCTTATTGTTGATATGCAATGCAGGGAATAAACTGAATATATACCCACATAGACACCACACATGCACAGGAAGAAAATGCAAACTCCATGCAGAAAGACTCCAAGCTGACATCATAAACCCAGGACCTTCCTTCTGTAGTCATGGAAACTCATTAAACGAATCCATTTGGATCCATTCATTAGCTGTAAACCTGAATCCTTCAAATAAACACAAATAAACATTCTGCATCACTCTCCATAATGAATGAAATGAGTTTGACTTTCAGAAGTTAATTACTGAAATAATTTAACAGGTCAGCCTTCTGAAATTATTATTATAATATTCAACCTGAAATGCACTTGTACATTTGTTTATAAAAGTAATGTGAAAAGTTTTAATGTGACATCAATAAAACTATCTTAAATTAACAAGGTTGCCTGTTGATGTAATCAACAGGCAATAACATTTGATACAATGTATGGGACAAGATCTGCTCAGCTGCAACAACAAAGTTTGGGACATCAGAGCAGGACAAATAGAGCAGCCTATACACTGAAGCAACATGTTACAAAACAATGAGGTTTGACTGAGCAACAAACAACTCTTGAATAGAGGAAGCCTCAACAAATCAACATAAAACATCCCAGTAGCAAAATGAACTTACCAAAGAGACAGGCATTAGGCAGATTACAATGAGGAGTCTCAAACTGAAGAAGGAACCTAAAAGCACATAGTCTGCTGGTAAGATATTGGGCCACAACGTTTGAGCTTCTATGTTCAGCCAAGTAACCAAATTGGTTATCAGTACCGGTTCATTGCTAGTTTTACATTACAATGATATTGGGAATAAGCTAATTATAATAACAATGAGCAATGTGCAAGGAAAATTACTGAGGAAGTAAAAAAAATAAAATAGAAAATAAAATGAAATTAAAACCAAGATGTTTTATTTTTATTTTACTTATTTGTTATAACTCAGGTTTTGTATTATTTTTTTAATCTTTTCATCAACTTATTTGCTTGTGTTATAGTTTTTGTATACTTTGGTGCAGTATTAAGCCAGTATTTAAAAGTGCTATATAAATAAATTTGGCCTTGGCATTGATAATAATAACAATGAACAATATGCAAGTAAACAGTTCAGGAAGTTAAGTTAAGTTATATTGTCTGCTAGAGAGTAAAAAAAAACTAAACAAAAAGAAAAACTAAACTATTAAAACTAAGAGAATTTGAACCCCTCAGAGGAAAACACCCGCCATCTCCATCTCAGTATGTAGATGTGTTTATGAAGGCAACTCAGCTTAACTATTAATACAGGTAAAATTTCAGTTTAACATCTCTCTGTCCACAGCCAGTGAGATGTTATACATTATGATCCATGATCTATAACGATATCTAATTTTTCAGTGGCTTTTAAGTATAAATTTGGATTGTATCTTAAGATGTATCTGTACAAAAATGTAGTACTCCAGCTCTGTTTGAGAAATGTCACATTAAGCGCTTTTCCACTAGATCGTCTCTAACCGGTTCGGTCCCGGTCCACCTGGCCAGATTAATTTTCTATTGAGCCATCTGCCGTGGCTCAGCCTGGTTGCTCTCAGGTTTCTGTACCTTCTTCAGGGGTAATACAAGCAGGACTGAGTCAGGTATAGCACTGAAACCATTTGATTGACAGCTGACCACATTCCTTTACTGGCTTGTGATTTATGTCACTGAAAACTCCAAACAACATTACACCTTAGCTGTGGACCACAGACATGCTGTTTGCTATCAGAGAGCTGCTGAGGACAGAGGAACAATAAGTTTAATCACTGACAGGAGCATGTGTAAAGTTTTGGAATGACTGTGATTCAACAAACAGCAATAAAGGAGAGAGAAACAGAGCAGCTGTGGTCAGCTTAATGATGGAGCTGCAGCTTTGTGCCAATTTTAGTTTTCCTTTGGATTAAAAAATAATGAAGTTTATTATTGGTTTACACCTTTTGACTGCATTACCTAAATCCAAAAGGTTGCATGTTTAAAAAAAACTAAGCGCCAGAATGTAAATATATTTATACTGTATATATAGCAAAATAACTGAACTGCACATCAACCAGTTAGTAGGAAAAGTGCCAGTGGAAAAATGCCTATTGAAACCGACCTATTCTCCCAGAGAAGAGTGAGCACATCAGCAGAATGTGAAATGACCCTGGGAGCTGCTGCAGAGACCCGGTCCAGGGTCCAGACTTTTGGCTCAATATATACCCAGCATGTGAACAAACACTGTTTACTGACATTGAGATAAGTAGAGTTCAGTTAAATGGTGATTGAGACATGCAGCTTGTGCAAAGTTTTCTATGACAATATGAGGAAGTAGGTCATACGCCTCACAACCTCTGAAAAAGTCTACATAAAGCTTCAAACTGATTTGACATGTTCCAGTCAAATCCATGTCACCAGGTCAGAAGTCCTGACTGTGACGTTCATATTGTCTGCCTGCACCAGACAATATGAACTTATATTGTCTGCATGTTTAATGAGAATTATATTGTCTGCTAGAGTGGTGAACACTCTGCTCGACTGTCTGGTGCAGACAGACAATATGAACGTCAATGTATGTAACTGATTGTTAGACATCTAGCATCACTTCAGAAGACTGTTAAAACAGTATACTCACTCACCTCCAACCTAAACTACTAAGTTGAAATTAAGCAGGGCCTGGTCATGATATACCTTTTTTAAAACAATTCCCACTTATGCCCAAATTATACAGAATTAGATTTACCTAGACCAGCAGGGACCAGTGTAGTATGGGCCTGGTGGCCGCCATGCTTTCTGGATTTTATCAAGGTAGGAGCCCAATTTAAATCCACTGCATTTGCTCTGCTCACACAGCTCAGTGTGAACGGCAAATGTTTAGATTGTAGTATATTTATTACATGAGATCCCCAGATATTGCTTATCCCATGCGATCAGGGCAGCATGTTATTACAGTTTTTCATGCTATATTAACTGCTAAAGTTATACAACAATGCCAAAGTTTCACCCATTTTTGCTGGCTGAAGGAAAGCTGCTACACCTTTTCTCTAGCTTTCAAGAAGGTAAAGTCTGACTGTTCAGAAATATTTTCTGCTGTAAAAAACAACAGAAAATATTTCCTCAGCATGAGATTTATCTCATGCTGAGGAATCTAAAGAAGCAGCACTTTTATAAGACTAACTTTGTTTTAAAACTGCAGATGGTGAGCAACATGTTTGTTAACCAGACAACTGCAGATTGTAGTAAAGCAGATGTTATATAGTAGTGATGCACAATACAACAGCATCAACATCTGATTATAAACTATGTTTATAATTTTTTTAACATATTAAAATTGGTCATTAAAAAAGAAATTAACGGATACTAACAGTTGATGTTTATTTCCATCTTGTTTCCATTAGCATTTGTGTTTCAGGAAAAGGGGCTGGAGATTAGGTATTTGTTAAGTTATGCAATTAATGAGCTGATTTTTTATCCATAAAAAATCAGCTGGGTCCAGTTCTGTAATGATCAAAGCAGTTTAATGCATCCTGAGTCACTGAACCCAGCTGGAGCCTCCACTTAACCCCCCACTGGGGGCCTGCTGTGATCAGGAGAAGGTCAAGAACTCTGGTCTTATCTATTTATAAAGCTCTCATCACTGTTCAGGTCTTTAAGCACATACCATGTTCATACCGATATAAAGTGACCAGCACACCGGAGTTACAGAGCAATCCTGGAAATAATGTCAACGTTTAAAACAACTGCTTTTCAGAGTCCTACCATCTCTTCACTGCAAGCTGGGTGTATTCATAACAATATTTAACCCTCAAATTGATAAAATAACTTAGTTACAGACCTGTGCAGTCAGGTCACAGGCCTGTAAATGATTCTGCCCATCACCATTTGTGACCAGTGAAAGTTTACAATCCCAGTTTATAGGTATTTACGCAATTTAAGGAAATATTGTGAAGAAACGCTGATCTTCCAGGTGTACTTGCCCGCTATCGCCCCCTGCTTTCACTAAAAATGAAGCTCACAGCTGTTTCAACATTTACGCCCCTCTATGCTGCACTCCGGACTCCATGAAAATGCAATCAGAAATATTTTCAAACATACTTTCAAGTCTTCAATTCATTTGGTCCGATTACCGAATGAACCGAAACACGTGGGCTCAGCTGCACCTCACTTATTGAAAAGAAGTTGCGTTACCTCTTGGTGAGTTTGTGTTTTGTTGTTGTGAGGCATGCAGTGGGCGGTGCTGTTCGTTTACAATTTCACCAAAAAGGTACAGAAAAGATGAAGCTCTTCTAGCAACACAACGCTGATAAATAAGTTCATAGGGCGAAAATGGTCACAGTTGTGACATGCTGAATCGAAGGACCAACCTCAATCTGTCTTCCCTTATAAGGTGTTATAAGCTCTACGTGGAAAGCGTCATGTTACACACAGTCAAGGTTGCAAGAGGAAGCTCAACCTGGCCGGTGGCTAATGTAGCTGCTGATACCACTACTGAGCTAACGGCTATTAGCATGGGCAGCCACTGCTATCAGTGAGCTATGACAGATGAATCCTGCAACGCAGTGCAAAAGCTTGTTGTAATGTCCAGCTGTGTATACCTGTCAGATGTGTCGTTGGTTCGTCACAGCCTCGGGAGAACAGTCTGCAGAGTGACCGTCCCACCTTGGATCAACAGCTGCTGCATTGAGGGGGAGGGTCCAGAATGGTGGGTTGCACCATTACCGTAATACCTTGTGAAACATGCAGTCGGAACGTGCGCGTGAGCGTGTGTAAAATTACTTTTCCTACAGGTTTTAACTGTAGGAAAACCTGTAAATGAAATGAAAGGACCTATGAATGAGTCCTTTCATTTCCCTTTTTCACGAAAGGAATTCTAACTGGAAGACAGGGGAAAACTCCGGTTTATTAACGTGGAGTCAGGGCCGGCCCAAGGCATTAGCAAACTAAGCAGCTACTTCAGGCTCTAGGCCACTCAGGGGCCCCCTCAGTGGAGTTGAATTTTTTTCTTCTTTTTTGTAATAATTTCTATGACATTATAATATTATACTTAGACATTCTTTTAAAAAATTGTAAATGCAATATTATCACAATATTTTTGTCCAACTCATGTTTCATAACAGGAGAGTCAATTAAATCCTATTTAATCTTTTATAGTTATTAAAATTATTTGTAGTCAATGTTGACTGTCAGTGGCTGTTTTCTTTTGTCATCGACTGATTTGACAGACATTTGTTTTAGTGTATTCTGAGTCCGGTGCTTGTTGGAGTGGAGATTTGATTTGCCCCCTGAAAAACTAAAATTCTTCAAAAATTCTCTCTTTTTTGGATTTCTAGTTGGCTCTCTGATCTGATCCTTTATATTTTTACTCATCAGACCAGAATTGTACTCTTCCAGGTGTAGCAGAAAGCAAAGTATGTGTGTGTGTATGCATATATTAATTTTACCCAAAGTAATAACAATTGTATCTGTTTCTAATGAGATTTTTAATTGACGCAAATGTTTAGAGCCATCTAGTGGTGTGATTATGGACTGCATGCGACGGGTCCTTCAGGTGCACTCACAGCTTCCCCCTCCAGAACTCTGACGAGGAGGTCGGTGCGAGAGAGGCAGCTCTTCATTACTTTTTTTTTTACTTAGGGTCATATTTTTCTAGTTCAACAATCAACAAAATACTATAAGAGCATTTAACATCTACAAATATAATTTGTAAACTTTTATCGTGGTTGGGCTGAAAAAATATGACCCTATGAATGGGAGCTGCACCAGTTGGTGTTTGTGGCTGATCACTGTCACAACACTAGCTGTTTTTTATTTTTTAGCTGAGGGGCCACTTTCATGCAGTCAGTCACATTGCGAAGAATTATCATTCTTTATCATACTCGGTGACAAGCAAGCAAACGGGGAAGGATACACAACAGCTCTAAGTCTGTTTCTTCTGTGCAAAACTGATATATCTTTGCAAAGCAAAGAAATAGTGGAAACTACAAGAAGGTGAGAATTTTGGAGGTGAAGGGGTTAATTATTTTAATTTAAGAATGTTGTGAGTGATCATCTCGAAGTCTTCCCAGAAGTCAGATTTTTTTTTTCTTGCTGGCTCCATTTCAATCAAGTTTATTTGTGCAGCACATTTAAGCAACAATGCAGTTTCAAAGTGCTTTACATAATAAAAACACACAAATATAAAGTCATATGAAGTGAAAATGGCTTCCTCCTCTACATTCTACTGTTTTCTGAAACCACTCATCATTTCTTTTCAGACGAAAATCTGCTGCAGCTTGGTGGAGACTCTGCTGCTTTGTTTCCTCAGTTTTGTGCTGTTGTTTTTTTCTACGCTTTTTTACTTTGGGTTATATTCTATTGTTTGGCCATTGTTTTGTGTGACCTCTGGCCTTGCTGCTGGTAGCAACCTTGGGTTTTTAAATCACTCCATTAAAGCCTTGTTTGCTTGTGGTTTTTATTTTATTTTATTGTCATACTCTTGTGTTGCCACATTAACTAAAACTTGTTTATTTGAAAGTGAATAACCAAATGATGAAAACTTCCTCATTATGAAAACCATGAGAAAACTTAACAAACGGCAGCTCACTCCTACAAACTCTAAGAACTTTTACAAAGGTGTTTGACAAAGAAAGGGTGTGCACAGTGAAGGTCAGCTGTGGATGCATAGTAGAAAGTCTTTTTGATGTTTTTTTTTCTTAAATCAATTACCTCCAGCAGTCCACCAATCAGACGTCTCGATGGTCTTTTGGGAGCCAACCAGAAGACCTTACACTTCAGACATCTGCACACGTTTGCACAATTAACCTTACAATATCAGGATATGTTGGAATGTCTGTGGTTGCACTGTGAGTGACATTAGTGTTCTATAGGTGAGCTAAATTATATTTGAAGAAAAGCAGAAAAATGTTATGAAAAAATATTGCTTTATAAAAGGCCTGAATTGTTATATCTGTTATATCCTACTTTATATTTAGGTGGTTTTGTGCCAGAGCCATATGTTCACTATGGCTTTGGTAAAATGATGTTTGGCCAAAGGCTGTTTTGCTCTTAATCCGTCCCTTATCCACAAATCCTGATCACACTGAGGATGTTGAATGAGGAAGAGGGTTGTAAGGGTCGCTTCATTATTGTAAATGGGGACTTTCAATAAAACACGGAAAAATATGAATGTGGCAGTTTTGTAAGGAGAAATATTAGCACTCTGATTTCATCTGTGCCAGATAAATGTGTTCATCCAAACCTTGCACAACATTCTTAATTCAGTATGTAAATTATGTCATGTGCAATAGAAGCTTGCAGGCTATATGGAGCACAAATAAAAAGGGAAAAACTGGCAATATTTTAGTGAGAACCTTGGTGCAAAAATTGGAAAGGAAAAACTAATCCTTAGGTTAGATAAAATGGTCACAAATGACAGCTGTACTTGACTTGTGTGACAGCATCTGTGGCCGTGTGTATTAATGAGAGAGAGAGTAGCTGGGTGGAGACAATATTATGTGTGCCTGTATCCATCCCATAATAGTTTCCATGTGATCAAGTCAGGCTAAACATGCGTGTGCAGTGAATGTTACCAAAGCTGCTGTTTCCTGATTGGATGCTGCCTACACATATTCAGCATGAACCCTCTGGCTCTGAGATTTGTGTATGACGGGGAAAGAGAGAGGGATAGTGGGAGATATAAAAGGGAGGGAGAGAATGACGTTGGAAGATGCAATGCACAAACAAAGAGCAAATCTATTCTGAGCCAGGTGAGATCATACATTCTACAGCTGGAAGAGCAGGTAAGAGTCTTTAAGTGTTCCAATTGTTCTTTGACTTTAAAGTTGTTTTTCTCTCTTGAAGCATGCGAGCTTGATCACTGAATGTTTTCTGTGACAGGGATTTATATATTTAGTTTTATTTACACATTTAAGACAAAAATATTGGTGAGAATGATGCAGGGAAAAAGTATTCTATTTTATATCTGTCAGTCATTCACCACTAAGATGACCAAAAGCTGTTATTCTTAGTTGTGTTTTTTTTATTTCGTTTTATTATTTAATCCATTTCCAATTGTTATGTATATTGGGATATAATCTGTGTATCTTCTGTGGCTTTGCTTCTGCAAGCAGGACACAATGCTCCAGGTTCAAAGTTTGAGGAGGAGGATATTATTTGAGGGGTAATTTAAATTTTAAAGTATTACAAACACACGCAACAACAACCTTATATGTGTTCATATGTGGACTCTGGAATAGTTTAAAGGCTGAACTGAAATGGTCCATAAGCCTAAAACAGTTTAAAATAATATATAAAGGGATGATTTTAGACACAAATTGAATATTAAGTTTAAAATATTCTCTATATATGACTAATTTGCAATATCATTCATAGATCATTTATTAACTGCCATTTTGTTTGAGTAGAGGACAGATGTTAGCAGGCATAAGGGGTGGAAGTGTTTTGCTTACATTCACTACTTTTCAGACAATAAACTGTTGTGTAAAGGGCAGAGAAGTTGTCTTGGAAGATTTATTAGTTCATATTGTTTATTTAACTGATTCTGCTTTGTTATCTTTCCATCTGATTGTTTTGTTCCTACAAAGGTCTGAAATAAACCTAAAACTAAACATAAAAAATGCTTATTTTTTTAAAACTCAAAGTATCATTTCCATATAATGTTGGAAATTATATTTTGATATTTTAAATATAAATGAGACAAATCAACAGTTTCATGATGGTGCACTGTGTTTGTTGTTTGTGTTGTGTTCCTCTCTGATAGACCGACAACCTGTACATGGTTCAAATCAATTTCAATGCTGTACTGCAAATCAGGAAAACCAAAATATCAACTGCCCAATTTAATATAAGTTGAGTAAAACCAAGAAAAAGATTAGCTCACAGATTGAAATTGAAATATGAACAATCATTAAGAACATAAAAATAAAAAAGATAGCTTATGGATAAAAAAATCAGCTCATAAATTGATGTGTTCAGGGATGGAATGGAGTGTAAGACCCTCTGCCCTCAACCTCCATCGACTACTAGAGACAGCTACCAGCCACAATCCATGAAATCACACAGCATTAAACTGGCTCTGGAGATGGACCGATGGATGGTCAGACTTAAAGTTACAGATATCTATCACTTGATTCCATTTTAACCTGCATGGGTCTAATAACACGTTCATGAGATGTATCAAAAGTGTTCTTTTGATACATCAATCCATTGAATGCAATGCATTCAATGGATTTTGCCTATAGGTGAATCAATCTGTGCTTTTGTTTTCATGTTATGAAAGAAACACTGTGAGGTCACTGTGGGATAGTGCATGGCTTCCAATGGGCTCTTTGCACGTTAGCTTCCGCATATGGGGATAAGCGGCTCGGTCGCTAAGGGTCTATTGAAAAAGCATTTCACATGAGGAGTTTGCAGGGCTTTTTCAAGGTAACAAATAATAATGTACATCGATCTGAAGCCCCAACAAGTAAGCAGGAGAAAGGTTTTAAGACGTACGCCCCCTACATTCACAGATACGAAGTTGAGTTTTACTTTCTTTAAACTTTGTGGCCAACATTAGCTTTAGCTTATGCTAGTAGGAAATATTCTTGGACATTTTCACAGAAACACAGAAATGATTCCATGGAAATAACACAAGCTCCTTTATTTACCATCTGTGTCCCTGCGGTAGGTTTAGGCTGAAGAAGCTGATCCGGAGTGAATGTGGGCTGCAAACTTTGCTGTGCTTTTTTAAAATATTATTGATACGAATATTTAAAAGCCACAGTCTTCTTAATTCAGGGTCATTTGGAAATCCATAAAAACTTAAAAGCCTATCATATGTTGAAGACAATGGTATTGCGTTATTTGCTTCTGAAATCCGACTTTGTCTTTTCTCACCGTCATGGTAACTCAAAGCAGAAGCAAGAAAGCTGCATTTCGCTCATGCGGGTATATGTCAGTGCCTTACGTGCAAAGAGCCAATTCTTTCACACATGCACATATACAAAGCGCACACACCGACTTCTGCAGCTTGTGTTGGACCACCACTACCAGTTGACAAATTGGTAGTGGTAGTGGTTCATTCATGCATGAACCACTACCATGCACTAATGAATGGTAGTGGTAGTGGCTCATGTACCAATGAACCACTCCAAGACCTAGATGACTTGCTGTCATTGATGGTAGCAGGATTTTATTCTCAGGCAAAGCTCAGATGATCTAGAGTCATTCAACGGAACATTTCCTCCACTGATTTGGCTTAAAAAGCAAACCAAACCAATCTGCTCAAACTAACAACAAAACTAAACAAAAAAACACCGGTGTAGCTCAATAAACTCAATTCTACAGAGAATGTTAGTGATGTTGAAAACTTATCGCCAGTCATGACACTTATCACTGCCTCAGTTGACATTAGCAGTTATGTTGGGAGGACAATTACTTCTGTTTTGTTAGGCAATAATAAATAAGATTCCCATTTAAAAAATGCACGTTGTATTGCTCAGATTATTTGTCTGATATTAAAATGTATTTGATTATCAAAAATACTTAGTTTTGACAAATAATTAAATACAAAATCTGTATGATGTTTTTCTTTTACCTATTACTCAACATTATGCATATATATTCCTTTTCTTGTATTTTTCTTTTTCTCTTCATCAACTTATTTCATCATCATCTTTGTACAGCACTTTGATGCAGTTTTAAACCTGTTTTTAAAGTGCTATATAAATAAATTTGACATTGGCATTAACACTATGTATAAAGAAACAAAGTCAATTGACTCCTTATTTTTCCTTTGTCAGTATTGACAACCCATGAGAGAGTGTTGAACAAGATGATTTGGGTTGGAAATACACTGGGTTGAGTGGAAAATAATTCTGAGTGTCTTCACCAACTTTGCTGTCTGACATGTTATCAGAAACAATAATCCTTTTCTAATTCAGGATCTGCTTCATTCTGGCACCTCTACTGTTAGTTTCTTTTAGACTTATTTTCTAAGATTATCCTTCAACCTTTTCAAGCTTCCTAAGTTCTCTTTTTTTATTGTTTTAATTATATTGTAGTGTACACACTTCGAGATTAGGGCAACAGATTTCTATTACAAAGTGTCCACAAAACATGGATCCGGTTTAATAACTTTTTTTGGTGGGAAAAGAATTACAATATATTTTGTCAGGATCTTGGATTTGTTCAGTTGGTTTTGAGTTTTCTTAATTTGTTTCTTTTCTTTGTCTAGATCAGCCATGTTTCTGTTTTACGTGGGTTCAATCCTTTCTTAGTAATTTTCGATTATGTTTATTATGATTATGTTTTTTTGTGTCTCGTGCTTTCTTAGTTTTATTATGTCTCTTACGTTCCGTCATTAGTCATTTATTAGGTTAATTTTCTAGTCCCCAGTGTGTCTTCCTTTAACCCCCTGTGTCACCTCTTCTTTCGCTCTCTCTCTCCTCAGTCTGCCTTCTGCTCTCTCCCCTCTGATGTGCAACAGCCCAGGTCTTTTGTTACAACATTCCTCCTCACAGAATTTAAACCCTTCTCCTGCTCACACTTCCTGCTGCTTCCTCCTGTTAAACCCTTTTATCTCTGTTGACTCCCTGCTGTTTTTGCTCCTGCGTTCCTGTTTTTGTTCCTCTCTGGCTCCCTTGTTCACTGTGGTTTTTGTACGATTTTTGGTGGGGTTTTTTTTGTTAATATTTTCCAAATTTACAAGCTCCTCTCCATTCCTTCAACATAACATAAATTATTTCATTTACTCACAAATACTGCAGTTAATCTTATACAATGCCGAAAAACGTATTCACCCCCGAGATAGTTTGACCCTTTTTATTGCTTTTACAAATCAGTCATGATCAACTTTGAAGTTTACTTGTGTAAAGCTGTAGAAGTTTGCTCAGATATGTGTGTAAAATAAAATGAGCAGTGCCAAAACAACGTTAATAGAGTCAATTTCAACACTGAGCCAGGGACAAAAATATGTTTTATATAGTTATATAGAGCTATTCTCGCTTCTATAAATTTGCTAAAGCTAATTATGTTATATCTCAGCAAGCATTATGTGCAACACAAGTGCTTTTTAGTTCAGTTGATATTTTTCACCCAGACTATGCAGATGGCTATATTCTGGTGTCTTTGCAGAACTTGTTTGAGGGTAGTGTACCTCAGCTGTTTTTTTTTTTAATTTTGTCTCACACATATATGCATCAGGGTTGTCAATGTTAACGGCTACCAGTAATTTACCACGATGTTGATTTTTACAATAAAATGTCATCATGTTTCACACAGTCCTGCTGTGTTTTTCACTTATGTAGACTAATATATGTGTTGTTTTTTTATAGCAAGTGGTATTTTACCGTATTTTCATTAAATACAGTATTTCTGTATTTTATTAAATATGGTAAAATACCGGGAGTTGTGGTTGCCAGGACTTTACCATATTTATACAGTGAAATTCGCACATCCACAACTGCCGGTAGAGACAATTAGAGACAGGTTTGTTTTGGTTTTTTTACAGTGTAGAGATGAGATCACAGAAATGTAACATGGAAACAGAAAGTGAGACGAGTAAAGTAAAAATACAAAAAAAAAATCGAAAAAGTTATCTGTAAACAAATTATTTTTAGGAAAACATATTTATTTACACAAAAAATGTATAGAAGGGTAAGTAAGTGTGATTGGTGGACTTCTGCGTATTATGTGGTGATCAGACAAACCACAAGACACCAAGTCTGGATTTGGAGGCCGACTCCGTTTATTTAATCTGTCGATCGGAAGATATCAGCAGTAGCACATAGCATGTGCTCCAGTTCTCCAACCCGATTCATACAAAATAATAGTGTTAGCATACATCAAATGTGATAAAGACATGATAGCAACCCAAATGAAAATATCCAAACACCTATTATACAGAAGAAAAAATAAACATTTGAACAATATAAATGAAAGGATTACAATGGATTATAAAACTTGCCTCTCCCCAGTGGAATGAATAACAAAAGGGAAGAGGAAATTAATAACTTAATACTTATAATAGTCCTGAAGGACCCTGAACAAAAGAAGAAGAAAGTAAGGCAGAGCTAGAGGACCAAACCCCTTATAGTAGACATAGAAGAACACAAGAACAGTGGACAAATACTATTTAATACTGTTAATACTATTAACAACTGTTAATAGTATTAACAATTGTAAATATACAACTATTAACATAGATCCAATTACATAAGGGAGCAATTAAAGTATTGGAAAAAGTGAAGCTGACAAAAGGAAGGTGCAAGAACACAACAAACATTTGTAGCAAATATAATTGATAAACGTTGATCTCATAAGTTCTTTATGCCAACAAATGTAATTTTAATTTTGTTTTTGTTGGTCTGTTGCTTTGATAATACCATTTTTCTAAGCCAAGGTTATATTTCTGTTTCTCTTGACTTTGGTGGTTCCTACAGTCTATGTAACATAAATCGTAGATGATGGAGACTGAAATATTTTTATTTCTACATCCTACTTGTCAAAAAGGTTCATTGGAGGCTGGCAAAGCGGGAGGTAGTGCGTCGGTGAGAGAAAACAAGGACAGAGAGATACAATAGCCTGTCAATAGAGATTTATCTTTTCTGCTCTAATTCACTTGCAGTGGAATAGCAGACGTCGATACATCCTCTCTCTCCACCCATCTATGTCTCACACAAACTCGCGCCGTGGCCGTGAGTTTCATATGCGTTCCACCTCCTCGCGCCAGCGAGTGGCCGCTTGGCTTCTCGCGCTGCCGCTGGGAAGAGGGAGAGACGAATGCGCGCGCCGCGGCCGTCTGGAAATGATTTCGTTTTGGCTGCTTTGCTGGAAGCTGCTGGTAGGTAGATGCAGAAACACACATGAAGTTGGTGAGGACAAACCGTGGCAATGACTTCTGAGCCTTTTCTGTGTGGGACAGAATTAGAGACGCCTGGTGGCATTTTGAGAACGATGCGCGAGGAAGGTTCTTACCTTACGGCATGATCAAAAGCATAGTTCTCTGGGCTTGTGTACTCATGTGTCATGAGCTGGTTCCGAATTTCCGAAACGCTCTTATGTAATAGCCTTGGTGGACCCCTGGTGGCCGCAGTACGTCACGTTTCATCGGCATCATGAGCCGCTATGTGCCGAGCTCATCCAGCCTCCAAAGCTCCGCTGGAAGATAAACTAGCAAAACTGTCCCTGACTTGTCCTTCAGGGACAGATACAATCAAGAGAAAAGAAAAAAGCCTATGTATCTTCGCATGTTCATTGGTAATTTAATGTTGATCGAAAAGATGTGCTAATAGAAAATGAGCTTGTTAGCGAGATTGAAAAATTCACTTAAACAGCCAAACATTTATGCAACCTACCGTCTTTGTATTTGTGTGAAACTGAAACCTTTTCATGTTCACTCACAAATACATTTGCTGCATTTCAAATTGTTTTTTTCTTTTCTGTAAGATTTTTAAATATTGTAACAGTGATAAGAATACCTCCTTCATGGAAAACAAGGAGCACCTCTGAAACCTAACTATGTGTAAACAAAATATTAAATATATTATTTGGAGTCATTAGAATAGAATAGAATAGAATAGAATAGAATAGAATAGCATTTATTGTCATTGAACAGGATTCAAATAAGTAACCAGGTGTTGGTTAAATATCCAAAATAAATCTGAAAAACAAAACAGTTCATTTCAGCAGCCAAGAAGATCTCTATCAAGTTATGAAGGAGAGGAATAGGACAGAATATGTAGCTATTTGTCAATTTTACTTTGCCCCAAATTCCAACTTTAAATGAAGACAATTTCTTCATCTAATCAAATCAGCAGAGCAAACGTCTTTCAAATGGCTGCGAGAGATTACATTCTAAGAAAATAGTTTCAAATCCATGTAAGATTATAACGTTAAAGGCTGTATTCCTTTGCCAGTTCAGTTTAAATATTGCATAACAAAGCCTCAGGCTTAAGGAAAATTTGCTTAATCTTAAATTCTGTGTTCCACCTCTGATGTATTTTCTGGCAATGTTTGGGGCACGTTCACGCACCCGTGTTTCTAATTTAAGATGAAAAACACCTTCATGCAGGGTAAGAACGTCATTCAGGATGACAGCTCATTTACTTTAGAAGTGAATGTAGAATTCAGTTCAGAGTAATAATCTTACATGTGAGTAGTTTGATTTTTCTCCTCACAGTTGTGACCTCACTAAGAGGAAAATGACTTAGCAGCTTGTCCTCTTCTGCATTTATACTTAGTGTTACCATAGCAACTTGTTCCATCTGTCATCAGCACATGGCTGGAAACACAGACCATAATAATCTGGATACCCACTCACTGCGCTGCCATGGCAACAATTGAAAGGCTTTAGTTTATAGGTCACGAAGGCTGTTTTAATCTGCTCTCTGTTTTGACATGTTTATGTGCTGTTACATGCAAGTGAATGTTTCTGTGTGAATATGGCCCATTATGCAGCATCATTAAGAAAGCAGAGTGCATCCAGATAGTTTCTTTAAAAAAATATACTGTTACAGCTCAAGGCCTTTCCTGACCTCTCTGTTTCAGAGTTCCTAATTGATGCTGTTTGGAAATTTCAGCAGCTGGCCAGTATCTCCAGAAGAACCTTAAAGATCCACCATTTCCTCTCATTCTGCTAAAACCTTTCTTGTTAAAATAATTTTATTTGTTGAGCTCTATTTGGTCTTGAAGAAATAGAATTATAAATCATGGAACTGTTTTTTTTTTTTTTTATCAACTAAGGCAGTGTTTATCAATCTTTTTTGGGCCAACACCCCCTATCCATTACCCCTTCAAAGAAGATGTAAACTTGCACTGAATGCTATTTTATGATTAAAATGCTATCATCTTTCCATCTTGATTTTTATTGCTGTTTATGTATTTATCGTCAAAAATCCTTAAAAGAAAACATATTACTAAATTATTCATTTCCCAAAGAATAAAAAAGCCTTGTGAACAGAAATTACAAGCGTCTAAAAAAAAATCCAATGGACATTCAACTGGAGATCAGTAGGCCTATCAGTAGCCATTCAGAGTGGATTATTTTTCTGTGCCTTTTTTATGTAAGTTGCTAAATCTTGCACAAAATGGTTAGAGAAAAGATTTGCAACAACTCTTAAGTGTTTCTGTCAGGTTCTGGTGCAGCTTTGTGCTGCCTTCAGGAGAATGGGATATCAGAGTATCATCCAAATAATTTCACCCCTGTGGCATTTACTGTGCAAACCAGTGATTTAAAAAAAATTTTTTTTTAATGTTTATTTCCGCAGAGAGCCACAGCTGGGTTTAAAAGGACGATACCTGAACTGACGGACAGAAACCACGACAACAACCCCTCCTCCAACAATCTTGCCGGTGACTTTTCTGCGCTTGCATACCCACAGAATCTGGTTGCCATGGAGATTAGTTCCTCATGTACAGCAACAGACCTCGAGACAGATAACTTTTTTAATAACTGTGGCAATCAGGAGTCACAGGAACTCCCAGATCCAAAGGTTCCAAAGGTGGAAGCAGTGTCAGAAAATACAAATGAGAAAAGAGATGAATGTGACTACCTTTACTTCAAAACTGAAGAGGAGACAGGAAGGGAAGTACAGAATGACAGTGAACAAGAGGAGGAAGAAGATGATGTTAGAGTAGAAACTGAAGGAGAAGATGAAAGAAGAGGGGAAGTAGAAAGACAAGATGATGGAAGAGTAGACCAAGAAGGAGATATTCAACAAGGAAGAAACATAGTTGATCACAGAGGGAGAGTAGAGGGAGGAGATACAACAAAAGAAGAATCAAAAAATTGTAATCTGGGGATAAGAGAAATAGAAGGGGCAGATGAAGGTAGAGAAGACACGGATAAAGTAAATATATGGATAACTGGAATTCTGGGAGAAATTCAGCAAGATGCTTCATCAGATCAGACTTTCGTTAATGAAAATCCTCAAAGTTTATTGCCTGACCCCTCAGTTATTGCCTCAGATCCATCAAAATCCACAGTACAGGACACCTGGAAACATGACTTAGACAACAGAGATGATCTCAATGAAAGCCACCTCTGTGACTGCGTCAAAGCAGAGCTGGCTGTTGTGTACTCAGACAGTGATGTTGGGGAGGACCAATGGCTAGCCTTGGCTCGCTGTGATGAGACTGACCATTCAAAAGAAAACAAAGATTATGCTGATGACAAATGCTTTGCACAGAGCATGAAGGATGATGAAGTGGAAGAAATACAAACTGAAGTGTCGAAGTTGGAAGGAGGAGTGGCAGATAAGCAAAATGAGAAGAAGAGTAAAGTCATGGAGAACAGTGAAGAACAGATGAAGTCAAGAAGAGATCTTTTCCTGCACTCTCCTTTGGTGAGCTCCACAGCCAACTCAACCGACCCTGATAGGAGGGTATGTTTCACTTTATCCATATATTTCTGCTTGCCTTGTCCCTGCTGTTCAGTATCCTAAAGAGCAGGAAGCTAAAGCTAAGACCAGATATTGGCAAAGATGAAAGCAAAAGAAACACAAACTAAAATTTCTGCTGTACATTTTTGCTGGTTGATTGACACCAAATTTGTTTGATTTTGTGCATGTGAATGGGGGGTTTGTTGGCCTCTGATGACATCTGGAAACTTTTTCACTAGTATCTTTTAAATGATAGTGGCACAAATAAAAAAAAATTGCCGCACAAGCAGCACAGAAATTGTACATCAAATTTGTTAAATTTGAAGAATGTGGGAGAAAGGAGGCAGCTTCACTCAAGTTGCACTGATCCATGCTGCACTGCTCAGTGGAAATGAGCCGTTAGCTCCATGCTAAGTGCTTCCAGACAAGCCTGATTGAATGCCGTGGTCTTGTTTAGTTTAGTAGTGTATTTACATTATCAAATTCTATTAAATTCAGTGTATTTAAATAGCACTAATTTACAACATCCCAAAGACACTTTGCAAAAAAAGATCAAACAGTAATTAACTCATTTAATTTTCCAAGTTAGTTCAAAAGGTTTTTGACTAAGAAACCCCAGGAGATTGCATTAACGTCTGGCATTCACAACTGTAAATGTCAAAACAAAAGTAGAAAAAGAGTGAAATAATTGCTTCAGTGTCTGGTGTTTGCCCTCATTGTTATTTAGACTTTACTGATGTTACCGCTAAATAAACAATTCATATAACAATAACAAAAATTCTACTACCCATCACTATAGAACAGCTCTTTAACTATCTGAAATGTTTGTTGATAACAAACTAAGAGTGCTGTGCAGTCTTCTAGGAAAAATCTCTGTTTTAAATCAAACAGCAGTGTAGGAACTTTAAAGCTCATCACAGATTGTCAATGGGACTAAAACATGCAAAAAGTTTATTCTCTATTTTGCAGGCTGAAAAAAACTGACTGACCTTTAAATCTTAAAGCATTAATGAAAAGTATATTTATTGTGCTTTAGTTGAGCAATTTTTGCTGTAAATAATCACTCTTAATCTGATGAAACACATATCAACATATTATTTAAGGTTACGACTGTCTGACTTGTGTGATTTTGTGTTGCCCGGTGATGGATTGGCAACCTGTCCAAGGTGTACACTGCCTCTCATTCTATGACTGCTGGTGATAGATACCAGTGATTTAAACCTTCACCATCTTCTTTAACTTGAGTAAGAACATATTTTTTAGTTACTTTGCAAACCCTTGATGACTTATCTGTAATATCAACATCGTTTTAAAATATTCCTATACCCACATCCAGGTATAGTTAATGTTTTCATCTTGGTACTGTCTTGAAATCTTCATTTACATGTTTTTCTTTTTTTATTTATTAGATTCCTTTAGATTTCAATGTGCAACAGGAGATCCTCAGTGAGAATGTCTCCACTGAGCATGTGGACTTTTTGGTTGCTCGCCAGCAGTGGAAGAAGATGGAGGAAGAGGTCAAAGGTCTGCCCATCCCCAAACCTGGACTGGGAGCTACGGGGAGCTTCCAAGGCACCCATTCTTCTTTGTACCCCCCAACTCGAAGCCCCCGTCTCAAACACAGGTAGGAAAATGCCTAGCCATTGTTTCAAGGTATTGTTTGGAGAGAAGCAAATGCCATATTAGCACAAACTTCAACCAACCTTAAAGCAGCAGTGCATAGCGTTTATAAAAAATATATATTTTTAACATAATAGTTTTTTTTACATACTGTCACTGTGTCATGAGACTGTAATATGAGACAGATAATGTGTGAAAAAAATCAAGCTCTTCTACCTATAGTTTTGCTGTCATGTGAACAACTAACAGAAACAACCAGTCAGAGTCTGGACGATGTCTTAGCGCTTTTAATAAACCTTGTGTACACGCTACTCACAGCCTCCCCGTTTCTCTCTTGTACGTTATAAGACTACAGGGCATTTTGTAAAATAAAAAATATCAACTTTATGGTAAATTACTGGTAGCTGTTGTTGCCAGAATTTTACCATAAAAATTACAATACAACACACAAGGAAATGTAGCTGGTCAGCATTTCAATATGGAAAGAAAATAAGTCCAAATTAAAGCTGCAAGTGACATCGAGCAGCCCTTGAAGCTCAGCGCTGCTCCAGTCTCACAACAACAGCAGTGGGTTCCAACATCACCACCCGGTCGCCACCATAGATGCTCTCACACAGTTCCTGCACCCGTCCGCCAGGCGATACACATTGATGCGTTTGGCAGTGGTCCTGGATGACGCACAAAATATCTGGTGCACATTGGCTGATTTAGAGAGGAGATATAGCTGATGGATTAACCCAGGGGGCACAGTGTAGTCAAATTATAATTTAATGCTACTACACTCTTTAGAGGTGAACAAAGGCCTTACATATCCAATTTGGTGCAAATCAGATGATGCATGTCTGAGTCAGAGACGACTGTATGCTTATGGCGAAGGATTGAAATTCACCATTAAGCCACGCCCACACTGTTAGCCAGCAGCCAGCTTTGACAGAGCTCAACGTGTCATTTTATGTCAGTTGGCACAGGATTAAATCCATATGAATAATAGAGTAAAAGTAAGACAGAGTAGAAAAAACAGGTGGCTTCCTGTCGGAAGTGGGTGATGCTAAGGTGATGCCATGAATTGAACATAATAATGTGATCAGGACGGGTCTGTAGTGAGACAGAGTTAGTCTGATGCAGCTGTGACCGTGCATGTGGATGTTATTGAATCTTGATGTTTCATGGCAAATAGTGAAAATTTGACACCAAGCCACGCCCACAGGCTTTGATGTATGAGAAATCTTTTGATAACTTTAGAACTTCAATGCCTCAACCCTAGTGGCAGTTGCCACCCCAACTGAGAGCTTTGCCACCCCAGCTGCCATCTATGAATTCTGTAAATAGTTATGGCAAATCAGATTAATTTTTTTTTCCAACAACACTGAATGCAACACAATGTAACCTAACCTGACACCTACTCCTGAGTAGTGGGAAGTGTGAGTGTTGCCTGAGAAGGACAGAGTGCGAGGCAGCATCAGTGATATATATGGGTGGATATATGTCACTGGAGTAGACATGATGTAAATTATTGTGCGCCACATGCAGCATTGCTGTCCATTGAGTCAGATACATCGGTGGTCAGGAAAATACTACAATCAGACAAAGAATCTGAAAGAAGGACGCAAAGTTTAACAGTTAATTCAATGCTATGACAGCCATAGATAACAAGGTTCAAGGGTTTCCCGTGAGGAAAAAGGTTTAGAAATATTAGTAATAGTAATACCAGAAAATATTGAGAAAGTGAGCAGTGAATTAGTTATGTTAGCCGAACTGTTGCTGGCCCACTATTGACTTTGATAACCTTAACATGTGTAGCGCAATTCGATGTGTTTTGGTTCCATTAGCACTAAAACAGGACAACCTGCACATCAAGTCGTCAATAAAGCAGGTGTTTAAATCAGCTAATCAACCACCGCTGTGATCAGGTGAAAATGTATTAATAATCACAATAAATAGAGTCTGAAAATAAAAACACGTTTTGGTGTTTCTGGTATTATTTATGTGGGAAATGTTTGTTTCGTGATTCCCCCTCATAGGCTTGAATGTATCTTTGCTTTATCTGCTCATTGAGTCGTTGTCTGTCAGTTGTTTATATTCCCATTATAAACCAGGTGTGGATCAATTCATTTGTCATTGTGTTGTTAAAAATAAAACCTGCTTTCCTTATTTCACAACTGGATGAGTTACCATCTCGCTGGCATCAAGATATGAAATATTTGTTGTCTTTCATGTGGCTAACCTCTTCCTAACCTGAGTGGGGTTTCCTCCTGTCCTGTACAAGGGAGATTCAACCCCCCATGTCCCAAGAACCTCCTCTGTCCTTCACCCTGTCCCCCGGTTCTGAGGACTCAGGCTTGGATGACTCTTCGTTTCGCAGCGCTCCAGAGGAACCGGAAAATTCTGTGGAGAGGGAGATCCGACTGACATTAGAAAGAGAAGAACAGCACCGAAGGGAGAGGGGAATGATTGCTCAGGGCCTGACGGTACCCAGGTAAGGTAAATAGGTTAACCTTGTATGAGCTCACCAAGCCTGTGCATTGACTGTTCAGATGTCTAATTTTTGTTCTTTTTTCTGTGTTCAGTCTATACACCCTAGGGACAGAAGGATCTGTGCCCAGACCTCCAGTCTTCCGTACCCCTACTCTGTCCATCTCTCCATCCCCCTCCTGCTCCTCCTCTCTCCCCCGATCAATATATCATGAAATGACAGCCAAAAACGTCATCATTCTTGAACCCGACTCCTCTGGCTCCAGCTCCAGGAACTACCTGCTCTCCTCTGCCATCAGTGGCCTCTCTGATTGGTCTCCCAGGCTTGATTTGGCACCCTCAGAAAACGTCATTGTGGTGGAGACCTCCAATTTGATCATTCGCAGTGCGTCTGAGTTTTGCCTGAGCTCTGGGCCTCCGCCTGTAGAGACACAGGAGAGTACTTTCTCTTCTAATCCATTCTTCAAGTTGCGTTCCATCAGCAGTCAGTCTCTAGTGGAGCAAGAGATCAGGTTGGTGAGGCAGAGAGAAGAGGAATGGAGGAGACAAAGGGAGGAACTGTGGCGAAGAAAACAAGAGAAAGAGTGGAGGACTGGGAGAGAACGGTATGACACTGTCCTGGTGTCACCAAGCCTAAACGAAAACATCACCTTCAGTGGTATGTAGTGTCTATGTAAAATATATACATGAAGCAACATGTTCTGTATATAATGTCGACTCCACATATTATTTTCAGATGTATTTGTTGGTGTCCTTCATTCTTATTTTTATTCTAATCTAATTCCTGATTCTAGTGCCAGTGGTTCCAGATAGATCTGTTTCCTCCCCATCATCGCCTTCCAGACCTCGGAAAATGGAACGCTCTAGTTTGTCTTGTGACCACAAGGTTTGCAGACACGCACACACATGCAAACATAAACGTTAGAGCTTGTATTTATGCTGACCCAACATGGAAGTAAAAAGTAAAACAAAAAATATTTAATGTACATTTGTTTACAAGTCTGATGATGCAAGATATACAATTTGATCACCACTCTGCAGGGCCATGTAGGGACCTTCGGAGAGGCAGGGACTCAAAGTTAAAAAGAGGCACATTGAACAAGATCTTAAAACATCATACAACAACATAGCAACAACCTATATTAATCAAAAATCTAATTTTTAATTGGATCATACTGCATCGTTGTCATCATGTGGGGGCAAATGAAGTCTATGTTTCATTCGATAGGTATATGTTGCTGTTGAGGGGTTTATGCTTCTGACAGTGCTTGACAACAGCAGTCTGCTGTCTGCTCTGGTCTGTTTCTAAACAGACCATAGGAGCGTGGTCTGTTTATACTGGTTATGAAGTATGTGATGAAATTAGCAAATTTCCTGATATTTTACTCAATAAATTTTAATAATATCTGACTGTTTACCCTCCAAAGCAACCTGGATGCAGACTGCTTTAAAGACCAAAAACATTCATAGGGTTTAACTCCACATAATTTTTTGATGTTACCACCTCTGGGAGATCTAGAATTGTAAGACTGAGTGATATCAAGGCAAAGAAAACTCAGGAGCTGCAGGTAGGTCTCTCCAGACATTCAAGAGGAGATTCTGAATGTCCATAACACAGACCATAGAGCTATTATTGAGAATGACTGACAATGCTGTTAAATTTTATTTAATCCATTCAGCAAAGATAAAACAAATAAAAGTGCCACTATTACGATGATAATTACAAAAATAAAAATTTTCTAACGTCAACATTAGATCTAGGTTTTTAATAACAAACCAGTGGATGTTGGAAAAACCATATTTTCTTGCCTATAATCTGATAGTTAGAGGATGCGGTTCTGCCCCTTCATCCTTACCATGGACCTGGTGTCTTAAGCAGGGCTACTTTGGGGAACTGATATGATTTGTATTCTTCAGGGGCTCGTTCAGAAAACATTGTGTAGGATCTATTGAAAAGTGGACATTTGTCCCACAACTGAGGTTTGATTGTCTCAGACTTTGACACATTTTATGTGTTAATCTGGAGCCCACATCACCTTGGTTGTCTTCCAGAGAGAGGAAAGTGATGGTGAGAAAACTTTGCTGAGATGTTGTGCGGATTTTGGTTTAAGATTTAATTAGGTTTGATGGCCATTTTTTATTTGAATGGTCCTTATGTACAGCAATGGCTCACCAGTGGTAGCATAATTACACTGCTGTACTGCTTAGAATAAGGTTAATCTGTAATAAACGTTTGACTGTGGAATGAACTTAAATGTCTGAAAGGAATCATGATGCAGTGTGGCTTCATGTCCCCACCTTAGTCTCTGTGTCACTGTGAAGTTTTTTTATAGATCACAAGCTTTGTGTGGAAAATGACCTACGCCAGCGTCAGACCCAAAGTCTGTGTAGAAATGTTTATTAATGAGACCCCTGATGATTGAGTATGATCAATATTAAAATAAAATGTGACTGTGATGTCACAGCAAATTCAGCATATCCAGTTCTGTTGCAGAAGAACACCGTGGACTTACGAGTGATATCAAGGCAACTACAAAAATTTGAGAAAAGTCAGAAATAGCAAACATACTTGGATGTGGCATGACTTTGTGTTGTGTTTTTTAATAATAATATATTTTATTTATATAACCTTTCTCAAATAATCAAACTCACTTTACAGAAATCAAGTGGAATAACAAACCCAGCACTTAATCACAGCAAACAAAATCAATTTAAAAAAGTAACGCTTAAATACACAGCATTGTTTTACCCTTACCTAGGAAGGTAAGAACAGGACACTATTCATACATCAGAAGCTGTTGATTGTGTTTTGAGAAAAGATTTGAATATGGATAGATGTGTTCAGTCACAATGTTTTTAGGCAGAGAGTTCCCAAAGGTGGGCACAGCAAGAGAGAAGGAAAACTGTCACCCTTGGTCTGGTGCCTGGTCATATGTGATGGAGACAGACAGTTGAACATACATCAGTTCATCTGTTTCTTTTGTATTCTGCTCTGCCTTATCAAATCCCCAGTTTGTGGTGGCAGAAGGCTGCTTGTAGTGAGACAGTGTCTACTTGAATGTTTTTCCTGTTTAAAGAGACTTTTTCCTCTTCACTGCCACATTCATGCTTGGTATGAGGGATTGCTGTGAAGTCAATGACGATGTAAATGACTATCGCTTTATACTCGTCCAGGAGGAGTGAATGTTGCATGTCAATGACTTGATTCAATGTCCTGGGTTTTCTTAGATTCTAAGTTTCTTCTAACACTTAGAAAGAAACTTTTTTTAATCTATTTTGTTCAAGCATCCATCCTTTAATTGAGCATATGGTACTGTTTGATAAATAGGATTAATTGGAATGTATTTGAGGTTGAATTGAAATTATGTTTTTGTAAAATGTCTTGAGATGACATTTGCTGTGAATTGTCATCTCACAATGACAATTCAATTCAGTTTAAATTGAATTGAACTGGTTGGCATCAGAGGAAAGGAGGCTGCAGGAAGAAGTATGATGGTGGAGCCTGTTGGTGATGCTTATGAGTAAGATGGCTGGATATGCTGAGGGACAGGGAGCTTCTGGATGAAATGGTCATGGAAGTGTGTGTGGGTGAGCAGCAGAGTTATTATGTGCTGGAGTTTATTGAAGACTTGATGGTGAACCACTTGATTGTTACAGTAATCAAGTCTGGAGATGATGCTGGCATGGATGAGAATTTTAGCAGCTGAGAAGGGAAGTGATAAGCAGAGACAAGCAAAACAATTTTAATGAAAAAAGGTGGTTCTTGGGATGTGGTTGACATTGTGTTCAAGAAAGAGGTTGATGTTGAAAGTGACTCCAAGGTTGTAGATTTGAATTGAGGGAGACAAAGTGGTGCTGTCAGTGGTGAGACTGTCAGGAGTATTGGGGGTTTTGGTAAGGGATTGGAAACCAATGATGTTGATGTCTGACTTGTCACAGTTGAATTTGAAGAACTTTGAGTGCAACCATAATTTTATCCCAGTAAGACAGCTGGTCTGGATGGAATGAGATGCAGTGTGAGGGTTTTACACAGACCGGCCAAGAGAAGCACTGAATGGATTCCAAAAAATATTCTTCATTTATTACAAAAAGTCCAAAAATTATTCAAAAAGGTTGAATTGGGCCCAAAACTGAGGACAACATAACAAAATACAACTCAGGTAGCAACAAAAAGAATTCAAGCACAAAACTGACCAGACAAACAAGACATGAGGGGAACTTAAGTCGTGGCTGATGAGACCACTGCTGACACACAAAGGGGTAATGTAACATAAATGAACTTAAACAAATACTGGTCAAAACAACACTAAATCTTTAAACAAATACTATTAGAACTGAACTAACTGCCAAAAAGAAGAAACATTAAAGAATTAATAAAATTAAACTAAAGAAAATAAAAATTTTTTCTTCCCCTGGCAAACAAATGAATGTCCTGCTGAGTAGGTTTGCGAGCCATCAATCAATCAATAGGACAGCAATCAGCTGGAGCTCTTCTATGTGCCACTCCAGCAGCAGCTCCAAAGGACACTGGTAACTCAAAACAAGAAGAAATGAAGTTACCGTTCACATATCGATGTGACGGTAGGGACAGCTGTCACATGCAGTTTGATGGTTTTGATGGAGATGTAGATCTGGACATTGTCAGCATAACAGTGGATGTGGGGGAAATGGCAACGGATGATGGAACTTAGGGCTATCTTTTACAGGATCAAGAGTAGAGGGCCAAGCACCAAACCCTGGGGAACACCTTGTGATAGAAGAGTAGCGGAAGAGATGCAAATATTGATGCCGATGAATTGTTGCCTGTTTATGAGATATGACTGTAACCAGGAGAGGCTTGCATTTCCTATCTCCTCAGCATCTCAGTGTTTTGCTGAGTCCTTCTAATGCTCCATCATTTGCTCTAGGCGGGTTTAAATATTTAAAACATGCTGGACACTCACTCTTGAGAACTGGAGTTGAAGACCCCTGTACTAGGGTGACATTCATCCATTCCCACTCACAAACACATTGGAGAGACAGACAACCACATAATCCAACATCAAAAATAATCATGATCTATTTTTAACAGTCTTCTTCAAACTAACAAGAGTTAATATTATTTATTGTATAACTTGACTCATTATTTGTTATAAGATTTTTCTGTTTTCTGTTATTTGTTCCAGACTTTTTTTCTCTCATTCATATATTCATTTGTTGCACTGTATTGTGAACTTTCTGATTTATTAATCAGTTGGACTGATTATATTTATCAGTTTGTTTATGGTTTTTCTTATTTTCTACCTCTTACACCTTCATTCTCTATTTAATCATGCTCCTCATACTTGTTCCACCCATGGTTGTGTGCATCCATCCGTACGTCCGTCCATCCATCCGTCTATCATTTTATACATTAATCCTCTTTGCTCCAGTGGTTTAGCTGAATTTCCCCCTCCTTCCAGTTCCCCCTTGCCCTGTCTTTAGTTCCACGTCGTCAGAAAGTCATGGCACAACGTTGGGAGGCCTCGCTCTTAGCCAATCAGAAGAAGGAGTAAATGGAAAGAGCTTTTAACTTTTGGCGTTTTTAAAGCCATGATGGAATCCTACATTGTTTTTCTTTGTTGTACCCATTAGGGCAAAAGTTTGATTTCAGTATTTATCAAATGCCAATATTTGTTAAAACCCAATATGAGTAAAAGGCCTGTTTGTTGCTAAAAAGCACAAAGGCAGAAGAATGTATGGTGGCTTCCAGTAAGATTTGTTTCAAAAATTTTGAAAATGTACCTGTTTTTGCTTTCCCTAAAGACTGTTTAGAAAGTGCTTGTGACATTGTGTTTTGCTGGATGATGAATGACATCTCCTTTTTCTTTTTGACACACTGGCCTGTTCAGATCTCAAAGATACAACAGGGACAGGGATATTGAATTCTTAAAAACTACGACCTGGTTTTGATCAAATATGAACTACATGCTGATAAAGCTTGTGCCAATTTTTCCACAAGCTTTATCAGCATGTCATGTTGGACATCTTCTGTCCAATATGACAGAAAATGTTGGAAAACATAATCTAACAAGCTATTAGGGTGATTAAAAAAACAAAAAGACTCATCTCCTATTAAAGCAAACAGTTTGATCATATATATTTCAACAATAAGCCCAAATTTCATTAACATGCATGAAAAAAACAAAACAAAAAGTGTGTGTTGTTTGAATCAGTCACTTCATATGATTTATAATGTGATAGCACTTGCGCATGGCTAACAGATTTAAGATCTTTGAAGGTTTTAAGATGAATTCTAATTCTGAGAGTTAAATACTTGCTGAGATGAGAACAAAAGTGATGTAAAAGAAAACTTCTTCTTAGAAAACGTAAGTAATTATTACTTATCTCCAAAACGTGTTCCCAGAGGGATCGATCTAGAGTGGAGGGCTTAATCAGCCGCTTAATTTGCTTCTGCCTGTGGAAGGCTCTATATTTCTTTATTAGTAATGGCTATAAACATGTATCACTTCAGATATTCTACATTATGCTACCTTGTGTTTTTCTTCTGTTTAATTGTCACAAACCCTTAAGTAGCCTGTGTTACAGATTATAAAACCTGTCCATCATATATTTATTCAGTTTCTTGAACATGATTTACTGTAATACAATTTTAAGTTGTTATTGTAGTAGCCACATCTTTTCATTTACAGTACATTTTCTGTGTAGAAACTTTGCAGAAACTTGGTTAGCAGAAAGAAGCGTAATTTTTGAAAACCATTGCATTTCCAGTGTAAGGCTTTGAAAATCATTGTCTGGATGAAGTGCTCGCATGCTAGAGTCACAGATTAATGTTTTTTTCCTCATTTCATTTCCAGCTACTCAGATACCTCTTTCCTGAAATCTGACCATGTAAATTGTATCCATCTGTGGCTCTACAAAGTGAGCAAGTATTTAAAGAAACCAGTATTCTAACAAAAAGGTCTACTGAAGATTAGTAGATTTTTTTTTATCTCCTTCTGTGTTCCTATAAAAGAGAATGATGTATTTTTGATGCCTATATTTAATAACTGAACAATACTTATAAATGCTGAAGACCTTTTCAGTTGTAAAAGTCTTATTCTGACCCTAGCAATGAGGTTTAACAATGTGAGATCCTGTTTGTTTTTAGGAAACTTAATGTGAAGTATGTACATGTTTCCATCTGGTCACTGTCTTCATTTAGTTTAGTTTCTGCATTAAATCTCCACAAGCTTAGTTTTTGCAATGATCTCAAGTTAGTGTGAAGATTAAAGGTGTAACGAGATCAATAGTGATCACCAGGATGTAATGAAATAGTAATGGGTTGATCATTGCAGCTGTTTTAGTTCAGCATTCATGCTCTTGCCATTACTATGTAAAATAGCAGGTTTTAATTACAAAATATTAACATACATGCCATATAATATTTTCAAACTCAGACAGAACAGACATTGTAAATTAATTGTACCAGACATTGTAGATTAAAACATCTATCTAATATGCTCAAGATTTTCTGATTAGTTTTCTGCTTATTTGGCTATAAAGAACTAGAAACATTTTAAAATGAGTATATGTGACCGACACACTTTTAGAAATTTGGTCTAATATGAAAATCTCTACTGATTAGACTAATTTTGATTAGATCGTGAATATTACATCTAACTTAAAATGCTCTTCTGATTAGGCTGTACGTTGACTAAATTATGAGTGCAAAATTAACCAGATTGAGGCCTACTGAAACCAAACATAATCAATCTAATGTTAAACATTAGATTGTATAATCTAATGTATACAATCTAGTTGTATACATTAATAGAGTTCATTGCAAAACATTCATACCAACTGGACAATTCCACTTTCATCATGAAGAAGAGCAAACGTGGAAGAAAGTGTTCTTGTTCCTCACTGAACTTTTTGGCCTACAGGCAAAGTGCTATGTGTGGCAGACAACTAACACTGCATATCAATCTGAATACCACCCTCTCTAAGAAAATGATGGTAGCAGCATCAAGCTGTGCGAGGCTTTTCCTCAGCTAAGGTCAATCCTGAGAAAAAAATCTTCTCTCCTCCTGATTGGACTGAGCCTGATTGTTTGCAAAGCAGAACAGAAAAATATCCCCAAAAACTTTGAGCTGTAATTGCAACGAATGGTGAATACAAATGCACACATTTTTACGTTGTTTGCATAAAAAAATTATATACTTTTTTCCCTCTTATTAAGTAGGTATAACTTAAAAATATTTCCAATATCAATCTCAGAAGTCAATGTGCATTAAAGGCCCTGTATCTTTTTTTTTTTTTTTTGCTGTTTATTTTTTATTCAAGTTATTTTTTAAGTAGGTTTTTCTAGACACGTAAATGTAAAGAAAAGCAAACAACTCAGAACATCACCATAAGAAACTATTTGTTCCTATCTAAAACCAAGTGCTTTGTTGTAGATCTTTATGGTTCTGTTGAATTTGTGACAGACGTCCATGATTTTCTGACGAGCAAATTGCTCTTGTAGCAACATAGTCAGACCCACACAACACTGTTGATCAGACAGCAAACAGGACTAAACTGTTACATGCTTCTGCAGCACAGAGATAATTGGGAGTTCTCAATGAGTACCAACAACTTTTTTTCTTTGATTTCACTTGGACATGTACCCAAAGGAAAAAGTCTACTCCAATGATTCTGCTATTCATTTTATTGTCTCTGCTTATCAGAACAATTCCAATTCAAAAGTACTTTCATTCCAAATGGAAATAAAGTCTAAAAACATGAGCATCTATTTGATACACACCAGTCTACTTTGACTGAAGCCATATTATTTCATACCAATGGGCAAATTATATTGACATTGAGAACTAGTGGACATTCGTTCAATAAAGTTTGTAATTTTATTATTTCTGACACCAATTTGAATCTTTTAAATATACATTTCCTGTGTTATGTAATCACAATATCAGATATTCAGTGGGGAAGAAACCTGACTGTGAAAGGCAACTGTTTGTATTTATAATATGGACCCATATTCATTGCTCTTTCCCTCACTGATATTATTTATTAAGTGTACTAGAACAACTTGCCTTGAGTGTCAGTTATTTATTATTGCCAAATGAAAAAATGTTTGTTTGACGGTAACATGCTCAATAAAGTGTGCAACATCTGAGAGTTGCGGTGTCTGTATCTGTACCAGACGTGTCACACTCATTTTCATTTTGGGCCAAATCAAGATCATGAATGTCCTCAAAGGGCGGGTTGTGGCAAAAGCCTATCATCATGGGCGAATTTGAGAAAATGTTGTGATTGAGTAAAATCTAACTTCAGGTCCACCACCAGTGTTGATGGTTTGTGATGATTTATTTTACACCCAAGGTTATTTCAGTCTGCAGCGACTCGCTCAGAGAAAAAGCAGCAGTTAGAAAAGGAGAAGGTTGACGGGGGAACAAAGTACACCTCAGTTCCCAACAGTTTTCTATTACGACAAAAAACTTCTGCTGACAGTCCTCAATCTCAAGCAAGCAGCAACATTATGTGTCAATGGCTGCCGAAAATCTCTTTTCATGCAGCGCAAGTGTCTCAGTTATGTCCAACGGAAGCCGATTTACAGGTGGACACAAACATGCTGTACATTTTGCTTTATTAGTAACCAGCAGATCTGCATACGCCTGCAGAAAGTTGAGTCAACTCAACAATTTAAACCTGCTCCTGCTCCTGGACAGCCGAGTACAGTTGCTCAGTCCTGAACTTTTCTAAACAGAGTATCTGTTTCTGTAAACAGGTCCAGACAGTCATCCAGCTCTGGCAGGCTGCTGTCCCCATTACCATGACAACCGTCAGTCTTGTGCTGTTGTCTTCGTTTGTACACATTTAGTTGGTTCTGTTGATTTGTTCCCTGTTCTCTTCTCCTTCCTTTTTTGTGTGTGTGTTGGGAATCCTGATGTTCCTGTGTGCCAGGGCTGTCTGGGATTTGCTGTCTCTCTGCTGACACGGCTGACTGGAGGTTCTGGAAGAACCTGGAGCAGACACATGAAAAGAGTCTGACATGAGCTCAGATTGGATGGTGTTGGTTCTCTTGCAGCAACCAAAAGGCTAACCTCTGTATCCGTCTGACGTTCTCCTCCATCTTCTGATTGGCTATTTGTGTCAGGAACTGGATGTAGTCTTCATCAACTAAAAGTTTTCCATGATGGCTCAGGGGAACCTCCAGGCCGTGGGTGCTGCGAACCGCCTGCAGGGCAGCATCATTGCAAACATATAAGCAACATCCCAATAACAAGTACAATACAAGCATCGCAAAGGACATCCTTTCATTGGAAAGTGAAGCTGAGCAAAGGCAGCACAGGGACAGAGAGAAAAAAACAACAATGCACACACACAATTTTCCTAAGGAAAATTTATACAGACCAATTCATCTAACAGTCATGTTTTTGGACTGTGTGAGAAAGCTAGTTTTATTTATTTTTTTTCATCCAATAGTTCTGCATTTTGGATAAGATCACTCTGTGCAATGTCAAGAAATGCTAAAAGGTTAATGATTTCTTTTGGGTCCAGATATAGAACACCAGAATATTGTAACACAGAAAGTCTTAGCAATGACATTAACACACCAGAACTACATTCAATCTCAGTGTTTCTTCATATCTTATGTTTATAAGATGAACTTCAAAATTCAAAGCCTTGTGACATACATTCAAAAAACTACTAATGCTTGTTTAACTTGTAATTAGGTCTCATCTGCATCACCACCTTTCTCTGCTTACCGATATAATCTTCCCTGTCTTGCCAACAGTGAGCCCAGAGTTCCTGAAGCCTGAGTTGACAGCCACTGAATGCTGAAAGAAAAACTGCATGTTAAACCTACAAACGGAAAAAAGTTAAAAAAATCACTTTGCTGTTCCTTACATCAAAAATACATTAAATACAGTCATGAGCCAAAAGCTCTGACCCAACTTTCAATACTTTTGATTTACTTTTAACAAGTAAATAAAAGCAATCTTTAATTTGATCTTAAAGGGATTTTAAGACTTTTGGTAACCTATTACTATGGAAACAAGCTCATTCCTTCATTTATTTTAAGAACACCACCAACACTTAACACCAGTTATTGTTGAAGCTTTTGAGGAGGTCATAATAATTCTGTAAACATCATTCATAGTCCTGCAGGAGCCATTGCTAACATTTTGTTGCATGTGCACTGGAAGTGGTCTATGTGGCTAAAGAATGTGGAAGTGCTGAAAAGGAACATGGGCAATTCCACAAATAAATCTGGCTAGTGCTGGCTCATCCTCCAACAGACAGTCACAAAACTTCAGGAAAACTTCAGGAAACATTAATAACTCTTTCAAAATATGATTTGAGCATCAAGCTCATTCTCAAGTCAAATAAAGAATCCACCAGGTCTGAATTCTTGCAATGGCGATAATATTGATGAATATTGTAATGACGAGATTAAGTGCAATATATACCTCTTTTCTTCTTTCCTCTCTTTCTAATTTGTGCTTCCTACTCTGTGTGACCTTTTTGCAATGTTATGTGTGTCTGGTATGAGTTTTTGCTGCAGTCTAACTGCAGCAAAAACTGGCTAAATATTACATTAACATAAAATATAACACCTCAGAACATGTAGATATCATATACCAACAATTATTGATCTCCAAACAGAGATTTTTGGAAAGCAAACATTTTTGTTTTGCGACAGAAATGTTTGAACATTAATAATGTTTTGAACACTGATATTACAGTGACAACATATTTCCAATTTATTGTGCAGCCCTATGTCCAATTAGCTACCTCCCAATGTCTCTTATAAATGAATGCAGATTATAAAATCATTCACCATTGATTGATAATATAATCTATTAGATTATACACCCTGGTCAAGACTGGAGTTATTAAAAAATTTTATGTTATAAATGATCATTTCTAGAATATCTAGAAAAAGAAATCCCTCTCTTACATAGGCAAGTTAAAAACTCATGCTCTTAAATTTTCTGTCTTCTCTATTGTCCTTGTCAAACCACTTCAGTTTATATTTGACTTATTCAACATTCTTACTTTGTTTGGGTATAAATTTTGGATTAACCACTGAAATTCTCCTTGAAGTATATCACTGTTAAGTAATTCATTTTTACATTTTTATTGGAATTGGATAAGAACCACTGTGAAGCTGATGGTTCTTCCTCAGAACAAATGTCAATCTGATGAGTGCTATCCTCACCAGCAGCTGCGCGTCCTCTAGCCTGCGGCACTGAACGTGGAGAACAAAGGGTTCAAACTTCAACATGGCATCTCCACAGGATCTGCTCAGACCTGACATCTGGAAAACACACAAATACACACTCTTCAGACTGCATCAAAGTATCATGCAGACTGATGAATCACAAGGAGTCTGCATCACTGACTGAATGAGATGCAGAAAATATGAAATTGTCACATTTTCACGTGACAAATACTGTCATGTGAAAAGACACATGACAACATTTTCACATATGAAATGCTGTCATGTGTGATCAGGGCAGTGTTTCTCAATTCCGGTCCTGCCGAGCCCCTGCTCTGCATGTTTTAGGTGTTTTGCTAATCAACAGGTTTCTGCAGTACTTCATGGTCATGCAATCATTTGAATCAGCTGTTCTGGAATAGAAGCACATCTAAAACATGCAGAGCAGGGGGGGCTGTAGACTGGATTTGAGAAGCACTGGATCAGGGCCACAAGTCTGCTGTGTCTCACCAGGTCATCACAGGTGCACTTCTGGTGTGAGACAAACAGCCAGACACAGTTCTGTTTGTGGGCATCACTGCTGCCTGCCGCCTGCAGAGGAACAAGTCATTTCATGCTCAGCTTAATCTGAACTTCTAAGCTATGCAGAAGACTTCAAGCCTCACATTTCAATTTGTTAACTAAATGTGAACAAGAATATGGAGTTAGAACAGTTTCAATATTCACAATTGCTACAAACGATTTACAAAAGCCAGGACTATTCACATGTGCACACAATGATTCACATATGCACAGGATGATTCACATATGCACAAGATGGTTCATGTGTGTACAAAGCAATATGCACAGGATTCACACATGCAAAAACATGATTCATGTCCTGTACATTTTATGCAAAAAAGCCTGTCGCGATAAACAATAAATCAATTAATCACATAATAAACAAAAATAATCGACCTTGTTTGAATTTTTCGGCTTTATCGTTTCTTCCTGTCCATTTTTCTTTCTATTGATGAGACTGGATGAAACAGGCTTAACTCCTGTGCTCTCCACTGACCCCTTAGTGAAAGAGAGGAGTGAACGATTGTATGAAGTAGTTGGATATATCCATCTTCTCCATCTAAATCTAATGATATAGTATACAGATTTCATAAATTCTTTTGGTTGAACGTAGTTTTTATTTCCACTTTGGTTTGATGTTGTGCTAGTTTTTATTCAAGTGCTTTTTTATTTTATTTTTGTTTTATTTTGTTTTCCAGTTCCAGTGTTATACTCTCTTTTTAAAAAAGAGTATATTCCTTATTGACAGGATGTTGGATGCATTATTATATCATTACATTACATCAGTTTAAAACGGCCTTTAAACAATATTATCATTTATCGCAATAATTTTTGAGACAATCGCTTAGCAAAATTTGTTATTGTTAGAGGCCTGTATGCAAACATACATATATATGATTTACAAGCTGTTTCTGGCCTGTGGGTTTGGCTGCATTTGTGTGTGAATTTTGAGACTCCTCTGATGTGGTTCTATCCACAAATGTCAATCAGACATCTTTCTTTTTTCAGCCAACCATATAAAGGGTCCCCATGTTGGGGTATTTCTTTTAACAACTTTATTTACAAATAAAAAATGTACAATTGTAGACAGTAGTATTATGCTTGAGATGCCGGGGAAACAAATCCCTAGAAAAAATGAGAAAAAATAAAAGGTTACAAATCAAATTCGTCATTTGATAAGTTTCACAGCTTTAGAGTTGGTGCACAATGTTGGAGTCCAAAAAGCATCTGAAACAGGCTCTGAAAACAGTGAGGCCAGGCTTGTGTTTGGCAAATTTGCAGGCATGTGTGTGAATAGGAACGTTTAAAATGTACTCTTTTCCAGACACGCTACTATTTGAAATACCAAAGAAAACATATTTAACATACAAAGAAATCACTATACCACATTTCCTATTAAAGAAAATATTGAGGTCACACCAAAATGTTTTACTAAAAAAGTTAGGTTAGTGTCTCTTGTTCAATATGACAAAAGGAAAGAGGATCAATATTTGGAATATATTTAGTGAGTACTTAATTTACAAGATAATTTGAATGCTAATGAACGGGACTGAATTACCAATAAATAACTCTTGAAACCTAGAATATTCACCATGAGCTTTATCCCCAGTAGATATGAGACATTTGAAACCTGCTGGAATAGCATCAAAAACAGCAGCAGATTCTTTAGAAGTCACATGGAAGTTATATTTACAAAGAAATTCACCATCATTAAACCTCTGTCCATCCTTGTTAAACAACTGTTTCACAAATGTCCCTTCAGGTCTCCCCTGAAAAAGAGATCATATATCAATGTGGTTGTACTTGGTTAAAAAAAGAAAATAATAACAAATAATTAAAAAAATCATTATCTGTCCAGTTAAGGATGCTTGAAGCAAACATCTCGGTTATTCAAAAAAAAAAAGCAGATATGATTGAAAAAGTTATGTTTATAAACAAATGAGCAGGATAAAAGCAGTTGTTTATTTAAACTAGAGAAATGAACAGGGAGTTTTCCTGACTCTTCTAAAACAGAGTTGTAACATCAACTCGTTGACAGTTTTGTTTTCCTGCAACTGAAATGCCGTTAAGATCCCTATTTTTAATTAAAGTAGCTACGATTTGCAAAAGGAGAACTAAATCTTTGTCCAGAATGTTAGCTGTCAGCAATAATCACATCTGTAGTTCTGACTGGGATCTCGCTGGGGCCCATCAGACACAATTCTGACTTTTTTCCTGTTTTCTAAGATTTGTTTTTTTTTCAGGGTCACTACATTTTTATTGTTTATTTTACTATTTCTGAGAGAAAAGTCAGAATTATTATTATTATTATTATTATTATTATTATTATTATTATTATCAGTGGCCCTAATCCTCTTCCGTACTGTCGAATCCCTCGTTCTAATATTTTGGTGCTTCCATGACGTCATTTTATTCAGCTATTTCCATAACTGCGGATGGATTTCCCTCCGAACCAAATAAATGTCCATGCCAGCCTGGAACTACTTCTCTATACATGCTAGTTGTGCCTATTTAAAGCTGAAACGTGATCTGGCTTTCTGACGTCATCCAGTCTGACAAAGAGCAGCAGAACATTAATGTGTGATTGTTTTCAGTAGAACTTGAAAAGCCTGTCTGACCGCTTCGATGAGGATGATCCTGCCGGAACATGAGCTGGTGGTGAAGAACTGCTCACAGCTGTTGAGCAGAGACACCACGTGTTCAATGTCTTCATCCACGCTGCCTTTCTTACTCAGGTCCAGCCTGTTCAGACTCTGTGTCTTAATCCGACTGAACGTTCTGTCCATAACTGAACGATGAGCCTCGCTGCTGCCTTTGAAAGGGACTCAGTTCAGTCTTCCTCCGCTTCCTCCTTTCTTCTTCTTAAGTTTTCTGGCGATCGGCAAAACCGTTTGGTAACATTACCGCCACCACCCGGTAGGGAATGTGGACCACATGACAAAGAAATACAAAAAAATCAAATATGGCTTATATCATCTGCTTTCTGAATCTTTCTACAGTAAATAAACAATGTCCAGTTTAATTTTCGGGCCCAACTACTAAGGTTCTTAACTAACTTGTGTCCCTGAATCCAGTAATTCCTGCAGTGATCTATTGTCTCATCTTCTCCTGTCAAAATACTTGAGATGCAACATGTCGCCCCATTCTCCCCTTAATTAAAAGAATTAAAAGTAAGGTAATATATTCATGCTGTTTTGTTGTGTGTAAATCTTGTGTGTAAAATCACAAAAAGGGGAACTTCAGGTGCCTTAGATCAGTGAGTCTCCATAGTGATGGGGCATTGAGGAAGTTGGGGAAGTAGGTATGTGCTTTAAGAAAAAATATTGTGATAAGGTTTTAAAATTAAATAGTCTTTCCTTATTGTATTATTAAAATACAATAATGCTTGTATTTGCTGATCTCAATGAATGATCAGAAAATGGTATTATTTACAGACTCATGGAATGATTTTAATATTCATTGAGAGTCTTCTTTTCTTAGTGCATTATAAGGATACATAGAGATATGATTCGAGGGTGTGATGCAACCCCAGGGTGGGGACAAGTGTAAGAAATAAGTATTTGGGGAAATGAGAGCAGATTTGATGTTTTTTGTATAACTTTAGAGTTTTATAAAATGTTATTTGTATGATATATAGTTAGTTATCTGGATTTATTAGCAGTGATGAGAGAAAACTTCTAGATTTAAAAGAGACAGTTATCTCTCGGCCCTTTTAGACAAAGGCTAGTTTGTAGAACAAGTTCATGATTAGGTTTTAGGAGTCGACCTATAATTACATTATAACTACATTACTAGTTTAGGTTCCTTGTATCAACAAGGAAACAGGATAAGACAAAGCAAGCCACAACAGAAAATAATGAATTAAATAATGCTTGTATTTTAGAATAGCTTCCTAGAGCTGCTGTTTTGATGTGAACTGCATGCCACCATCATATATTTTTGCTTGAGGATACCCCACAGGTTCTCAATAGGGTTGAGGTCAGTGGAGGATGATAACCACACCACGAGTTTCTCCCCATTTATATCCATAGTACCCAATGACACAGTGGTATTCCTTGCAGCATGAGATGGTGCATTGTTGTGCATGAAGATGATTTTGCTACAGATGGTACATTTCTTCTTTTTGTACCATGGGGGAAAGTGATCAGTCAGAAAGTCTAGATCCTGTGCCGAGATCATTTTCACACTATTTGCTGCTTTAACTGCTTTGTGTTTTAACAGCTGCTCTCCTAATCTGATGAATTTGTCTAACAGAAACATTCCTCGTTATGCCTTTATCTGCACAAGCCCATTTTTGCGCTCAATGAGCCACAAATCTCTTCACAGTTTTTGTGAAATAGCGAGTGTTTTCTTTCCTTGTCCACAACAGTACTATCTGACGCTTTTCAGCAGCAGAGAGATTCTTTATCTTTCACATATTGTTTGAAACCTGTAGCCTGCTTAATGATGTGAAACATCCTTCTTGAGTAGTTTTCCTTTAATTGAACTCAACTGGCAAATGAATCAGCCCAGGTCTCTGAAATCAATCCAAAGAGGCCTGACACTTAATGCCATATATGAGTTTAATGGAACAACAAAAACTTAAATCTTTATGACACTTAAATCTAATTTGTATAATAATTTAAAACATGGTGTATAGAAGAAATGGTGAGGACGGCTTAGAGAATCATTGGGACTAAGCTTCCTTCCATCTTTGACATTCACAAAACAGTCCATCCATCCTGACCATGGCTTGTTTTCCCAGCTGCCCTCTGGGAAAAGGTGCAGCAGTTTCAACCAGACTACCCAACAGCTCATCTCTCATGCCATTAGACTACTCATCCCCCATTAGTCTTTTTATTTTATATATTTATATTGCTACTTTTTTATTATTACTTATTTATTTTATTATTGTGGGGGCCTTGCAAATAAATTTTGCTCAGTGTGTATATTCTAAATGTACAGTTGAATGATAATAAAGTCTGTTTGTTTCCAAATCACTTTGAACTGCCTTGTTGCTGAAAATATACAAATATACTTGGCTGAAAACAATATTAGTTTTACAGGATTTAAAGATAGGCTAGAGAATTAGGAGGATGATCACTAGATTTTACACTAGGAACACTGGACGTTTCGCTACTATGCAATAATAGGACATCATACAAGTAGAGGTACATTTTAAATTATGATGAAACAATAGAACACGTAATTATTGAATGTATCAAAGATCCAGTTTAATCAAACAAATAATTTCGATGAAGACGCTATTACAAGGCCGTTTATGTCAATAACTGCCTTAATAACGACAGTATTAGTACATTAGTATTAACTGCCTTAATAACGACATAGTACACATTCCTTACCAGTCGATGGCAGCAATGCGCCTTTGTTGTTTGTCAACTGCCATTAATCTCCAGAAGAAGAAGAATCAGAAACAGAAACCTCAGGCTCGGGGATGGATGTCAACTTTCCGATATTTGGGTTGTGGTCGGACAAACGCGGTGAAGTGGCGATTTAATCTGTCTTTTCACAGAGTAACAATATTATCCAGGTACTGTTTTGTATTTCTGTTTTGTTTAAATCTGATCGATGTAGACGTACGCTTAGTCAACTTTCAGTTTGCAGCTCTGACACCAGCAGAGACGTTTTCCTCCAGTCTGCTGGTGTTATGTCCGGTGTTGTTCACTCTCTCCACCGTCCGCGCAGGTTCTGCTCTATGATGAAATAAGGTTGTCTTGTTAGGCACTTCCGCCTTGAAACAACAACGTTGTCGTTTGAATCAGTGCAGAGAAAAGCGGCCATATCACAGTGATGTGCTTTGATGTGAAACATAGATTCATACATTCTGTTAATTCTGATGATTTTCTCTTTACAACAAAACATTTAACAGAATATTACATTAGAATATTCTAATGTTTAATGTTATTACTTTGAACTTAATGACAATACGCCCAAATTAATGTTGTTGCTTATGAAAGTAATTTTGTTATTTATAGGCTTTATTAGGGAATGTCATGACAAGAGAAGCAATCTTCGGTTGAAAAGCAGTATTTATTTTATTTCATGGAGAAAGACCTCGCTGCAGCAAACAAAGGGGCCGGACGGACCTCTGTCAGTCTTATACCTTTTATGAAAATGGGACCATTGCACTCCGGAAGTGAAGGGGGCGCTATTTTCTATATCATCCACGGTCTCCCTTTTCTATTTTCTTGTAAAATCTATGATATATTTTCACCTTTAGGAGTGATATACTTTCACTCTCAGCATGTAGTTGAACTACTCTCTTTTATTTACTTCAGCACAGCTCACAATTTTTTATGAATTCTATGGCTTTCTGTGCTACTTCTAAATCTGCTCCTTAGTCGCATCTTTTCAGGCTTGATACTGCCTCTAGTGGCGTGGCAGTGGTAACACAACTAATCTGAAATCAGAATACCACAACGTCTTTATTATTTACTATTAATTTCGGCATTACTGGAGCTGTAGAATATAAATTCCCTCACAAAAGAACATACCTTTTCATTTTCTTAAGGAAGTAGAACTAATTAAATGAGATAAACAAGACCTAAAAGTGAGTCCAATTTCACTTGATGTCCAACCTGTTGAAACTGTGGGAAATTCTAAATTCCTTGTGTCATTCCTGGACAGCCAGCTCAACTTTGCTGAAAACACTTCCTATATCTTCAAGAACTGTTCTCAGAGACTCTATCTTTTAAGAAGATCTAGTAGCTCAGTACCGCTACAGCCTCCGAGCGACTGCAGGAGCTCAGGTGATGACGCCCAGGAGCCACCGCAGATGCTCTCGCGGTTCCAGTACCAGTCTGCCAGGCTATACGCACAAATGCTTGATGTTTGACAAAACTTTTGATAACTTTTGACCTTCAATGGCTCAAGAGTCTGCTGAGTGATTCTGAAGCTTATCTTAAAAGCTGTAGGACGAGTTCGACATCTACAAAAATGACATGGCGGCTTTGATCCAAAATGGCCAACTTCCTGTTGGGTTTGGACCATGGCTCCAAGAGACTTTTTTGTAGGTCCTGACAAGGTACATGTGTACCAAGTTTCATAATTCTAGGTTCAAGCATTTTAGGTGTACCTTAAACAAGCTTTTTTTCTCAATTTTGGGCGATCTACCCACCATTCTTCCCCCTGTGAATTTGCCAGATTTTTTTTTAATGCTAAATATTTTATTAGTAAGGCAATTTTGCAAGGGTCAGTACAGCTTAATTCAGTAGCAGAAATAATCAAATAAGTAAAATCAATCATCTCGCCTATCTTTCCCAAATGCTGATACTAAGATCTAAAAAGAAGTATGGAATTTTGGACCCCAGAACTGGCCTGATGATGAAGGTGTTGCAGCAGGAGGAGACTCACTGCATTGATCGATGAAGGCAGGGATCTCTGTAGGTCTGATGAGCTTTCGTCTCTACATGGATGGTGAGGTCACACAGGACTTGGGTTCTTGCAGGAAGAGTACTGATTTAGAGAAGCAGATCTTGGGTGTTAGGGCAACTTCCTCATGCGTTCCTCAGCTTCTTGTCTTGCGGCTCTGAAGCTCCCTTTGCCTTGTCTCACGATCTTTCTGGTTCGTTGAGATGTAGAACTGAAGGAAAACACCAGTTCTTTGCCTATCTTTTTCGTCTGCCTTTTTCTTGGTCTTTGTATTCGTGGTCTGAACCCAGCTGATGAGAGAAGTGTGAAGCCACATGTTGTGGGGTGGATGGGTTGTTCTCCATGCGCAGGACAGTCTTCGGCTCTGTGTCCCCGGCTCTTCTTCAGCTGCACAGTTCGTTGTCCATCTCAGTCTTTGTTCGAAGCTCTCTGGAGGATCCAACCAAAGGTTCCTCTTTTACACTCACCTTTTATAGGGTTTTTCCACTCTATAGACATGTTTGCATTGGCTAGCAGTGCACTGTTGTTGTGCGTGTTTCATTGGCTGACTGCTTGGATAGATGATCTCATACATCTTTGTCTTAGAAACATTATGTCCTGATGTCTGTGCTAGTTCCCAGGGTTGCTCAATGTTCCTCCTACATCCGTTGCCTGCACAATCTTCTTCTTTCCAACAGTTTAAGTAGTTCAACAATCTATTTCCAAATCTCTGAGGCGTTGGTCATCTGCTTTCCTGTTGGTCCCACTTTTCCCCAATCTGTCATCTACCATCTTACCTCCAATACAACATTAGTGATCTTTAACTGCGATTACATATTTTACACCATTTCAAGTTAAATGTCAAAATCACATCTATGACATCTTCAGCTTCTTTGATTTAGCATTCATTTATAATATTCTTAACCATAACTTATTAGTTCCTTTTGTTATAATCTTAATGTGAGTTATTATAGACAGTCTTCTGAAAAGAAACCAGAATTAATCAATTTTTCTGATTATTTTATACCAACAGTACAGTTACTTGTTTTACTTGTAAGTATTCCCATGAGTGTAAATATTCTCTTACAAGTAAACCAATATCAACAAAAGTATTTTATTTTGTGTTTTATTCAATTACTCAAAATGTTTAGATTTCATTCTGTAAAACTTTTATGCTTTGAAATATGGAATAGTTTAAACTATTTTTATAAATCTGCAAGCTGCAAATTTATATCCTCTTTTTTCAGGAAGCCTGCTGTTCCAGTTTCATGACACTCTCTGCCTGCCTATGATTTCTTATGATTAAATAGAAAAACAAATAGAATTAAAGCAATGCATGCTTCTTGTGAAGGGCTCAAATATGATGTGATTACACCAGTGTGCACAGGTGGATCAGTTGCTTGGCTTTCTAGTCTGTTCACTTGTTCCAATAAACTCGTTCTTTCAGGCTGAACACAGAAGTGATTCCATGAAAATAACACAAGCTCCTTTTTTCCCCATCTGTCTTCCCGCGGTAGGTTCAGGCTGAAGAAGCTTTTCCGGAGTGAAGTGAAGCCAGGAAACTTTGCTGTGACCTGTTGTTAGCTTTAACTTGTAGTGGCGAATATTTACAAGCCACAGTCTTCTTAATTCAGGATAATTTGGAAATCCATGAAAACTTAAAAGCCCATTATATTTGGAAGCTAATGTTCATAGTATTGCTTTATTTGTGTTTGAAATACGACCTTGTCTCTTATAGCTGTCATGGTAACTCAAAGCAGAAACAAGAAAGGTGCATTTCGCTCATGCAGATATAATGTCAGCGCCTTCTTACGTGCAAAGATCCCATTACAATTGGCCTTCGCAGCGCTTTGCTGCTCGGGCCTAATTATGAATATTCTAATTAATTGTATATAACTGTAAGACCTGAATGAATGCTGGAACAATTTTAATGCTAATTTATTCTACCTTAGGTAACACATGTTGCCACAGTAAGATCTCTGCCTTTTTGCTTGGATGCTGTGCTGATCTGGTCTTCATCAGTCTGTGGAAGTCACGCTCCACAGGATGGCAGACAGTGGAAACCAGTCTTGCCTCCAAGGATCACAAGACACCCTGTCCTTCTTGGTATGAGTAATGCAACACTCACACTTCAACATACAATATGAGTATGAAAGCATGTTATTTCTTACCCATGTCAGATGATGAATATCAGATTACAAATCAACAGAATTACAATAAATAAATTCTTGAAATATTTCTCTCTATATGTAACAAATTGATAAGATTCTCTTTATGAAATTAGTGAAAAGAAATGTTATTGAACTTTTTAAATAAAATTCTAATAGTACTATTTTGTAATAATTTATCATTTTAATGTGGAAATATGGAGGAGTAGATACTGCGTCACAGTACTGTGTAATAAGTTTGCAAATGAGTAGAAACTGTCTGGTTGGGAATTTTTCTAAAAATCTCAAACTGAATCTTTTTATGAGACTTATAGAATCTATCAGAATCAAACTAGACTGCAGTCTTTCCATGAAATCTGGATGTTTTATCAAAAACACAAACTATAATTAAAATCTCTCTTAAACACTAAACTTTATTATTTAAATGTACATGTTTATTAAGATAAATTTCATTCTGAATGAGATTTAGTAATGTTTCACCTTAACCCTAGATGGTCTAGTTCAAAATTATTCATACCTCTGGCTAATTTATGTTCGAAGAAATCCATTTTACCAACATGTTTCTTCTTACTGGAAGTAATAGTCATGGTTTGGAGTGGTGCCTCCTCAGTACTGATTAGAGACTGGGAGAAAATCTGTTAATGAGGGTGATGACAAGGAGGCCTTTCAACTTCAAGTACTTACTCATCACCTAAATATTAATTAAAATGAAACTTTAGGAAAAAACTGAACAGCTGTTATAAATAGGATATTGTTGTTGTAAAGCTGCTGAAGAATTTTTACCATTGAGCAGGTTAGAGAAACATGACTGGCATGACTTTTCTGAACCAAATGTGAATAACAACTCTGTTTACAGTGTTTATCTTCTGAGTGGTGCAGATTTTCAGAGAAAAACAACTTCTATATTGAACAAAAAGAATTTTAAATCTTTTTTTTGGGCTCAATTGTGACATGTAACAATCTTTGAGAGTTCTGGGACCCACTTACTAGTCTGCCGTTGGCTATTCTTTGAGCTGTGATGTAGTATTTTTGTTGATTTGTGAATCTATTCATCTGTCAGACTGGTAAATGCTGTGTGCCAGCAGTAGGAGGTTGCCGATTATTATTTTGGAAACATATATATGTAGATATCAAATTAACTTTTTAGAGCTTTTGTGTCTAAACTGAAATAGCAGACCAGCATTTCCTTCGTAGTTTTTTTTAGCTCTTATCTTTGCCTACAGGTGTGTTTGTTTCATGTGTGGGAAGACTGGGCCGGCCTGGAGCAGCTCGAGGACTACCTGAGCTTTCTGGAATACCTCTTGTGGGTCTTCACCCCTCTTGTTGTTGTTTTTCTTGTGCCATTCCTCATTGTTATCCTCCTTTATCTCTCAATACTCTTCCTTCATGTCTATAAGGTACGTACAAATTCAATATTGTCCACAGTATAAACAGTCAATTGTGAAACATAACTTTTAATTTCAGGTTAATATAATTATGAGATTGTAGCTCTGAATAAAAAATGTTTTGGAGAAACGCGTCACTAAATACAACTCCTGTTTGCAAAAAAAAAAAAATAATTTAACTCTTTCAAAAATGAAACAAATATCTAACTTTCTACAAACTTTAAGACAAATGAATTTATTATTGATCTCTTCTTGCTAAACTTAAATGTTTATAGAAAATCAAACTTATGCTGAAATGTATGGCTACTCAATGCTTATCGTCTTTTGTAGGGACTGATTATACAGTGATTTTTAATTTTTTGAACAGCATTGAGGACAAAAAAATTGTGAATGTAATGAACTGAATTAGAGGCATAATCTTTTTAGAACACGTTTTACAATTGAACCTGTCAGTCTGATAATATTTTATAGACTACCAGATCTGAAAAAGTTACACAGCATAAAATCATCTAAAAAAAAAAAAAAACCCTAAGCAGATGGGAAACTAATTTCGAGACTTCTTTTAGTCTTTAAAGATTTACACACAGCCGGTTCTAACGCTTCTGCTGTGATAGTTGTAAACCTTCCGGTCACTTTACTTCTCATATGTGGTTGAGGTGTGGATCCAAAAGCAGCAGGCGAGTGATGAGGTGGAGTTTCATTTAAAGATTTAATGAAAAAAACAAAAAAAACAAAAAGAATCAAACTTCACAAATCCCTCTGCTGAGGCATAACTCATAGTTTTATTTAAACCAAAGGACAGAATGCTTTTTGTTGTTGTAAACATTCACAGGAAAAAATAGTTTCCAGGCTTCAGGTATTCCACCTCACAGAGCAGCCCTCCCCAGTGTCTCCCCCACTCAGCTCACTGGATGTATTCATCTTCTCATGCTTGCTTTCCTCAGAGGAAGAATCAGCTGAAGGAAGCTTATAGCAACAACTTGTGGGATGGAGCCAGAAAAACATTGGCTACCCTGTGGGATGGACATGGAGCCATATGGCATGGTATGAGTAAATGTAAAATAAATGTAAAGTACTCCCCAAAGCATATAAAATGTGTTTATTTATAGCACTTGGTTGCAAATGTAAAAATCTCTATAATGTATTATTGCATCTTGTGATATGATCTGTTCATCAGGTTATGAGGTCCATGGAATGGAGAAGATTCCCAACAGAGGACCAGCTCTAATAGTGTACTATCATGGAGCCATACCTATAGATTACTATTACTTCCTGGCCCGTGTTATCATTCAGAAAGGACGTACCTGCCATTCTGTAGCTGACCACTTCCTCTTCAAGATTCCTGGTACTTCAACTGTTTTATTTGTTCTGGAAATTAAGGCACATTACCATCATTCAGAAATATTGCTGAGTGTGTTTTGAAGTTGGGGCAGCAGCATCAGTGCCAGGGACAGAAAAAAGCTTGACAAATTGATGCGGAAGGCTGGTTCTGTTCTGGTTCTGTTCTGGGGTCGACTATGAAAACTCTGGAGATGATGATGCAAAGAAGGATTCTTCATAAGATCAAGAAAATGATGAACAACCCTGACCATCTTTTTTATGAGACTGTCTTGGGAAGGGAGAGCATCCCAAGATGTACAGGTCTGTAGTGCGCTTCTTTAGATTCTTTCGATTCAGCGCAATACAGACCACTGCAGAAGATCTTTCCTGCCAACAGCAATCACTATCTTCAATAACTCTTTGAAGGATCTAAATTAATAAGCCAGAACAACATTTAATTTCCTTTTGTGATCATTAAAGTATTTTTAAATTGAATTGAATTAATTTAAAAGGTTGCTTTTATGGCTACAGTCCAGTAGCCATAAAACGATTTTTTGCCGCGATTTTCTCGTTACCACAATCTTGCTGTTCTAAGATTGTCTCTTGCGATAATCGTAGCCGATCATCCTACCGTAAGTGTTGTGCTACGACTGATCGGGTCCAGTAGATAGAATGTCAGGACCACTCTGATCTAATATCAGGCATTTTAATTGGTCTTGGCCTGATTATCGTAATGTGTGTGGTGTTACCCGACTGGTGAGAACGCAGCCTCTTGAATGCAACAGGTAGCCAATGATAAAGCGCAGTTACATAAGCACAGAGAGGAATCCCAAATAAAGAACAGCTGATGTGGCGCTTCAGAGACTCTAGTGGATATCGGAGATTAAATGTGAAAACATGACAAATGTAAAAATTCTGTGCAGTGAGAAGAGTTTGCTGAACAAAAATTGATGGCACCATATGTGTACAGATAATTTATCTTTTAAATCAAATGACAGAATGCTGTTTTTTGTTGTAAACAATCACATGCAAGGCGAAGCACAAACAATTTCCAGGCTTCAGAGCTTCCACCTCACAGTGCAGCCCTCCCAGTGTCTCTCCCACTCAGCTCCTCCAGACTAGCCAGCAGCAATTAGCAAACACCTGGTGGTCTCAAGTCTTCCACCCCTACTAAAGGATGGAAGACTAAATATTTTTATAATCCTTCCTTACTCTTGACCTTATAAGGTTCTGAATATATTTAAAGAGATATCCCTTTGTGTGTATCTAAATTCTCCATTTTGTGTTCTTCCAGGTTTCAAGTTGCTGTTAGAGGTCTTCTCAGTGATCCATGGTCCTCAGGAAGAGTGTGTCCGGGCTCTGAGGAATGGCCACTTGCTTGGTATTTCTCCAGGAGGAGTGCGGGAGGCAATGTTTAGTGATGAGACCTACCATCTTTTTTGGGGAAAACGCAAAGGCTTTGCACAAGTTGCCATTGACTGTCAAGTGGTGCGTTATGGCAAACTTCCTTATAACACTATTTTAATTATGGCAGTATATTTTCTTTATTCAGATTATTACATAAAGTTCATACTTCAAAAATCTTTCTTAGTTAGGGATAGTAAAATGACAACAAATAAATTATTAAAGGGGCAGTTTTGTGTAAAATCCACTTTTTTTCTTTTTTTTTACACCATGTTCTAATATTATTCCTTCATCAAAAATATACCTGGAGTGTTGGCTTGATTCTATCAGGCATGTTTGAGAAATCCTTTAATCTTCATGGTAACCATTCAGCTGTGCAAAATGCCTGGTTGGACTGAGCACTGCCTTCGACTCGCAGCTCCTCCTCAGAGCTGCAGTTCTCAAACTTCATAGCCTCACTGAACAGCCCTGCTCTGCAACTCCCCCACTTACCTCCTTCAGACTAGCAACCAGCAATTAGCAAACATCTATTGGAGCTGCACATTTGTTGAGCTTATTTTACTAGCTTCTTCTCAGTGAAACACTGATAAGAACATGGTTAATCGAGGAGTTATGTTGTGATGACTTCCTGAAGGTGGAGTTTTAGAAAGAGCAGGAGGTTTTAAAGAGACAGAGGCCCAATTTCAATGACAAAGTATTATACTGGGTGCGTTTGTCTCCTTCTAGCAAGTATGCCTATTATCAATTGTAGCCACATATCTACCTATGATGGATAGTTTATAGATATATACATTTTCTATTAACTGTTAATGGTTCTCTCTCTCTCTTCCTTTCTCTCTCTCAATCGTGAATAGAAAAATCAGAGGTAAAAATTCATTTGAACCTAACTGCACATCAGTGTTGTTCTTTCAATGTCATTTGGAACATGGAACCTTTTTCAGCTGTAGACTGATTGGTAAATAAATAAGAGTCCCGTTTTGAGGCCCTTTGTTTTCAAAATCTAATGCACCTTGTTTCTTCTATGCTGTTGTAGACCAATGGTTTATTTTGAAAGTTCTCTCAATAATCTTACTCATGGAAGAACTTGTCCTTTATCTTGAACAGCATCTATGAGCTTTATTTTGAAAAAAAAAAAAAAATTGTGCAGCTGATAAAAATATAGTGACCTGCTGAGGAAAACCGCTGCCATGAAAAGAGATTGAAATCTTAATTGATTCTGCTTCCCATTTGTTACCTATAGTTTCCAAGACTGACACAGCTTAATCATTTGAGAAATCTGCAAGAATGTTTTTGTGTTATTTGGTTTATAAAATCCTTTTGGGAAATCAGATTTCAATTGCGATATTTATTTTTGAACCAGTTAAATATGCTCACAAAACCTGCTTCATTATGCATAAATTCATTGATCATGGTGTCATATCTCCATCTCTAAGCTTATTCTGTATTTTTTTCAGCCAATAATTCCAATGTTTACTCAGAATCTACGAGAGGGTTTCAGATCTCTTGGGACACTAAGTAAGTGAGGAAGATCTTGTGTGTTTTGTGTGTAAGAAAGTATTGAGGATTTTGTGCTTGTTAAACGTGGCATGTTTCTGTGTCTGTCTGTCTGACTATCAGTAGCATTCTAATTATATTTGTACTAGTAGATACATTTTTGTTTATCAGTTGATTTTTTCATCCTGGGATCCCTCTGTCCTCTAAAGTGTCCTGGATCCTATGGGACATGTTTGTACCTCTGCCTCTTGTTGCAGTTTGTTGTACCCACTTGTTGGGCTTATTAGGGAAATCTGAACATGTATGTTCAGACTAATGATGTAAACTATCAATTTAAAGGTATAATCTGCTTGCTGTTGTAGATAGTTTTGTCACAATGACAAATTTTGCTAGACAGTAAATTGTCCCTGTTATTTTTATGATAAACAATAATATTGTTGTTTGAGACTATTTTCAAGTCATATAATGGTAATGGCATAATAATGTGAGACATACTTTCACAGTTTAATGTATATCAATCTTAAAGCTAATGTAATTTTTTTTTTAAATCAGTGTTTTACATATTTGTCATAACTGTCACTGTTGTATGTTATGAGACATAAAATCTGTGGAAAAATCAAACAGCTCCATCTTCCCCCTGAGCTATTATGGACATCTGCAAAAATTCCTGTTCCTGGTCAAAAACAACCAGTCAGAGCCAGGAGGAAAGTCTTAGTCCCGGCAATCAGGACTAAGATCATCACCATAATGTCTAAAGTTAATTTCTGAGTTGATCACAATCATTACAAGAAATATCTTTATAATTATTGGCCTGTATTTTTCTTTTCAGAATTATTTCGGTGGCTGTATGAAAGATTTCGTCTTCCTGTAGCTCCGATTTATGGGGGATTTCCTGTGAAATTTCGAACCTTCCTTGGTGATCCTATTCCATATGACCCAAACATCAATGCTGCTGAGCTAGCAGAAAGAGTGAGTTTTTTTTTTCATCTTTTTCTGTCTGTCTGAATTTCATTGATGCATATCATGCTTTGGTGGATGGCATGTATGTTCAGATTAATGATGTAAACTTCCTGCCTTCATGGAAAATATGAAGGCAAGTGTAGATGAGATCTTGGCTCTCAATGGAACAACCTGTACAAGTAAAGGTTAAATAATAATCATTAAAAAAAAAGAAACAGTCAAATGATGAATGATGCAGGAAGAGATACTCATAGGTTTGCCAGAAATGCTACAGATCCAACAACTGTGTGAAGTAAATCTAAAGCCAACAGTGGAAATAAATCACATGGTGGGTTTGTCCTTTAGAAAATATGAAGAAATGTCACACTTTAGGCACTTCTACACTGGCAAGACTCACTCTATCCAGTCAATGTAGTTCAGTTCTACCCCAGTCCAAATGTAATGCAAATAAATATCTTTATACAATTAACCTTTTTAGTATCAAAGTGTTTCTGATTTTGACAACCCAAATTGTATCTCTGACATTGTGAATTTTAAGATTTTGTTCAGTGGTTGTATTGATGTAAGTCTTATAGCTGTTTTTGTTGTCCAGGTGCAGCAGGCGGTCCAGTCCTTGATAGACAAACACCAGCAGGTCCCTGGGAGCATCTTGAGAGCCTTGTTAGAGAGATTCTACACAAAACGCGAAGATGACCAACATCAGAATTAAAAACTACACGTCCCATTTATGATCCGATTTGGACGTAAGAAGATGAACTTTATTGTCCTGGAGGACATTTTGTTTTGGGTGCAGACTCTGACTGCTGCGTTATCCAAAATATTGCCCATCCCTTTACATTCATACATCATACCTGATGCATAACATTCTAACTTACAAATGACTGGTTGCATTCTGTATGCACACTGTCCTATTGGCTGTTTGTATTATGTCACTTGGTGATTCCTTCAAATTATCTTATAGTAGGATGGAAAAAAGAAAAAAAAAGTTGTAAAAAGTAAAATACATTTTATCCATATTAAATGTGGTCAAATATGGGAAGTATTTTTGTGAACTGTACAAAAAGTCAAAATGTCAAATAAGTGCAAAATGTCATTGTAGATACTTTTTTTTTTCATTTTATATCCAAAAATGGTGAGGGGTGAGGAGTTCATGTTACTGTACTTTCAATTACAGGAACAATATTCCATATGAATGACCTCTATGCATCATGAGTGGTTGTACCTGGTTGTGGTCCTGTCACTTTGTTTTGGTGTTTCCTAACCCTGGTCCTCAAGGCACACTGCTCTGCATGTTTTAGATATTTCCCTTCTTAATGTGAAATCACCTTTGCTGAAGCATGGAAACATCTAAAATATGTAGGCCAGTGTGCCTAGAAGACCAAAGTGGGAAACACTGCTATAGGGAGTGTGCATCGGTGAAGTGATGTTATACCCAAAGCCTTTGATTCTCAACAACTCGATTGTTGCAAATCTTTCACGTTGATATTTGGAATGAACTTTGTGATCAGCTTCATTCTCTCTGATTTGGGTTAAGCTTTGGTCGCTAGTATTGTTTTTTTTTTTATCAGGAAAGATCAGCTGTTTTATATGTATTTATATTGAAGAAGTTGAGAGGTCTGTGATCTTAACGCTACAAATATATAGATAAAACAAATTCACATGAAGGAGAATAAATTCAACAGATGCTGAAAATATTAGAAACTTTTGTTTGTGGTGATGTATCAAACTACATTTACATGTGGTGATATGTAAAAGGTACATAATCATCTATAACTGTTATTTAATATCGGTTCAATATTAATAAGTTATTTAATAAGTTCAACTTTCAGTCTGTCCAGCAAACTGAACAGACTGCCATGAAGACAATTTCTATCACTTTTGATGAACTTCTCTAAATTTTAAGGGAGGTTTTAATCTTACATCTGAGCTGTTACAAAACAGCTCAGATATAACTTCTTTTATGTTTTGAAACTCAAATAGCATAAGAAATCTCCTTGTTACACATTTAGCTGCTGTGTTGTCTTTGAAAAATTCCCTGTTATTTTTGTGTAGATCATAGCACTGCTTGGAACAAAACTACAGACATTCCTGGGATTCTGCCTTTCGACATGGTATTTGCTGTCTTGATATTCTGTTATAAACCACATTTTTTGCAACCCATCAGAGCGCTTAATATATCTTTTGTTTTGAAAATAGTTTTCTGTGTACTTCATTCCTACCATATAGTTTATTTAAAATCTTGCGTCGTGTTGCATCTTCACATGAAAACATCTTTAAATTACATTTTCACAGTTTAAGACAGACTTGACAGTTCAAACAACAACAAAAAAAACAACAAATAAGCAATATTAAGACCAGAAAATTACCACAGTGAACTTTATTAATTAGACTATTAGTGTCTAATTAAATTCAAATCACATTTTACAAAAATAAGAATAATCAAAAGTGAGCTTTTGTACTTTTATTGAATGTTGTAGCACTTTTGACTTTACTCACAGAGCCTTCAACCATGAGGAATTTTTTTTTCTTTTTTCTCTGAACAACTTTTTTTTGTCACCACATACGTTACATGTATATATTTTTTGTCCTTAATATATCGTCATAGTTACAGAAAACATGGTGGCATAAAACCTCTAGACATCGTTCACAGTCTGAACTCAAGAAGAGAGGAATGTTTTATTTTTTGAAGCATTTACAGTTTGCTTACATGTATTTACAGGCAAGTATTTCAATGGAAGGGAACACCCTCCACACCCAACTTCAAGTAACTCTTAAAACAGACATCTGTATAAAACAAAGACTGTACAAGTTTGAATAGAATCCTCTCAATAATGCCAACTTTGTCTATGCTTAATCAACTGTCTTGAGTTGATTAAAAGTTCAACTTTCAGAGATATGGATTCAGTCGAGATCCATATCTCCTGCTGATTTTCACAATAAATATTAAAGAGAAATAGTGGATGCTAGGAAACAACATTTCATTAATCTAGAGTTTAGATTTCTCAACAAATTGATTTGTTTGTGAACAATAAATAACTGCTGTTCCCACATTGTCCTGCAGAAGGTACAGTTAAACAGCAGCTTGCTTTGAAAAGTTTGAGTACTTAATGTAAACGAGCCTGATGTTTAAATATTTCTTTCTGTTATTTTATTATATTGAATCTTGTTTTAACAAGGACCATCAATGAACAAAGGTGAACACCCTGTTTGTTTTTACTTTTAAATGCTCTTCTATACTGAGACCTCATCAAGGTTAAGGTGATCCATAATTAAAACATGAGACATATACACTTTTTAAAGTCAGTGACAATAAAGAGCACTAAAATATAAAGATTTATTGACAGCTGAAGAAAAGACTTGAAGACAGAACTGCTGAAAAAAACATTTCACCTGATCCAACAGCTCATCAGAGTGGCACAAAATGACACTCATAAAAACACAAATCCAAATACACAACACACATAGTGTGTTAGAACTGTGAATTCTCTGATCCATTAGCCCCATTCTAAAATACATACATATATAAAAAATCAGTTTATGCAATATTTTTCTGGTTCTCATAATTCCTCAAATGAACTCTAGTACTGCTTCCTGCTATACATTGGCTTTTGTAAAAAATGGGTTTGCTGCCTTTAATACCTGTTCAGAAATGTGAGACACCCGATCAAAATAAAAATAAAATTCACTGACTGCACTTCTCCAGGAGAGGGAGCTGCTGCAGTCAGTGACTCCATGGAAGCAACTGAACTGAAGTGCATGATATTCTGTATTCTGGTGAAGAAAATTCTGAAAATGAAATCAAACCCTCCTGCATAGACAAAGTCAGCCTAAAAAATTCTGATAAATTGTTTTCTAATACAAATTCACTGTTGCAGATCCTGGAGAGAAAACCTATATTCAAAATCATTTCATTTGATGTATTACAGGAAAGCATGCCTGTTAATTTATTTGAAACTACTTTCATTTTTTTTTCTTGGTATTTTTTCCCAACATTTTTTGTGCCGTGTCCTAATCTGTTGGTCACACAACAAGAGCTCTGTATTTTCATTTGGAAACACATTTCTCAAAAACATACTGATTGCAGTATTTTATTCAATTGTATGATAAAACCAGTCAATCTATAATATTAAATTCAAGGAAAGGTGCCACTTTCTGCATCTTGATGGAAAAACGTAAGGCACCCATCAAAGCTTTCCTGAAAGATTTTAACCAGTAAAGTTAAAGTATTTTTAGAATGTTCATATTTTGAGATACCAATTCAAGCAACCCTCCAAAATTGTTGATTTTAAGTTTGAATAGAGCAGACAAACTCATGCATATGTTTGTCTGTTCCCACAAAACTCATCTCATAGGGTTATTACCAAAGATCTCAGATAAAAATTGTTTTAATTAATTTGCAAAGTATTTACACAGCATGTTGATTCTTCTGTTCCTTCATTTCCCACACAGAAACTCAAGATCATCGGTAGTCATCTAGAATAATAATAATAAAAAAGTTTGAATATTTTTAGAATAAAATGGCTACAGCTGCAGGCAGTCATTAAACTCGTTTGAAAAAACATGTTTTGCACTCCTTACTTTTAAAACTTCAAAATATTTGCTGAATCTTTGCACAGAACATTGCCCCATTTATTTTGTTTTTAAGATGTTTTTATGCAGTTATTATTATCAAACGTATTTGCATCACTCAGTATTGTACTTTATGAGCATAACATCAGTATGAAATGCAGACAGTGACATCAGATGCATGACTTCTGTTATACCTTAAGGTTTTTGGAACAAACTAGAAAAATAAACAATTTAATATGCCTTGCAAATTCATCAAACACCTTAACTTGATTGTTTCATTTGTTGGATTACACTATAATTTAATGTTTTATCAACTTCCTAAAGTTTTATTTGAAGTAATTTTTTTACCAAAAGCATTTTTTGCTTAATCAACTGTTTTGAGTGTGAACAGCAGTTACACAAAACAAGTGTTTTTTTTTGTTGTTGTTTTTTTTTTGCCTAAATTGTATTTTGGCAAAACCAGGTAGTGATTTTTTTTTTTTTTTTTTTTGCCTAAACCATATTTTTATATTTTGGCAAAAATGACTTGGGCCATTATTTGAAGAAGGTAACTATATTTTTACTGTTAAAAATGTAAAAATGTTGAATTAATCTAACACAAGAAATAAAATTTTATTTAAAAAATAAACTGACTTTTTTTGTTGGTAAGTTAATATTTTAGATGTGAAAAGCAATTTTTTTTATTAGTCAGTAATCAGGCCCATTATTAAGCAAACTACAGAAGTTCTTTCTACTTTTCATTTGAATAAAAAATAGATACTTCAATACTATAAACATCATTCACAGTACTATGTAGATTTTTTCAAATCAGAATGACTCAGGTTAACATATAGAGTATTCATTTTTAACTTCACTCATTTTGTGTTGGAAGCGTATCTCAAACTGAAGGTAGTTGCTACTTAAGCTAATAGTCTGTTTTTGCATGAGAAGTTACTTGTTTGCATTTCAGTGAAAGTTTGTGATAAACATTGATAGATTTTATAGACTGAACTTCCTCAGTCTTTTCAATTTGTGTTGACAGTATGGCTGAAATGATTCCTGGAATGATTATTAAAATTCCTTGAAGACATTTGACCTCCCCGAAGCTTCATTAAATTATGTTTTATTATTTAGCACACGTCGACTGGGACATTATTTGAATTGCGCAGAGCTCTGAGTTGTTGATGAAAGCTAAGTGTTAGCGGCATAACGTCCAATTTTCAAGTTTGGACTGTGGGGATTTTATTGATTGATAATAATATCTGGGTTTTCATCGTTTTGGGGGACCAATCAGTGTCCTTAAAATGACTGAGAGATGCCTGGAGTCCAGTGTAAGTGTAGCTTTACGGTCGAACTGCACAATAAACTTCATATCATCCCGCTCTCAACAATCATTGTAATGAGTTTCTGAGTGTGACAAATGAAGGTGCTGTAAATATACCATCATATTCCACCCCCCCCCCCCCCTCACGGATCACTAATGACAGCAAAGAGCAAATTCAGGCATGTAGGAACTCGACCACCAGAGCTACTCACTCACACACACACACACACACACACACACACACACACACACACACACACACACACACACACACACACACACACACACACACACACAGACTCAGTTTTGAAAATAAAAACACTTCAATTAAAGGCCAAATAAATTACAATGACTTTGGTAGTTTTTACAGTACCTTTTCTTTGAATTAAAACGATGCTTCATATTGCAGCTGAGAACTACAAATCCTTGTGTTTATTCTGACAAATGTAGCAGCCTTCCAACATTTTCTCTTCTTCTCCTTCTTGCTCCCCTTTTCATGACATGTTCTTCTCCCATCATCTGTCCATTCTACACATTTTCCTTGGTCACCACCACAGATGTGTAAGGATTCTGTGTGGCTGCTGTGGTAGAAAAACAACTTGCTGATTCCTCTTTATATTTCATCCTTTTGGTTTGTTTCTTTCTGCTTCATTCAGACATACTTGGTTCATTTCATCAATAAATAAATGATTGGACATAAATGCTACTTTGACAGCTGGCTTTCTACAATTCACTATTTGTGTGGAGAATAGAAGTATTCTCCACACATATAGTGTGGAGAATAATATTTAGAGACACAAATAAACATACTAATCCTTGCCAAGTTAAGAGTTGTGCTTTGAATAACTACTAAAACATGAGTTCCAGGAACCTCGTGGCACTACCAAAAAACAGGGTGTTTATAATCCATTCTACACTTTACATTTAAACACTTAAAGTCATTTAAAAAAAAGCATTGACTAGAACAAGGACACTGGTGTCCTCATTACCCATTGACCAACATGTAAGTGTTTTGAGGTTAAAATCTGCATAATCATTTTGGAACTGTTCATGTTTTACTGAATATAATGTATAATTTGTATAATGGTGTACATTATCTCAGTTTTTGGCAGGAGTTTGTTTAATTCAAACAAAGTATCAATTTATTCTCTTGTTTTAAATCAGGAAAAAATCCTCTGGTGAATGAAAGTAACTATATAAGAGTGGCAACTACATGAATTAGTTTGAAGACGCTGCGATATTCCTGGAGCGACTAAAAATACGGGGTGTGAAAAAATAGACTAAATATATCCACAAATCCTCCAACTGTTTATAGAACATGATGCTGCACTGCTACTATCATAGCAGGTAAACTACAACGTAGTCTCATATTCCAGTCGCTCATGCACCATGGCATCGTCCTTGTACATCAGTCGAGGAGGAGTCATGGAACAGTCCATAGCCAAGATGACTTTTCGTATACTGCGGTCAAGAACGTGACGTTCCCAGGCTGGGTATTGATTCCTACAAAGGTCAAGTTTGATAACAGTCTCGTCTAGGCGTGGAGCACGCGATGAAGGAGTGGATGGCACTGGGTGTCGAACCTGAAACACTGGGATACAGCTATCCCGTTCCGAATACTTTCCAGTGTCACGCTCCAAAGTTCCAGTGGCTCCTCGGTTGGAACGCAGTGAGTTGGTTCCACCATCTGAAGGTAGTGTGGAGAACTGAGCTGTTGGGTCCATATCAAGCCCTTGGCAGCTAGCAGAGCGTCCAAAGCGAGCACCATTGGGATGGAAAAAAGCATAGTACATGAGCATGAAAACCAGACCAGTGAGGAAACTGCTGAAAATGACACAGAGTGCTGGGACTGCAAAGGCGTCAGTGGTTTTAGGTGTTCTGTAAAGATACCACAATGCACTGAGAGTGGCATTCTCCACCAGGATCACTAGATAATAGATTGACAGCCGATACCTGCACAAACAAATGAGATAGAATAACAAAAAGTATATTAGGTGGAGGACTTTGTAGTATTAATGAGATTAAAAACAAAGAAAATACTGTTTAATTTAAAGTCTGAATTTAAAGTGCTGTGCTTCACTAAAGAAAATAGCTGGTAACTGAAGGTGGTTGTCAGCATCTTGGGTTGTGAATTTTTTCAGGATTTGCATTTTGATTATTTGTGTCTCTGCCTGTCTTGTCATTACTTGTTTTCCCATTCCTTATTTTGATCAGTCTTTGTTTTCTTTGTTAGAACATCTGTTCGTATTTTAGTTAGTTCATAATGAATAGTTATTCATTATTCCTTTTAATTGATATGCTGCCTGTTCTGTAGTTTGTTTATTGCTCTTTGCTCCTCGATGCCATTAATTTCTCCTCACTACTGTGACTTTCTCTAATCTGCCATTTGTTCCTCACCCAGTCACGCTCCCAGCATTTAGTTCTTCTTCTGTCATTCACCCCTGGATTTGACTGCTTTCACGTTTCATCTCCCCAAATCAGTTTGTTAGATTTTACTGTCATGAATTATACAACTAACTTTGCTTCATTAAAATATCAAAATATTAAGAAGTTCTCTGCGCCTGGACACTTTGTTTTGTTCATGATAATGATGGGGTTCTCATGGATTATTTTGGTTGCTAGTTAACTAGCTTGAAGCACATCTTATCTATTGCTTGTTTCTTTAGAGGCATATGCAATCTTTGTTTTGTTTCCTTTTCGGTCTTAAAAAGCAAAGCCGCTAGTGGAGATAAGCGATAAGCTTCCATTCTTCATTGGAAACAATATAATTTTATTATTCATACTACTGTCATTATTGTTGTTTTCATTTTTATGGTTGTTTCTTTATTTATCATCAAAAATAATTTCCCAGAGAACAAAACAGCAATATGAATAGAAATTATTTTTTACAGCAGCCAATCAGAGTGGAAAAAAGTATTTCTTCTGTTCTGTGCAATTTTCCGACATGCAAGTTGCTAAATTTGAAAAGATGGAGAACAATATCACTTTAAACTATTGGCAAAAAACTGTGGTCTGCAACACTAAAACATCAGTAGAACTGCAACTATATTAATCATAACTCGTCTTCTCTTCAGTGTTTTTGTCAGTTTGTGGTTATGCAGCTCTGTGCTGCCTTCAGGAAAATGGGACGTATAACCCATAAAATTTCACCCCCATGTCATTTACTGTGCAAACCAGTGCTTTCAATGGAAAAACAAAAGTTCCAGATCCTTATAATGCCATACAAATATGAGACAGAAACATGGATGATATTTTTCAATAGACCTTTCTATTGATTTATAGATTCATATTTTAACTGTGCAAAAATTACAAAGAAAAAAGCTGGTTGTTAATCAAATCCTAAAGAGTAAAATTGAAAGTGTCATAGAGTCACTTAACAGTATCATGACATTAACACAAAAAATAATACTGAAGAACTAAATATATCAAATAAAATCTAATTAAAAACAAATAAGTGATAGGTTTCTTACTGCTATCACCTGTAAGATATGTTTCATTTTAGTACTATAAATGATTTCAACAAATCCCTGGCACTTCAACATTGTCGTTTTTATTGGGAAACTGTTTCTGTTTGTTCTTGCCATATAGTCTTCTGTATTACTGCTCGAAAGGTCTTGCCATACAGGTTTATTCTGCATTTAGTTTAGTTTCTTAGTTAATTCTTGCATTTGTTCTTCATTCATTCCTATTTAGTTTCCATTGATTAGTTTGGTCCTCTCTTAAAAAAATGTCTGTTTTTGTTGACAAATGAATCCTTTTATAATTATGTACCCTTATTGTTCTAAAGAAATGTTTTCACCCCATTCTTAAATTAGGTTCAATGTTTTGGGCCTTAAAACAAGTACTCTGCAAAATCTGAATTAAAGCTAACCTTTTCCGTTTACAAATACCTTCCATCTATAAAAATATGTCTTCACAAGGTTAAGATGAGAGTGTGCTCATAAGTGTTTTCACCTTGTACATCCCTCTTTGACGTTGAACCAGGAAAAGATATATATTATGCCCACCACCATATCAAACACAATCTCCTCCCATTTGCTGATGCAGAAGTCTGTCTCACAGTGGACAATCCAGAAAGTCATGATGCACCAGTGCAGGACAATGAAGATGCCAAAATAGAGTTGAAAAACAGAGGCAAAGAGGGCAAATGTGATGACCCTGGCTGCAATAGTGAAGAAGTGCCAGCAGAACTGTATCATAACTGCAAGGTAGCCAATGGGCTTTTTGTCGTCCCTGGACTCTCGTAAAGCCTTTTGGTAGGAGGCTAAAGCCCATGCAAGAGAGACAAGTGAGGCTGCTGCTGTCATCCCTAGAACAAAACGAAAGAAACACAGGAGGTTAAAGTTTAAAGACCAAGGCTTCAACTAAACACAGCAGCATTCACACATATTTCTGAATGTACGAATGTAAAAATCTCCCAACACAGTAGAGGCAGGAAGTAAACAAAAAATGTTTCATGGGTCTCAGTCAAGTTGTTCAAATTTTCAAGAAAGTGTTTGAGGACTGCTGTGTAATTTGAACATTTTTTCAAATTGGACTGTATTAAAATGCATTAAAACAAAAAAGACTTATTGTTGGAAATGGTTATTACTATATGTAAAGGTCATTTTTGTATATGTTTCAAAATGTTAAATTTAAAAAAAAAAACTGACCTGAAAATTATAGTGTAGCAAATAGAGTGGCTGCTCCCATCATCTTTTATCAAACACCTTTTCTTTTTGTTACTTATTTTATCGCTTAAAATGATCCACAAACTATCATTACTGTTTCTACATTGTCATCCGTGTTTGATTATTCTAAATTCATATTATGTTGGAGATTTTACTGAATTTTCTTCTGGAATCGGGATGCTTGTGGATGGAATCAGTTTGTGTGTGGTGTGTTGCTCCTGCCGTGTGGCTGGACACATGAACCGATCAAACCTGTTGGCCTTTTATTGGTTGGTGTCATCATGCCGTGTTAACCAGACCTACAACTCACAAGCTCCACTCCTCTCGTCTCGTCTTGACCACTGCCCTAACGCTCTCTGATGCTGGTCGCTAAGGTAACATTTACATGTCCCTTCAAAATAAGAGACAGATGCACCACAAAAACATTTCAGGAAAATTTTATCTCACTCTATCGACTAATGGGAACTAAGCTTGTTTCTCTGCAATCAGACGGACCCATCTGGGAGTGATGAGAGACAATGAGACCCGGAGTGTTGCTTTTTCACAGGGTCTCTACGTGGTGAAGCAGTTTGAAGGCTTCATTCCCTCATTAGCGAACCGGTCGACACATATTATTTAGAACAGGCTTGGAATGTGGGAATCACCTACCAGGATAAATTCATTCTTCTGTCTCTTCTCTTTGCCTTTTCCCTTCACAAAGAAACTTTCCAAAGAATCTGATCTGTTTCTGACTCATTTTGCTGCTTGTGGCTCAATGTTGCGCGCAAGACGTAACCGAGAGGATTTTCAAAATAAAAGATCCTCCAGACTCAAATAATACATAAAACAGAAATATCTCATTATTTCTTGCGCTCCCGGTACCAATTGGTCCACTGCTACAGAGTACTCGATTACCAAAATATTATTTTACAACAGCTCTAATGAAGGTCACTGAGCTGGCAGAGCAGGCTTTTATGAGCTGATTGTTGATCATGACCAATCTGGAGTATTTTTCGTTCCCCCATTGAGCTATTAGTTGTTTCTCCACTGAGAAACAACTTCAGTTTTAGTTTTTCAGTAGTATTCAGAAAAGTGGCAAAGTCCTTTTTCGGAATTTCTGAGTTTTGTTTGGCCAGATCATTAGTTCCAAAATGTGTATAATTAGAGTTTCAATATTTGGCTGGTCATTGGTTAGAGAGAGTATTTTCTCTTTCATATCTGACAGTGTCACTGGGAAGAAAATCATTCTGGTTCCATGTACTGCCTGATCTCCGACAGTTAACACTCTTGGCTTATATTTCATTTTCTTGGAAATTGTGACGGTAATTATATATTACCGTCACAATCTGAGTGACAAACAGGCAATTGTAGGCATAAAATGTAATCTCTTTTTAAGTTGTAAGTAAAATGAAAAGAAAGAAAGTGCTTTTCACTTCTTGGTCCTGGCCTTTGAGTTGATCCAAAAATCATTGTGATATTTGAACACAAAGCTGCTGAAAAAACACTGCAGGAGATTAAATTTATAGATGAAAATTTTAAATTATTTGTATATTACCTTTTTTGAGAGTTTGTGGTATGTAAATCTACTGAATAGAAAGTAACAGTTACAAGTTGTTGGGGGTTACCTTGAACAGCCTGCAGATTGTGTGTTTGTATGATGATGCACAGCTGCAACACCAGCTGAGGTGCACTCTCCAGAAAGGTGGCCAGTAAATGCAACATGCTCACATCAGCAAACTCATACACCATCTTCCAGTAGTATCGCCAATGTTCTGACTTCGAGCTCTGACGACTCCGTATTCCCAAATACATGGTACGGAAATACCTACACAAAACAGGAAAAAAATTCAACTCGGTTATAAAATCACAGGTGAGAACAATGCACAGTAAATTTTCATCAAGACACCTTCTGTCCTAATTTCATGACAAGTATGCAGCAAAAATCACTTCAGTAAAAAGCTATTCAATATTAGTGTAACTATCACTGTCTGAAGGAAGTCTGTCTTGTGTCTGAATAAATTTCAAGGACAATGTCAAACTTTTTTTAATGAAATGGTACAAACAAGAACCTTTTATAACCAAAGAACAGTTATGAATGCAGTCTGATTCACTAAAGGCAATGTTTTAGAATCTGATTCTTGATGTCAGTTTACTGCAAATAAATCCAAACTTAAAGTGTAATGTTAGACCCACATAAATTCATTTATACAGTGGCAAACCCATGCTCTATCCATAGATGTTTTGAGTGGTCACAAATTGTATCATTGCTCTGCTGAACTGGTCTCCACTCTTTCCATCCATGGACTTGACAGAGTTGATGGAGGAGGTCAAGCAGGTCTGTCAAGCAGCTTTTCCTGTGATGATCGGCGAGCCAATACCACCCAAGCCTGACATCACAACATTCCTCTTTCCATTTTCCACCACAACTCCAGTCACCTCTCCATCTCCCCACAGCTACCAGCTCCAACCCTGGTCAATGGGCCCATTGACCCAGCTGTCCCTTGTTCCCCTCATTATCCCAGGTTTGCATATCATACTCACTGGTGTATGATAGGCGAGTGGACAATGTCCTGCCTGCCATTGTCCACTCTGTGTCATGGTTTTTGTGGACTTCAAGACATCATTAAACTCATTTTTGCACCTAATCTGGGTCTGACCACGAACATCCTCACCACCATCATCAATGTATCCATTTCATGACGGTATGAGAGGAGCAGCGTCATGTTGTGGGACTGTTTTCCTGTAGGATGAACTGATACATTTCATAAAATAGACGCCATCATGAGGAAAGAACATTAAATATTGAAGCAATATTTAAGCTAGCTGTTAAAGAAGCATAAAAAATCATCTTGCTGGTAACAGAGCTGTCCAAGTTTAAACTTCAGGTTGTTGCATATGTATTTTAGATTAATTGAAATTCCAAGTAGCACATCCTGCATATCAGGTGTGTCTTCAAATAAAGAGCTCTGACAGAAATACTGATTACTTTTTTGTTTGCCTGATGCTACTGATGTTTTCTCTGCTTGTCCGAATCATTTTACAATCGATTCATACCTGAAATATGAAAAGATATGCATGTTGTTGTTGTCTATGTTTCATACCAAACAAGCTCTAATGTCAACAAATTAAAACTGCAGCCAGAATCCTCATCTCTTCTCTCCCTTCTCCCTCTTTCTGCCATCCTCATTCACTGACATTTAAAAAAAATATTACAGCTGTATTAAGCCTCTAAGACAGGTAATGAGAAACACCACAAAATAAGGACATACTTGCAAAGCAGAAAATAGCATAAGATTTTGAAAACCCTTGTGAAAATTACATTGTTTTTGTAATTATTGCAAGTTGAATAGTCACTTAAATTAAGCAATACATTTTAGGTGTGTTTTCGGGACAGTTTTTAATTTCATGCTTGCGCTGCTTTCTTCTAATCTGTCTGGGTTGGACCTTGATCTCCACTATGCTGTTTTGCAGACACATTTACAAAACAGCAGTACTTCCAAGTGTGATTAATTCATACATAATTGGATTGTCTTTCACTTATTTTCATTCAGTGCCCTAGTGAAAAAAATATACTTTATTTTATTTCAAACATACTTACATTTGTGTAAGTATGTTTGAGTGTAAGTACATTTTAGGTATACTAAGGATTAAGTGTACTACTTATAAATATATACGAAGTACACTAAAAGTATGCTTGTGCCAGTTTTGACATTATAACTTTGAACACACTTAAATAAAATTGTACCAAAATATACTTTTAAGAAATATATTAAATAAAAGAATACTTTCAGTGAAAAAGTATGTATTTGTTCAAGTGTACCAATAAAACAATATGCTTTAAAAATATTTTGTGTATATTTTAAAATATATGCTCAAAATAGAATAATTAAACATTCACTTAACGGTTATTTTAAAAGTAAACTATTAAATATACTGAAATTTCACTATGTGTCAAAATACATTTCAGTGTATATTTTAAGCTAATGAAGTGTGGCTTTTTAGGTGGCTGAATATTTTACTATTTTGTTACCCATCCATCCACACACATTCCAAAGGAGGCAGAGAAAGGGATGCCAAATGAAGCTGATAATGGATCAGGGAGAATTCTCTGATTAAATGCTTGACTAAGTACTTTAAAAATCTTACCCCCAAACCCACTTAGCCTTGGGGAGGCCCAAAACATGTGGGCATGGTTACCTGGCGATTGTCCACACCTATTGCAAACGTCACTGACTGATGAGTAAATTTTTGCTAATTTTGCATTTGTGTAATGCACTTTATAGAGTATTTTGCACTGAATTAAGGCTTGCTGGGGACTGTGATGGACAAGATTACAATAAGGTCACATCTGCTGGTCACGTCATATGAAATGTTTGTGAACTCTCACCAAAAGAACTATTTGGGTTACATGTACAAGGATGGAAGGTTGTTTCCCACAGCTGCATGGCAACCAGACCTTCTCGCCCCTTGATTTTCATTCCTTATCATTGTATAAAACTTACATGTTTTATACAATGATATGCCTGGCAGAGCTTTGTGAGCTTCACATCCAGACTGGCTTGATTCTTGATTGCCCTAAGAGCGCTCTGTATTGTGCACAATGCATGAATAAACCTGATTGAGTGATTTTTTATGAACAGCGTTTGGAAATAGTTTTTTTTCCCCACAATGGCACAAATCAAGGATTTATGAATTCAATTCTTCCCCCTGCTCTCCTCCACTTCAGCCCCCAGCTCTCTCTCCCATGCTATTTTAACAAGAGCTGCAAATCTTGAGGTATTACTAGTAATAGAATTATATAAAAGTTAAATGCATTTTTTCTGTTGTGGGTCTAATTTGCAGGATAGTATCCAAGTGTTTCGGGGGGTCGATTAGGAACAACTTTTTAACATAATCCCTGGCCTGAAAGAACCGAAAGAGATGAGAATTGGGAAATTGGAATTTAGATGGAAGTTCAGCAAAGGATGAAAAGGTATCGTTGCTATAAAGATCCTTTACAGTCTTGAGCCCTCTGCCATGCCACAAGTTAAAAACTAAATCAGTTAGTTGGCTAAACTGAGTTGGTTGGTTTGTACCGAGGATCATGCAGGCCAAATTGTTTCCTGAATTGGCTCCAGATAGTTAATGTAGGCCTGACTATAGAATTGTTCTCTACCAGGAAGAGAGGCAGGTGAAGCTGACAGCAAAGCAGACAGGACAACGAATAACGGCTACACGCCCTTTCAATCTGCACCCAGGCTGGTGAAACATCAGCATCATACCTCCAATACAATAGTTTCCAGTAGTACTGCCTGAAGTTGGGAAGAACAAGTCCGCCCTCATAATTTGGGGACTGTAGCACCAATTTATGAAGTCTGGCAGGTTTTTTTAAGCTATAAGAATTGAAATATCTTCTTGTCCAATTTGTCAAGAAATGTCTTTGTAATTAACATAGGAACATGCTGGAAAAGGTACAAATATTTTTGGAAAATCCCACCAGAGATAATGGTAATAGGGACCACTGGTCAAAATCTTTCTCCATCCTCTCTAATAGCAAAAAGTTCTTATTCATTATATTAGACATAGAAGAACAGAGGAATATTCCGAAGTAACAAAATTCTGCTTCTGCCCATTTAAAAGGTGAAATTAAATGTGGAAGGTTCCTTGCCAGAGAGTTCAAGGGAAATAATTGGCTTTTCTGGTAGTTGAGCTTGTAAGCTGAACGCTTGCTATATTGTTCTTGAATGTTAAAGAGCACTGGGAGAGATGTATGTAGCATCTGGTGTTCGTTCCATCTCCAGAGCACTTTAACGTATCTTCCCCTGATAGTGCTGTGTTACTACCGTATTGCTGCAGTGTTACTGCCACATCACAGGCACTGTTTGGAAAGAAAAGCTAAGATATATTATTAAAACTTTGAAAACTCTTTCTGTGTTCCATCTTTCTTTGTAAATATCTCATGTTTCAATGTAGGCACATGAGGCTTATTTATGTACAAAATGTTTTTTTCTTTAAAAATGTACTGGGTGACGCTTATAGTCAGGTGCGCTCTATAGTCTGTAAATTACAGTAGCTTAGCTTTCAGCCTGTTGTTCTCTCTGGTACCCGTAGCCAGCTCAGCTTGAATTGCCTGTATGTCATGGCTCATGGTCGTGGCCACAGTTTCCAGTGATGAAATACGCTGGCTGAAGGGAGAAATGATAGATCAAAGCGCTCCAGTTTTGTTTCAAGTTTAGTGAATGCTGCATTGAACTCTGCTGAGAGAGATTTCTTGTGGTCATCGATAGGAATAGGAATCTGACAGCATAAGCTGTCAAATTACATATCTGTATGTAGTATTTGGGTTTTTATTTTTGTATTTTTATTCTTTGTTATTGATACAATCACATGACAACATGACTATTTTTAAGCTTAAACTTGACAATATGTATCCATGTTTAAGACTTTTAATTTGAAAGAAGCATTTCTCCACTTGCCCTGTCAAAAAGACAATCTAATAAAGATTACTGGGCAGGCCTGCCTACAGCACTCAGGCTTATATGTAGGCATAGAAGAAGTGCAACTTTTTAATATTTTGTGTGAAATCATTTTGGGCAACAACAGACCTCTGTAGGAAGTTGTAGGTGACCATGGTAACAAAACCGCAAAAAAAAACATTGTTTGCCCTTACTGTACTGAGGAGTTCATTTAGTTTTCAATATCAGGCTGACATCACAGTATCAACCACATTTATATGTGATTTTTGAACAAAATAATGAATTGTTAGTGGTCAAACTGTTTTCTCGGGGGTGTGTCTGAATCCAGCTCAATCAGAGCGAGCGAACCAGATCCTTTCAACAAAAATGTAACTAAGACACAAAGCTGCAAGAAAATGTATCGACTTGGGGAAAAAAAATGTGTTTAGAATTTTAGGACCCCTTACCTCCATATCTGACCCAGCTGGAGAATGTGTATCACAGACTGGCATAACCACACACACACTGAGTAATAGGGCGGCCGTTTCGTGCCTCTCCTGCCCATCGCCGTGCTGCCGGTGCTGTTAGTCGCAGTGTTCTTGCTGGCAGTTGACATCTGCCTCTGTGGTGTGGTCTGCTGCTGCTGCTGCACGGGAACGTCGCCCTGAGAGGCCGAGCCGCTCAGCAGCAGCTTACTGCCGTCCAGCTGGGGGCAACCGGCTGATTCAACGCTGTCCTCTGAACTGAAGTCTGCGACGAACCACCGAAAACTGAACAGCTGGACCGAAAACGAACCCAACACCACAAAAAACAGCGTCAAGCCGAACCACCAATAGTCCTCGCGAAGATAGTAATCGACTGACAGCCACACGTCGGTTCCCACATCAGCCAGATAAACAGACACTGCGGCAACAATCCACAAGCAGTCCCACACCACGTACTTCTGCTGCTCTCTCCTGAGCCGGAAGCAAGGCGAGCTGGTGCCTCCGCGACCGCAGCACTGAGATTCCCCGTTCGGAAAATCCACGTCCAGGGTGCATGCTGAGTCGGTCTGCTGTCCCAGGTGCAGCCCCTGCACCGAGCCGGAGTGCTCGGAGTTCTGCAGCGGCGTGAAGGCCACATCGATCCTCTTTAATTTCAAGACTCCATCCGACTTAGCTGCCATCATTGCAATCACCAGATATGAAACTGCTGGATTTCTTCTGCTCTTCCTCTCCTGTCCTCTTTTAGCGCAGCGTTTGTCCGTCGAATCCTCGTTTACGTTTCTTTCCTCCTCATTTCCAGACCACACCTGCTCCTTCCCTCTGCTGCCTTCTCATAATCTACGATGGAGCCACAGATCCAGCTTGGGCGCAGCATTGTGCTTGTTGCCCCAGGTTTTAGGTCTGTGTCTCATTTTTGAGTGATCGATGAGCATCTCACATCCAGCCGTTAAGATATTCACCGCCTCGTTTCCTTAAGCCTGCATGTAGTGAGATTCTACAGTCAGCTGTTGCTATGTCGTTGCAAAAGCTACAACTAATATTCAAGTATTTGGCAACGATAGAGAAAGGATGAAGGCTGCGGCCATGTTCTTCTATAGAGGACTACAAACAATGACATCATTCCCACTCTTCCCCCTGAATGTCAACCACCCCCCCTCCTGGGACCCACACACACACACACACACACACACACACACACACACACACACACACACACACACCACACACACACCACCCACACACACACACGCATGCACGCACCCATACACACACAGGCACCGTATATAGGGTTCCATTTGTGTCAAAACTAAGTAGAAGTCGCATTGCTATGTGTCTTTGGTTGATGTCGATGGGCTTAGTGCTTTATAGATATGTCGATGTTGCATGTGATGCATGTTAGATATTGCATATGTCTATATTGCACATGCGTTCACTGCACATGTTGATGTTGCTTATGTTATGTCTCTTGCTGCATAGTGGTTTTTACTCACTGTCATCTTGTCAATTCCTCTGCAGTAAAGCAGTGAACCCATCGCAGTTGTTTTTTGATGTAACTTCTGTGATTGGTCAATGTCGTTGGTCCATGCTGTTAATTCATGTCGTTGATCCTTGTCGTTGGTCAGTGTTGCTGTTGTTTGTTCTCGTCGTCATTAATAAGTGTTGAGGTAGGTCATGTCTGATCAAAGAGTTTATTAGATATTACAAAAATATTAGTCTTTCAATATTAGTGTTTTCAAAATCCTCGTATTTTCTTCAGGCATTAATCTAACGGTCCTTCGTCAAACGCTCTGTTGTTCACTTATGAACCAAACACTCCTGACAAACAAATGTAAATGAATGCCTTGCTTTGTGACCAACTGACACAGTATTCTCTATTGATTTTTTAATATTTTAAATAATTTGAATATTAAATATATTTTATTCAAAGTCATGTGACCTATTGACTCAAAATCAGTTTGAAATTGTTCTATTAAAGTGTGTAGACAAAGCGCACTCATTTTTACTCCATTTTAACCCTTTTAAAAATATATTTTAACAATTCTTTTGACTAGATTTAGTAAATATTTTACTAAATATTTGCTAAATTTAGTTTATATATTTTTTCGAGATTTCTTTTGGTCAAAATTTAGTAAATGTACTTTTTCATAATTTTTGTCTGCCTCATCTGAATAATAGTAATATTCAGGTTATTATAATAATGCCTAAATTGTTATAATGCCAATAATAATTTTGGCATTATTCTTAGACTAAGAATAATGCCAAAATTATTCTTAGACTAAGAATAATGCCAAAACTTCAATGTGAATGCCAGAAAGTCTTATTCAATAAAGCAAATAGCCTAATTTATTGAATAAGACTTGAATAAGTTACTTGTTGCAGAACAGAATATGTGACTTCTGTGTAAACTAAATGTATCCTTGTCAGTGGAAACTTTGTCTTTTTCAATTATGTGATTCTGACTTCACAGGTATCCTTCAGTTAGTTGGCAGCTGAAGGATAGCTGTCTCATCTGCTGACTTACACATAGCAGATGAGATATGATGTGTCTTAATTGTAGCAAATCTTAAAGACGTGAAACCTTTTTTGGGTCTGGTTGGGGCCGTTGGTGAGTAGAGTGACCATAGATATTACTGGATTCTATAAAATGTGGCTTTAAGCTGAGATGCTGATTTTTTGATATGTAAAAATATAATATTGTCTCTGCATATAAATCTAGAAATAGTTTGGTTTCTGTCAGTTCTGTAAAGATACAAGAAATAAAGCAAATTTTTGTTTTATAATGGCCAATAATTTCATTTTACTAATTGTTGCTGTCAGAGCCATGGTTTAAAATTTAACAAACTTTAGCTCCGATGCTTCATGAAATATTTAATCCTGTTCTACGAACAAAGGTAACTCTTTATTTGATGGGCTGTGAATAAGACTGTCATGACACTGTCATAAACATGACATAACACTTTGTCATTGGGGCGCAGAGGGTGGACACATATTGCAAACCTGACAGATGTAAAATGTCAAAAATGGTGTTATGAACATCTTACTAACGTGTTAGATTGGTAGCAAGTAATCTAATGTGTTACTACTTACAAATAAATAATCATAGACAAAATGACTTATTTCTGCTTCTCTCATGCAGTAGTTTAATGCAATAAGGAAAGAGGATGAATGCCCCCCAGTGAACGATAGATTTCTCATTGAAAGTGCCAAAGTGCCATCCTTCGTAATAAATTAACTGTCTATCATATGTATGTTTATATATTTTTTTCATCTGAAGATGGCACAATGCCCAATAAAAATATCTTTTTTAATTTCCTTTTGAACCAAATGTCTTTAATCAGGCATAATCACTGTCCTTCCAGGATTGTACACTTACTTTATCATTTGCCTCACAACTAGCAAAATAAACACTCTGGTAGCACACACATGTAAAATACATTTCATTAGTGGTCAAACATGCATTTACTTACATGTTGATGGGCAATTAAACTGATTATGCTTCTTTCTAAAACTTAAAGAGAAAAAATTGTTGTATATAGGACTCAGCAGTTTTACACTGCTGGTCACAGTAGTTTGACCAACAAAAAAAAAAATTTAAAAATAAAGAAGTTTTGATTTCACCAAGAAAGAAATGCAAATGGATCTTTAACAATCATGTAAAAAGAAATTCTAAGAATATTAAATAGTAAGTGATAAAGAAAGGCAATTGTAGAGCATTATAATATTTATAAAACATTCAAGAAAAACAGGAGAGAATACTAGCATAAATTATTAAATGTCTTGGTTTCACAGTAGGTAACAGATCATAACAACACAAATGATCAATGTACATAAAACAGCCTTATGTGATCAATGCAGCATTCCTGAATTTGTACAACATGTTTTCATGAAATACAATGCACTAACCCCATTAAACAAAAAGGACACAAAGAAAGTCAACCGTTAAAAAACTAATAAAGTCTTGTCCTGTTTGTGTTTTCAGTATCTTGAGAAATATGCACCAGCTCTTTTGGCAAGTTGGTTGAGTTTTTAAATAAGCAATAACCACTGATAAATAGGACAGCATACACCTTTAACATGTGGTTTTAAGTAAATGCGTTTATCGGTTTTCTTTTTTTTTTTTTTTTTGAAGTTTTTCTATGTTTCAAGTTTCGAAGATGTTAAACCTGAAACATCTTCGACGAAAGAAGGAAGAAAAAAAAACTCATCTTTTAGAGAGGATCTATTTGGTTGTTCTGCCGATTTTCTCCAGTCCAGTAGGAGGCGGTAAAGCTCCTTACAGTTGTTGTGCAAGCCGCCATAAAGCACCAGAAGAAGAAACAAGACCCAATGTTGCACGTTGGGTCTCTTTGTCGCTGAAGAATTTGTACGTCTGAAATTTGGAGCAGAGCGCGTAGATGCTGGAGAGAAGAGAAATGATGGTGGTGGCGGACATTATTTTCTCCATCAGTCAAACCCTTGAGAAGGAAGATGCTGTTCTCCTTCGGTGCTCCAGAGCTTTCGTGGGGTGAGAATTTCTCATGTTCATTTTACAAAAACGGCATAAAGTTTCCTTCTCTTCCGGTTTTACGGTTTAATACCATTTTGTGTCAACACTGTTTTTGTTCTCAATAACACGTAAAGGACGCAGCACACACAGCTTAATACACCTTTAGAGCATGTGGAATTACTATGTAATCAAAATACATTTACTGGCTACATGTTATTATTCAATTGTAGTAAAATGTTTTACAGCATTTGTTTTTGCTTTTGGGGGTTAAAAGTCGATTTCATCTTCGTATCATTTCGAGGATAATATGCCTGTAAAAATATTCACCCCTTGCATGTTCTACATCTTTACTGCTTTTAATCATAATTAACAACATTTGTATTCTTTTGAAAGAAAATATTTTACTGTCACAGGAAAAACTGTAATTTATATAAAATAATAATAAAAAAAATTTAACATAAGTGATTGTATAAATAGTTGCCCCCTTCAACTCGGTATTTGGTGTTTGTTTCCCCAGGAGGGAGTCAGAGTTCCTCTCAGTCAGCTGCTCATTCATTTCTCCAACCTGATAAACTGTTTCAGTTTTGTCAGGTTGTGCAAGGTAGATGTGAACAGCCCTATTCCCTTCCTTCCACAAATTCTCTATGGGATGGAAGTCCGGGTTTTGACTGGGCCACTCCAGAACCTTCACCTTGTCTTGCATTTGCAGAAACAAACAAACAAACAACAAAAAAGAAATCCTTTTCTTCTCCATTAAATCTAAAAATAATTAACCAATTTCTATCATTTGTATTTATCTATTGTATTCGATTAATTTCATTTAATCATTTTTGAATTAAATAAAAAGCTGTTGATGTATAATCAGAGCATCATGAGCAAGCAAAGACATAAAAAAGAACAGTAGGTCCTACCGCTCACCACATAGAGCCGATCAAAGGCTATAACAGCTGTTGTTATTGAGAAAGCATATTGGTTAGATTAACCAAACTGGTGAACCACATTAATAAAATGATAGTGAAATAATACATCAAATGACTAATGAATCCTGAATTCTTAAAATATATTAATATTTCTGAATAAAACAGAAAGTCCTAACAAATGTTTTTAATGTAGGAAATATTTATGTATGAACTGTTAATCTATTAGCATGATATGTTATTTAAATTGGCATTTATATTATTTTGGCTAATGCTATTGCATATTAAATGAAGTATCATCAAATCTCAACATCCTTCGCAAATAAATCAAACCACAATAGTCAACAAAAAGCTCAATAAGAAACTGAATCAATACTAAAATGTTCTGTACCCTATCAGCCTCAGGAGAGGTGCTGAGAGACAAGCTGATGAATGGTTCTTTAGGTTCTGATGGGTCTTCAGTGTTCGTCTCGTAATCCATTCTGTCCCATATCATACAGCAGCACACTGCACCACAATGGACATTTGTTTTTGTCCATCGATCTTCACTGGCATTGTTCAGCCTGGTGTGTCACTCACATCTGTATTTCTGCAAGAGTTTTTGCTTGTAAGGACAATGGAGTATCAGGTGGTAATTTGAAAAGACGCGGGTTGATAGCAGCTCACCACGGCTGTGTAATGTCCGTCTCTAGGCAACCAC